CCCCGGGGGGGGAGGAAGGGGGGCCCCCGGGCGCCCCCGGGGCGCCCCCGGGCGGCGGCGGCCCGGAGGGGGCCCCCCAGGGGGGCCCCGAGGCGCGCCCGCAGCGGGACCCCGACGGAGCGGGGGCCCCCGGGGGGGGGGCCCCCGGGGCGGGGGGCCCCGGAGGGCGAGGGGGTTCAGTAGGGGCCCCCACTGCAGCGGGGGAGGGCGCGGACTGTGGGGCGGGGGCGGGGCCGGGGGGGCCCCCAGAGGGCCCCGGCGACGCGCTCTGCGGGGCCCCCATTGAGGGGCCCCAGGGGGGCCCCAGTGGGGGGCCCCCCACAGTTCCTGCGCCGGAGGAGGCCCTGGAGCCGGAGGAGCAGCACCAGCAAAGCCCCAGCAGCTTCCTGCTGCAGCTACCCAGCAGCAGCAGCAGCAGCAGCAGCAGCAAGTTAGGGGAGAGAAACGGCGCTGCTCTTCGCGGCGGCCCCACAGCCGCCCCTTAGGAGAAAAAACTTCAACTTTGTTCGGCAGCAGGGAGCGTTCTGCTGCTGCTGCTGCTGCTGCAGCAACAGCTGCTGCAGCAGCAGGGCTGCTGCACTGGTGCCCCGCTGAGCCTGCGGGCCCCTCTGTGTCCCGCAGCAGCAGCAGCAGCAGCAAGTGATAATTGTCTCTCTTATTTCTCGTTTGTTTAATTCAAATGCTTCTCAAAAAGAAGAAGCATTTAAAACCCCCAGGCGATTAGAGGCTTTTGCTTTGCTGCGCTGAGGTGTATGTACACCTGGAAGTGCGCAGCAGCCCCAACTCGTTTCGGCTGTTCAGGAAAAGGGAAGCAGCAAACAGCAGCAGCAGCAGCAGCGCTGCTGCTCTCCATTCTACTCCTCTGGTTCTCTCTCGCTGCGCTATTAACACACGCAGCTGCAGCGCGGCTGCCGCCTCTGCTGCTGTTGCTGCAGCAGCAGCGCAGCTGCCGTTTTTGCTGCCGCTGCTGCAGCGCGGCTGCCGCCTCTGCTGCTGCTGCTGCTGCTGCAGCTGCCGCCGCTGCAGCAGCTGCCCGTAAGCAGCTGGCTGCACGCTTCCGCCGGGCGCCGCCGCCGGCCAGCAGCAGCAGCAGCAACAGCAGCAGCAGCAGCAGCAGCAGCGGCAGGTCAGAGGTTGGCAGCAAAGGCACTGGCAATCTTAGTGAGGCTGCCCGCGAAGCTAAACCAGCCCTGAGTGCTGCGGCGCTGGAAAGAAGCAAAAGCAATTCGCCGCCACAACTTCGCCATTTTTGCTGCATTGGACCCGTTCGGAGCTGCCAGAATCTGCACGCAGCAGCAGCAGCAGCAGAGCACAGCAGCAGCTGCAGAAGCAGAAGCAAAGCCCGGCTGCAGCTGCAGCAGCTGCCGCTGCTGATGCTAGTAACGGCAACAGCAGAAACATGCAGCAGCAGCTGCTGCTGCCAGCAGCACCATCAGGTAGAAGCAGCGGCAGCTGCTTCTGCTACCAGCGAGAGCAGCAGCGGCAGAGCAGCAGCAGCAGCGGCAGCAGCAAAAAGCTGTAGTTGGGGCTGGAGCTGACCACGTGGGAGAAGTTCAAGAAGGGGGCCCTGATAATGGACTTTGTGGCTCTTTTGAAGCCGAAGCAATTTCCAATCTGCAGCAAATTGACTCCAATTCGACTTCAAGTCCCCTTAGAAGCACGTGCTACCACAGCAGCAGCAGCAGCAACAGCAGCAGCGAAGCAGCAACAGCAGCAGCGGAACAGCAGCAACAGCTGGAGAACTAGCAGCGCTGCAACAGTTAGAAAACCACCACCACCAGCACTGTCACCACGACCAGCAGCAACAGCAGCAACAGCAGCAACAGCAGCAGCAGCAGCTTACGAATCCGATTCCGGAGTTGAGGTTGTAGATGGTGGAGCCGGGGCAGCCGCCCCAAACGAGAGAGGGAAAAGCAATACTCATTTTGGTGTCGATGTTGATGTGCACCGCCCCGTAGTTCAAGTCCGCAACTGCCAGCTCCAGCGCCTGCAGCAGCAGCAGCAGCAGCAGCAGCAGCAGCAGGTCTTGGCTTCTTTGGAGCCTTTGCAGCAGCAGCAGCGGCCGTTGCTGCTGCGGAGCTTTCAAAGGAAACCAGGCACACACAGCCAACGCGCAAAAGCGCCCCCCGCGCAGCCAACCGCACACTGCTGCTGCTGCTGCTGCAGCTGCTGCTGCTAGTTTGGCTGCGAAGGGAATCCAAGGGGGCGGCGCGGATCGGCGGAAGCCTCTAGTTGGGGTTCGTGTAGGAGCCCTGGCCGCGAAACCCTAAACCCTAAACCCTAGACCCTGGAAGCGGGGGAGCAGCGAGCTGCAAAGCCAGCGAGCAGCAGGTGGGGAACTCACCTGCTCTTCTGCTGCTGTCGAAGGCTTCACTGAAATGCTCACGGAAAGTCCGCCGTGGACTTTTTCGTTTGCAAATTTGACTGCGGCGGGGAGGAAAGCTGCAATGGAGGCTTCGGTGTCCAGGGGCACTTCGCCGCAGCACGGGCAGAAGGTTTCCTGCGGAAAGCGCCGGTAAAAAGGCGAAATTCCGCGAAAAAGGTAAAAGAAATCCAAAAGCTTTATTTATTTCGCGAAGATTCCAACAAAAAGCTCGAAAAATGAGCCGGATCCGCCGAAATTCAAGAATTTGCAAAATGCAAAAAGTGACCGGCGCACCACTCGCTCCACCTCCTGAGGTGTACGTACACCCCGGACAAGCCCGCGCGCTCACCTGTCGAGTGAAGAAACAATCTTCCGGAAGATCTGTTGCAAAAATAATGTTTTTAATTTCGCTATCTTTCGAAATTGGGCAGTGCACGGGGGCCTCAAACTCCTCCGGCTTCTTCCCCATCGCCACCAGCTTCTCTTTGTAAGACCTGCGAAATAGCAGCAGCAGCAGCAGCAGCAGCAGACCGCAGGCGCTCGTGCATGCGAAGGAAGCAACTCTTCAACCGCCGCTATTGAATCGGAGCCGAACGCGCCCGCCGCCGCAGCAGCAGCAGCTGCTGCTGCTGATCGCGGCCGTGCTAGGGCCTCGCTGGAAGGCCAATTTGCTGCCAGCAGACTCTGCTGCTGCTGCTGCTGCAGTGGCGCACTCCATGCGGGAGGAGAAGTCTGGGTAGTAGCAGCCCACGTAGTAGATCTCTTGAATGTAGGACTGAATGAGCTGCAGAAACTCTTCTCTGTGTCCGCAGCAAAACCCGCAGCCCCACAGCTAAATTAAATGTCAAATATATAATTTAAATCTAGATTTAAATCCCATTTATATATTTGCATGCGGCTCCTAGGCTGTTACATGTGTGTATAGACGCTGGTGTGGATTCTATGTGCATATATAATATTTATGAGCTGCCCAGCAAAGCCAGCAGCAGCAGCAGCAGCAGCAGCGGCGGCTGCGGCCCTGTACGGGCCGCTAGAGGGGCTGTAAGGGCCCCCTAAGGCTTCTGCTGCTGCTGCTGCTGGCCACTTCCAGCAGCAAACTGAATTGCTGCGGGGCTGTAAGCCAGCAGCAGCAAAACGGCCTGCAGCAGCAAAAGCGGCACTTGCCGCCTTTTGAATTCTGCCCTTCTGAGGTGTACAGACACCTCAGGTGTAGACACCTCAGCTGAGGTGTACAGACACCTGAGGTGTACATACACCTAAACTTGCCTCTGCGGCCAGTTCTTGCAAGTCACCAGCACTTGCGGATGCGCGCAAATGTGGGCCCCGTTGAAGGCCATACTTGCTGCGATGGCCTGCAGCAAAACAGCAGCAGCAGCAGCAGCAGCAGCAGCAGGTGCTGTCCAGGGCAGCGCCGCAGGCAGCAGCGAGGGCAGAAAAGTGTAGGAGGGACTGCAGCCGCAGCGTCGGCCTATAGAGGCTTATTCATACAAGAGGCTGCACCCCAGCTGCATCAGCTGCTGCTGCAGCAGCAGCTGCTGCTGCTACTGCAGCAGCTGCTGCACCCGCTGGCCCAAAGCCCTGTGTCTAGAACAAAATAGTGCAGGCAGCCAGATAAGGGAGCTGAAAGTAAAACTTAGAATTAGTCCAGCAGCAGCAGCATGGGCGGCAGCAGCAGCAACATGAGCAGCAGCAGCAGCAACATGAGCAGCAGCAGCAGCAGCAAGAATTTGGAAGAACTCGATTCTGAATTTGTCGAAGTCCGTACAGCGGCGTGCCATTTCAGCTGTCTGCGGGACCTGCAGCAAAAAGCATCAGCAGCAAATTGGAAAATTAAAAAAAAACTTGGCATTTTTTGCTTCAAAAAATGAAACGAAAAGTGCCATTTGCGTCACTAGAAGCAGCTGCTGCAGCAGCTGCTGCAACAGCAGCAAACAAAGCAGCTGCAACTCCCGAAAGTCCGCAAAAGAGCCCCAGAAGCAGCAGCAGCAGCAAAGCGCTGTGCTGCGCTGCAGCAAAGCGCTGTGCTGCGCTGCAGCAACTTCAGCAAGGCGGTTAGGCGCGCTGCAGCAGCAGGTGCAGCAGGGCAGGGCGGTGTGCTGCGCTGCAGCAGCAAAGGTGCAGCAAACTCGCCACTTTCCGGGACAAACTATCCAAGGAGTGCAGTTTCCCAACTCCACTGTCATTGGCTTTTTAAAAAGAGGCTCAGCTGGCTGCTGCTGCGGCTCCGGACTTCCCCAGATTATGCTGTACGCTGTTGCTGCTGCACCTGTACGTACACCCCGCGCCCCACGCCCCACACCTCCACGCCCAACCCGAAACCCGCCAGCAGCAAATCGTTCCCTGAGACCCAAGGGGGCCCCCACAGAGTGGGGGGCCCCCCGGAGGTGGGGGGGCCCCAGCGTGTTGGGGGGCCCCCAGGGTGTTGGGGGGCCCCCACGGTGTTCGGGGGGCCCCCAGCGAGTTGACGACCCACTGGTGGGGGCCCCCTTCAACTCCCTGGGGCCCCAGAAGGGCTGGGGGCCCCTGGGGGGCCCCTGTGGGGGCCCCTGGGTGTTTGCTGACCAGTCATGAACCACTTGTCGACTTGGGGGTGGTGGAGAAGCGCTTTTGCTTCTTCGACTCCTCCGAAAATAAAAGCTGCGAAGTTCGCCTCCAATAAAGGCGCGAAGATCTTCTCCAGAGGCTCCAGCAAACGCGCGTTGAACGGGCTCAACTGCAAGCAGCAGCAGCAGCAGCAGCAGCAGCAGCAGCAGCAGCGGCGGTAATAGTGGTGCAGTGGTTAGTTGTAGTAGTAGCTGGAGCAGCAGCTGACGGCAACTAGTGTGGGCATTCCTGCACCTAAGCCCAAAGTCAGCGCTGCTGCTGCTGCTGCTGCAGAGCTGCAGCAGCGCTGCAACAGCGCTGCAGCAGCAGGCAACCCCAGACAGCAGCAGCAGGCTGGCAGCAGAGCTGCAGCAGCAGCAAAAGAGTGGGAAGAGGCCCCAGAAGACACGAGAGTTTTAGAATGCATGCAAAAAGAAAAATTAAAAATTAAAATAAAAATGAAATTCGAGCTGTGGGACTTTCGGGTGTATGGTCACCTCTGCGGCGTGCGGGGTGTACGCGCAGGTCCATGCAAACTGCTTTTCTGAATTCAATTAATTAAATTAATTAATCAAATTAATTGATTAATTAGTTAATTATAATTAATTAATTAATTCAACCAATTAAGTCTTCAATGCCACGGGAAGCTCTCACTTTGTAAATGCAAACTTTGTTTTCTATGAAGAGAGAAGTCAGCAAATCGACGGGGCCGTCGACTGCACGTGCGGCGCAGCAACAAGCAGCAGCAGCAGCATCAGCAGAAGCAGCAGCAGCAGGAAAGACAGCAATTACGATGCAGCGCAGTCCCCGGACTCCGTAGCAGCAGCAGCAGCAGCAGCAGCCCTGCAGCTATCAGCTGCCCCCCGGTCCCTCTAGCGAATAATATACCGCGCTGCTGCTGCTACAACTGCTGCTGCTACTGCTCCTGCTGCTGCTGCTGCTGCTGTTTGTGTAAGCAGCTTCTAAGCCAAATAAAACAAGGGAGCCAACTACGCCTTAGGAAGACGTGAAGCTGCTGAAGCCACTAGGAGCAGCAAAACTCCAGCAGCAACTAAGCCCCTCAAAACAGAAAGAGCCCAGGAAGGCACAGGCGCAGCGCAGCAGCAGCAGCAGCAGCAGCAGCAGCAAACCCACAGTTGCCGGCCCCCAAAACTGCTGCAACCCCAGGGGGCCTCTCGTGCAGCAGCTCCTGCTCCACGGGGCCCTCCACCATCAGCTCCAGAGACCCGCAGGTCACCAGCGTCGTGTGCAGCAGGCCCGAGGGGCCCACCTGCACGCAGCAGCAGCAGCAGCAGCAGCAGCAGAAGCAGCAGCACAGCAGCAGCAGCAGCAGCACTGGCGAAAATGAGGAAGCTACAGGTCTGCTGGGGGACGCCCGGCTGCCTAGCGCCGGGTCCGACTGCAGCGAAAGCGGGCCAAAAGCACGCAGTCATCAACAGCAGCAGCAACAGCAGCAGCAGCAGCAGCAGCAGCAGCGTACCTTGACGATGTGCCGCTGGGGCTTTCCCTCCTCCGCAGGGGCCTCCCTCACAGCCAGGGGGGGCGGAGGGGCCCCCGTTTTGACAACAGCTTCGAAGTACTCGCGAATAATGCTGAGCCAGTTGCTCACCAGCTGCAGCAGCAGCAGCAGCAGCAGCACGCCCTGGTGTACGTACACCTCGAACTTCGTGCGCGCCCACGCCCACGGCACCCGCCCCACCGCTGCTGCAGCGGCAGCACCAGCAGCAGCAGCAACAGCAACAGCAGGAACAACAGCAACACCAAAAGCACCACAGCAGCAGTAGCAACAGCAACAACAGCAGGAACAACTGCAACACCAAAAGCACCACAGCAGCAGCAACAGCAGCTGCAGCAACACAACAACAACAGCAGCAGCAGCAGCAGCAGGAAGTCACCATGGAGGAGTGGAGCCAGTGCTGGGCCCTGGAGGCGTTCTGGAGGGCCTGCAGGTCAGCAGCGGAAAGCGCGGAGTAAGCGGGAGCGTCTTTGAGGTCTCCGTCGCGTTTGAAGACGGAGGCGGCGTGGAGGTCTTCGCCGTGGGCGTTCAAGTTGTCCATGAGTTTGTCGAGAAGTTCAAGTTTTTGCTGCGGCGGCAGCGCCGCCCAGGCGGCCTTCGTGGCCGCCACGCGCTCCACCACGGCCGAAATGTCTTTATTTTCCATTTTAAATCCCTTTTCGGAGAGAAAGCTGCTGCTGCGCGCCCGCAAACCCGCAGAGTCGGGAGCGCCGCACGCCCAGGGTGCGAAACTTGCACGGAACTGCCCGAAGCGGCGAGACCCGCGCGGAAAGCGGACTTCAAAAGCCGCAGATGATTATTAAACTCCTTTTAACTCAAGAAGGAAGCAGGATCGCGCAGGTTACCGCAGAAGAAGACGCAAACTGAACGGCAGCGGCGGCAGCAGCGGACGCGGCGACTGAGGCGGCGCTGCGGTGTGCGTACACCTCAGACGCCGCACCCACTCCGAAAACGAAACGACCGGAAATTCAAAAACTCAAAACGTCGGGAGTTCAACTTTAACTCAGCAGAGGGCCTTTATCTTTCTCCTAACTTCGCGGCGTTGCTGCAGCGGGCCTGAGACAGCAGCAGCCAGTGTCCGTCAGCGTTTCCTCTTACCCCGCGAGACATAGACAAACGCCCCCCATTTCGTTCTTCTTGAGTTTTAATGACCACAAAATGCCTTAATTTCATCAAATTTCCCTTTTTCTCCCCGCTTTCCCGCGAAATTCCCCGGAACGGACCTGCTGCTGTCTGCCGCCGACCGGACGGCGCCGGCCGCAGCAGGTGTGCTGCATGCGGCGGCGCCTGCTGCAGCATCTGCTGCCGCAGCTTCCGTGTTTGCATTTATGTCTTCCAATTGAACCAAAGACCTTTTGCAACTCCCAGGGCGCCTTTCAAAGCTCGCTTTCCCGTCTCCAGAGCCCCTCTCCCTCTCCCGCTGCTGCTGCTGCTGCTGCTGCGGCTCCTGCAGGACGATGGACCTCGCGGCGTCTGTTGCTGCTGCCTCTGCAGCGTCGAGCGGCCTGGGGGGTTTGTGCGGGTCCGCGGGCCTGCAGGAGGAGCCGCTGAACAACTCGCTGCGCGAGGGCTTCCCGTCTGCTGCAGCAGCAGCAGCAGCAGCAGCGGGGCGGCGGGGCGCGGGGCCGCCGCCGCGGGGCGTGCCGCCGCACCCGCTGGAGCTGCAGCAGAAGCAGCTGCTGCGCGCTGCGGAGCAGCAGGAGCTGCAGCGGGCTGCTGCTGCCTTCGGCAGCTACGCAGCACTTCGCATCAAAACAGAAAGAGAGTTGTGTGCAACAGCGCAGCGCCTCCCGGGCCTCCCCTCTTCTCTTTGGGGCCTCCAGACCCTCATGGGCCTCGACATTTCCATTTCTCCGCAGGACTACTTGGGGAGAGACAAGCCCGACCTCGAGGGGGGCCCCCTCCTCACTCTCCACGACCGAATCGAGGGCGCCATGGGCATTTGACGCGCCTCCCGGGGCTCCGGGGGCCCCCGGGGGCCCCGGGGGGCCCCCGGGGCCTCGGGGGGCCCTCGGGGGCCTCCGGGGGACCCCGGGGGCCCCGGGGGGCCCCAGGGGGGCCCCAGGGGGGCCCCGCGGGGGCGTGCGGGGCCCTGGGGGAACCCTGAGGGCGCCAGGGGGCTCTATGGGGGCCCCTAGGGGGCCCCTAGGGGGCCCCCTGGGGGGCCCCTGGGGGCCCCCAGGGGGCCCCCAGGGGAGCGGCAGCAGCAGAGATAGGGAGGGCAGAGGGAGTTCATGCGGAGATGGAAAAGAGATATTCTCGTTAAGAGCAGCAGCAGACACGCAGGGGTGTGCGGGGCTGCTGCTGCTGCGTTGCAGTGCTGCAGCAGCAGCTGCTGCTGCTGCTGGGACGCAGGGGAACTGAATGCATGCGCGCTCTTGCTGCAGCGGAGCTTCATTTATTTCTATCAAAACTTTTACTTCTATGAAAACTCTTTTTGCACTTTTAGATTTCTGAGCTGCGGCGGGGCCCCCTTTGCTGCTCGCTGCTGCGGTGTCTAGACAGCTCAAAAAGTTGCTCTTTTCCTAAATCTAGTTCGTAATTTATTCTCCATTCTGCTGCTGCTGCTGCTAGCCACAAATGTGCATAAACAACGCCAAGTAGAAGCTGCAGCAACTTCAAGTAGCTGCTCGGGTGTACAGCCAGCTCGGGGGGTGCGTACACCTGAAAAGCTCAGGTGTACAGGCAGCTGCAGCAGCAGCAGCAGCGGCGCTGCGTTTGCTGCTGCAGGTGCCTCATTCAATAAGATTTGCTCCCACGAAGTCTAAAATATGTTTTGCAAAATAAATATATTTTTATTTTTATTTATTTTCTGTTATTTGCTGCTGCTGGGCCCCTCAGCTTTCCAAAAGCTCTCTGTGGCTGCGGGCGACAGCCCGGAGCTGTACATACACCCCACGAAGTCCCGGCTCAGGCCGTTTGCGCCCGTCGGCACAAGAGGGTTTTCTTTTATTATTATTATTATTATTATTACAACTATTATATTATTGTTGTTGTCGTTGTTGCTATTATTAGTTTCAATTTCCACCTTTCGCCCGGCGCTGGCAGCGGGGCCTTCGGGTGTACGCGTACACCAGGGCGGCCCCCAGCTGCTGCCGCTGCTGCTGCTCCAGCAGCTGCTGCAGCTGCAGCTGCTGCTGCTGCAGCTGCTGCAGCAGGAGCAGCTGGCTGTGTAATGTGGGATTAAATGTTTTCGTAGTCGAGTTTGCTTTCGAGTTTTTTATTTTCTGCAATTTTTCTGGCGGCTTTGAAGAAGTCCTCTTCAATGACATAATCTCTGTCTGCGCGGATGGCAAACATTCCTGAAAAGTTGCAAGAAAGGAAATAAAACAAACTAATTTATCATCTAAATTCATTTAAATTCATTTAAATTCATTTAAATCCATTTTAATTCATTTTAACTCATTTAAATTCATTTAAATTCATTCAAATTCATTTAAATTCATTTAAATTCATTTTAACCCATTTAAATTCATTTAAATTCTTTCAAATTCATTTAAATTCATTCCAATTCATTTCAATTCAAATTCTGCATTTTAAATGCATCCCTCAGATGCAGCAAACAACAACCAGCTGTCTGTACACCCCAAAACACCCACCCGCCTCAGTGCAAACATTTCGCAAATCTGCTCCGTTGAAGCCGTCGCACAAACGGCAAATTGCTTCGAAGTCTGCAGCAGCAGCAGCAGCAGCAGCACAGCAGCAGCAGCAAGAAAGGAAATGTAATTGGCCATTTCAAGAAGCAAAAATGAGAAAAAATGGACAAAAAATCAGCAAAAGATATTCGGTGATGCTGCTTTCAAATAGAAACTCATTTAGATAGGCTTTTTAAAAAGAAAAGTCAAGAAAAAGCCAGCAACAGCAGCAAGCAGCAGCAGTAAGCAGCAGCAGCAAGCAGCAGCAGCCCGCTGCTGCTGCTGCAAAGCAGTCGCTGCCTCCGCCGCAGCTGCAGCAGCAGAACCACGTGCAGCAGCAAAAGCCGCAGAAGCCACCGCAGCAGCAGTACCACCACCAGCAACAACAACACTAGGAGGAGGAGGAGGAGCAGCAGCAGCAGCAGCAGCAGCAGGAGCAGCAGGAGCAGGAGCAGCAGCAGCAGCAGCAGCAGCAGGAGCAGCAGGAGCAGCAGGAGCAGCAGCAGCAGCAGCAGCAGCAGCAGCAGCAGCAGCAGCAGCAGCAGCAGCAGCAGCAGGAGCAGCAGCAGCAGCAGCAGCAGCAGCAGCAGCAGCAGCAGCAGCAGCAGCAGGAGCAGCAGCAGCAGGAGCAGCAGCAGCAGGAGCAGCAGCAGCAGGAGCAGGAGCAGCAGCAGGAGCAGCAGCAGGAGCAGCAGGAGCAGGAGCAGGAGCAGCAGCAGCAGCAGCAGGAGCAGCAGGAGCAGCAGCAGCAGCAGCAGCAGCAGCAGCAGCAGCAGCAGCAGCAGCAGCAGCTTTTATTTGTTGCAAACCTATGTCGCCGCTCTTGGCAATCTTGCTGGAGTGGATTTTCAAAATGTCTATTCGCGCGCTTTCGTTCGGCATCGGAATTTCTATTTTGCGGTCTGCGCGAACAGCAGCAAAAGTTAGCAGCAGCAACAGCAGCAGCAGCAATAATAAATAAAAATAACAATAATAACAATAATAACAAGAATAATAATAATAACGATGATGGTGATAATAATAATAATAAATGGTAATGTGGGGCCATTTCTAGTCCTATTAAGAATACGCAATTAGAACATGCAAGCATTTCAGGTGTACAGACACCCGAAAGAATCGAAGGAACAAAATCTCGCAACAACCGATCCTTCACCCCTCTTTCACCCACCTAGCTGCTGCTGCTGCTCTGCAGCAGCAGCAGCAGCAACAGCAGCAGTAAATTTGTACTCACCGAGGCGCCCCGGGCGCATGAGCGCGGGGTCCAAAACGTCGGGCCTGTTGGTGGCCATGATGATCTTGACTTGCCCCAGCTCGTCAAAGCCGTCTAGCTGGTTCAGCAGCTGCAGCAGCAGCAGCAGCAGCAGCAGCAGCAGCAGCGCCAGTTCAGAAAGGCGTGACGAGGGCTCGAGCAGCAGCTCATCCCTCGGCAAAACATCCGATTTAAAAGACTTAAATTAACTAAATTAATTAAGTTAAACTAAATTAAATTAAATTAATAAAATAAATGGTTTTAAAAGAAAAAGAAATAAAAAAGCTCACCTCCATGAGAGTCCGCTGAATTTCGCGATCAGCAGAAGTGCCCTGGGAGAATCTGCGGCCGCCAATGGCGTCGATTTCGTCCATGAAGATGATGCAGGGCTGGTGGTCCTTTGCGTAGCCTGAAGCACAGCAGCAACTCCCGCTGCTGCTGCTGCTGCTGCTGCTGCTGCTGCTGCTGCAGGTGAGGCGTACGTACACCGGAGCTGCCCGCGGAGCTCACCGAACATTTCGCGAATCACGCGGGCGCTTTCGCCGATGTACTTGTCCACAATTGCGGAGGCGACGACTTTCATGAAGTTGCAGCTCATGTTGGAGGCCATGGCCCTGCAGCAGCAGCAGCAGCAGCAGCAGCAGCAGCGCAGTTCGGGGGCCGATCCGGGGCCATTTTCCGGGAAAGCTGGGGAATAAGGACATTTTTGTGCAGCATTTTTCAAAAGGAACACGAAAATGAAGTCGAAAAAAGGCCAGGGAGGCCGGAAAGGTGAAGATCGGACCTGGCGAGGAGGGTCTTGCCGGTGCCGGGGGGGCCGTACAGCAGCACGCCCTTGGGGGTTTTGATGCCCACGCGCTTGAACAGCTCGGGATTCGTCAGCGGCAGCTCAACTACTTCTCGCATTTGCCGAATTTGTTCACTCAAACCTCCCACTTCCGAGTAGTGCACATTCCCGGGGTCTTCGTGCAGCATGTTGAACACCAGCGGGTCCACCTCCCGCTGCAGCCGCCGCATCACCGTCAGCGTCGTCATGTCCTGCGCGCAACATCCAAGGCCCCCGCGCCCCTAGCAGCAGCAGCAGCAGCAGCAGCAGCAGCGGCGGCGGCGGCGGCGGCGGCGGCCAAGCTACCGAGCAGCGCAGCGACGGCGCAGCAGCAGCGCAGCAGTGCGCGGCCGAGGCAGCTGAAGTGCAGCAGCGGCGGGAGCAAGCCCGCCGCGCAGCAGGGGAACAGGCGCTGCAGCAGCAGGGTTTGAGTGCAGGGTTTAGGGTTTAGGGTTTAGGGTTTGGGGCCTCAGTGCAGCAGCAGCCGCACCAGAGCCACGCGGGTCCCCGCAGTGAGCAGCGACTTGTCCAGCTTCGGTTTGCTGCCGACCACATATCGCGGGCCGCTCGAAGTCTTCACAATGACTGCAGCAGCAGCAGCAGCAGCGGCAGCAGCAGCAGCAGCAGCAGGTGGAGCAGTGGCGTCACGCAGTTGCTGCTGCAGGGGCTGAAACGCCGCGAGCGGCGAAGGCTGGAGCGGCAACAGCTGCAGCTGGCGCAGCGAACACAGCAGCAGCAACAGCAGCAGCCGCAGCAGCAGCAGCAGCAGCAGCAGCAGCAGCTTTGGACGGACACTTCTCGGAGTCGAGCTGCCGCAGCACTTCGCCTATGAGCTGCCCCACGCCTTGCAGCGCCTTCAAATCATCTTCTGTCTTTTCGTACTTCTTCGACTGCAGCTTCGTCTCTTCCCTCACTGCAAGCAGCACACAACGGCACACTTTGCTGCTGCTGCTGCTGCTGCTGCTGTTGGGGGAGCTGCTGCTGCGGGCGCTGTCGGCGCAGCCGCAGCGCTGCGGCCGCTGCTGCTGCTGGGAGCCTGCTGCCGCGGCCGCGAGTGGCCCTGCCGCCGCCGCGGCCGCTGCTGCTGCTGCTGCTGCTGCTGCTACCGCTGCTGCTGCTGCTGCTGCTGCTGGACTGACGTTTCTTGACCCTGGCAGCCCACTCCCTGTGCTCCTTTATCTTGGCCACGTAGGCCCTCAGCGCCCGCGCCCTTTCCTCCTCTTGGGGGTTTTGTGGGGCCCCAGCGCTCGGCTGGTTAGTCATGTTGGGTTTTGCTGCTGCTGCTGCTGCTGCGTTTAGAGCTGCAACGGGAAGCGCAGCAAGTCCATTTAAATGAGTCCAAAGACAACCAAAAAGGCGCCGCTGCGCCCACACCTGAGGCTGCTGCCAGGGCCTGTGAGCAGCAGCAAAAAAATAAAAGTGAGGAAACTTGAATTCTGAATTTTGCGAAAAAGAAACTGGGGTGTACGTACACCTGCGGACCAAATGGGAGAGAGAAAGAACCCTTTAAATTAACCCATAAATGCCAGGATATGAAACTACAAAGAGAAGGGCAAAGAGATTCAAAAAAGAAATGCATCGCTGCTGCTGACAGTGCAGCAGCAGACACGGCTCCGCAGCAGCAACGCAGCAGCAGCAGCCGCTGCTGCTGCTGCTGCGTCGCAGGCGTTCTGGCCTTCTCAGAGGCACTGATGAGCAAAAAGAGGAAAATAAGGGGAAAGAGGCGGGAAAACGCAGCAGCAGCAGCGGTGCGGCGGCTCGAGCGGGGCCGAGCACGAGCCCTAGCGGCCGATTTGAGGCTTTTTCAGCTCTCTAGGAAGAAGAGAAATAAAATTAAAATGCAATTGGAATTTTTAAAATGTAAAAAGACGAAAAAACGGAGAAGAACGGGAGCTGCTGGATGGCGCGCTGAGCGAGGACTCACTTGTTGCGGGTCTGCAGCTGCGCAGCAAATGTTTCGAAAATGAACTCAGCAGTCCGCAGCAATTAAGTAATTAATAATTGAATTAATAAATTGAGTTTTAATTCAACAAAAGAAAAACAAAATGCGCAACACCGGGGAATCCGCGCCGCTGCAGCATGCAGTCGGCGCCAGCCGCAGGGGCTGGCGAACCTGCACAAATCCCGAGTTCCGCGGATCCAGTGGACAAATGCATTTTTGTTGTTAATTCCTTTATTTATTTCCACAAAATAAGCTTCATTTTAATGCCTAAATCCCCGAAAACGGCCTTTAATTGCCGCTTTCCTCGCGGTTTCCTGCGAGGCTTCTACGCAGCTGTGTCACTTGCCGCTGCTGCGCGGCTTCTTCGGCAGCAGCAGCTTCTTGTCTAGTGCAAATAAGCTCTGGGTTTTATTCTTTTGATTTATTTAATTAAATAATTTTTAATTTTTAATGATGATAGACTCACTAACTTGCTGCCTGTTCTACTCCCCCCGCAGCAGCAGCAAACCCCCCTCTTAAGTTTACTTTTCATTCTCTCTAGCGTTTCTGCAAACTTCCTTTTAGGGTTTGCACCAGTCTTTTAAAACTGCTTTTGTGTCTTTTGAGCTGCTGCAAATTTGTTTTTCATTTTCATCTTCAAAAAAAGTCCCGTGGAGCTGCAGCTGCAGCAGCACGAGGCCGCAGCAGCAGATAGAAATGTGGGCCTTTACAGCTCAGAGCTAGCAGCAGCAGCAGCCGATGCAGGCCTTTCCATGGGCAGCAGCAGCAGCTGCTGCAGCAGGCCTTTCCTGCGGCTGCAGCAGCAACAACAACAGCAGCAGCAGCTGATGCTGCTGCAGGCCTTTTCTTTGGTAGCAGCAGCAGTAGCAGCAACAGCAGCACCGCAGATGTCTTCAAGCTGCTTAGTCCCCACAGAGCTGCTGAGCCCTCAGTGGCAGCAGCAGCTGCGGCAGCTGCGGCAGCTGCAGCAGCTGCAGCATGAAACTAGGAAAACTAGCAATTTAAAGGGGTTTAATTGTTTTAACTTGGATTGCATGCATGCAATTACAATATTAATAATTTGAAGTAATTTAATTTTTTTAAATTGAATTAAAAATAAATTAAACTCAACAAAGTAGCTTGTAATTCAATCCTGTGGCCCTGCTGCTGCTGTGGCTACAGCTGCTAGGGGCAGCAGCAGCTGCTGCTGCTGCGCAACTGCGCCGTTTGCTGCTGCTAGGCCCTGCTGCTGCGCTGCTTTTTGCTGCTGCTATCCCTCTTTTAATTATTTAATTTTTATTTGATTAAAATAGTTTTTTTAAAGTTAAAAATGCCACAAAAAGAGCCAAATTGGCTGCGGCTGCTCCAGCCTTTTGCTGCATGCAAAAGAATTACAAAATTAAGAAACATTACATTTAGCAACAAAATGGCATTTTTAATTATTAATTATTTACATTATTATTTAAGCGTTTAATAATTAAAATGCCATTTTGCTGCCTTCTAGATCCAGCAGCAAAAGCACTAAAGGCCAGAAAGCTGCTGCAGCTGCTGCAGCTGCTGCTCATACAGTGCTGCGCCGCGCTGCGTTTTGCTGCAGCTCTTTGCTGCTGCCTTTTGCTGCTGCTTCAGCAAAAGGCAGCAGCAAAGAGCTGCTGCAGCAGCTGCTGCAGTGCAGATGAGCTCCTGCACCAGAGGTAGCAGCAGCAGCAGCAACTGCAGCTGCTGCTGCTACAACTGCTGCTGCTGCTGCTGCTGCGGTCACTACTGCCTCGCTAGCTAGCTAGCTAATTAGCTAGCCAGCTGGGCAGCCAGCTAACTAGCTGGCCAGCTAGCTAGCTAGCTAGCCAACTAGCTAGCTAACTAGCTAGCCAGCTAGCTAGCTAGCTAGCTAACTAGCTAGCTAACTAGCTAACAAGCCAGCTAGCTAGCCAACTAGCTGGCCGGCTAGCTAGCTAGCTAGCCACATAATTGGCCACTTAGTCTTAAGTTTTGAGTTATCCTTCAACAAAGTAAAAAGGAAGTTTCTTCTTTGTTTTTGGCACTAAAGAAAATAAAAAAGAAAAATTTCTTTAAGACCTCCGCAGCAAGATGGAAAGCGGAGAAAGCTTTTTTGACTCAATAGCCTCACAGGGAAAGTGAAGGGTTTAGGGTTTAGGGTTTAGGGTTTAGGGTTAAGGGTTTAGGGGCCAGGAAATAAGAAGATATGGCCGGGGGATTGGAGAAAAATGTGAGATCTGGAGTATAGGATTTAGGGTTTAGGGTTTGCTGTATTTGCTGTTTATGGAGTTAAATAGAACTCGTTCTGATTGAATTCAACAATTAGAGTCCTGGGTTTAGGGTTTAGGGTTTAGGGTTTAGGGCTACGCAGAGAACGCCCGACGGCGGGTTGAGCCTGGGGTGTGTCGGCGCCGCCTGAATGGCCATTTTGCAAAACAAATAAATTTGTAAAGAGAAATTAAATAAAAATTAATTTAAATTTGTTTAATAAATGGGCACTTTGCAATTTAATTGACCATTGGTGTGCAGAGGCAGCAGCAGAGGCCTGAGTGGTCACGCGCAGTCGGCTGCGCCCGCGGCCGAGGGGGCAAACAGGTCTAAATTGGCGGAATTTTCGGATCAAAAGTAAAATAAAACGAAAATAAAATTAAATTAAATAAAAATAAATTAAAATTAATTCTTTTTATTCCTTTTTTACGGCGGGGGACCCGCCAGCGTGCTGTACGGACAGCGGCGGCGATCGGCGGTTAATAATGTCTTGTGCTCAACTCGCCGTTTCCCTGCGCAGTGAAGGCCTCGATCGCATTTAATTGCACATTATTTGCATTTATTTGCTTTTAAATTAATTGTATAGTCTTTTTTAATTAATTTGATTCATTTATTTGATTTGAATCGTCACCGCCGGACTTGTTGCGAGACTTCTACGCGCGCCGAGCTGTCCATACACCCCAGACAGCCACCCGCCAAGCCCAGCAGCCGCCCCTCCGCTTCTTCTCTTTTATACATTTGAAAAAGGACCTTCTTTGTCTGTTAGTTTTAAATTTGAAGAATGATCTTTATTGTCTGTTAGCAGCAACCCAGCGACGCCATGGCGTCCTCCTCTCCGGGCCTGGCCGGGCCCCCCCTCAAACCCAGCACCAGCACCACCACCAAAAGCAGCAGCAGCAGCAGCAGCAGCAGCTCGTACGACTCTGCGGGTTGGTGGAGCCGTTTGTTTTTCTCGTGGCTGTCTCCTGTGAATGTGCGGTGTCTGGGGGGCTCTGTGCGGCCGCAGGAGCTGCCGGGTTTGCCAGCAGCAGATCTGCTGCAGCTGCAGCAGGGGCCCCTGGGGGCCCTTCTGCTGCAGGAGGAGAAGACCCGGGGGGCCCCCTCTGTCTTGCGGGCCACCCTGAGGCTCTTCTGGGGGCCCCTCGCCACAGCCTTTGCCTGGGCTGTTCTTAAAGAACTCCTCAGCTTTGCAAATACTTTGCTGCTGCGACAAATTCTAAAAAGTGAACAAATGAACTTCCCCGGCTTCTGGGCCCGCGGTGAGCCCAGCTGTACATACACCCCAGCTGTACATACACCCCAGCTGTACAGACGCCGCAGCAGCTCCTTCTGGGGGGCTTTGGGCTGCTGCACTCTTTCTTTTTGCTGCACTGGTTTGATGCTGCTGCCTTTTATTCCCTCCGTTTGTTTGCTGCTGCTGCCCTTTATTCCCTCAACTTGTTTGCTGCTGCTGCCTTTATTCCCCTCCAAATTGCTTTGCTGCTGCTGCCTTTATTCCCTCCATTTGCTTGCTGCTGCTTCTGCTTTTAATTCCATGCATTTTTTTGCTGCTGCTGCCTCTAATTCTGTGCATTTGTTTGCTGCTGCTGGTAATAATTCCCTGCATTTGTTTGCTGCTGCTGCTATTGAATCTCTGCATTTGGTTGCTGCTGCTGCTATTAATTCGCTGCATTTGTTTGCTGCTGCGAGCTGCTGGGCGCAGGCTTTGCTGCTGCTGCAGCTCTGTCTGTGCTGCAGCTGCTGCTGGTCTTTCTGGACAGCCACTTGGACTTTTATATTTGTCGCACTTCCATTCGAGTGGAAGCAGCTTTGTTGAATTCTCTTCACGAACGAATTCTGAACTTTGAAAAAAGTCCCGAGTTGGCGCTGGTGGTTCCGGGGTGTACATACACCCCAGCACCCGCGCCGCGGGCGCCGGGGTGTACGTACACCCGGGGGCGCTGGGGTGTACGTACGCCCCGTGGAAGCGGCGCGGACGGCGCGTCAAAAGAAGCAAATTCGGGATTAACAAATGCAAAGAAGGGAACTATTTTTAATTTAATATTTGTTGATGTTCCTTCAATTGCAGAAATGGTCCTAACTGCAGCAGATCTTGTGCTGCTGCCGCTGCGCATTGGCCTGGCTTCGCTGCTGCTGGCTATGCAGGTGGGCGTGGGCAGCAGCAGCAACACTTCTTCTTTTTATTTTAAATTGCTTTTTAATTCTTTTCATTTGTGCCATTTATTCTTTTTCTCTTTTCTTGCTGCATTCTTCGAAGCAAGTAATGCCTGGTTCATTTACTTTGCATTTGTGAAAAATAAAAGCTTAAAATCATTTAACACCAAAGTCAAGGCGCCCTGCAGCAGCAGCAGCAGCTGCTGCAGCAGCAGCAGCAGCAGCAGCAGCAAGGCCCTGTCTGTTGCAGCAAAAGCGTCAAGTTCTGTCTGCACATTTCATTTTTTGAAGTTGCATGGATGTCAATTTGGCTCGATTGTTTCTCCTTTAATTTCTTTAAATTTAAACATTTCTCTTTAAATGTCTTTTTATTTTATTGCATTAAAATTAAATGAAATGATTAAAATGGAATTAAATAGTTAAAATTTTGTTTGCATTAATTAAATTAAAATTAAATTAAATATTAAAACCTTGTATGCATTAATTAAATTAGAATTAAATTAAATGATTAAAATCGAATTAAATAATTAAAACTTGTTTTAATTTTGATTTCTTTCTTTCAGGTTGGCTCCAGCTGTTTGCCGGCAGTTTTGACTTTACTTGTAATTGTTTTTTTTGCGATTTGTTTGGAGGTCTACAACAGCAGTTTGAAAGTGCCTTTTATGGTGCGTTTGGTGGTTTTAAACCCACAAAACCCTTTTTTAGGGTTTTAAAAACAGGACAGAAGGGGGTTTAGGGTTTAAAAACAGGGGGAGGAAAAGGCTTCTGGGTTGTGAGGGAAAAGGGTATTTCTAATGTTTGAAATTCTGGAAAAAAGGGTGTTTGAGGGTTTAAAAATAAGGGTTTACAAATAAGGGTTTAGAAAGCAGAAGAGGGTATTTTAATTAATCGGAGAAGCATTTCCAAGTCCAAGTTTATCTTTTAATTATAATCCTTCAATATAAATCCCCTTTCGTCTAGGCGCGACCAGGTGCACATACAGCTGAGCGAGTGGGGCGCGTTTTTCGGGTGTACGTACAGCTGGAGTTTGGGGAAAAGTGTGTTTTTCGGGTATACGTACACCTGAAGCTTTTGGCAGTTAAATTTGGGTTTTTATTTTGTTTTGAATTCAGAAAAGAAGAGACAAAAGGATCGAAAGGACGCACGAGTGTCTTTCGGAAATGCGGACTTTGCGGCTTCTTGGTTGGGAAGAAGTTGCACAAGAAATTTTAAAAAAAGAAAGAAATCAAGAACTCAGTTGGAGTTCTTTTCGCATGTATCTTTCGGGCCTGAGTTACTGGCTCACTGCAGCAGCTGGTGAACAAAATGCAAAATAAAATAATTATTTTACTTCAAATTAATTCTTTCTTTCCACTTTTAAGCAACAAACAAACTCCTTAACAAAGGGGCAAAACCAGGTGTCGTTACACTCCATTTCTGCTTTTATTTGAACTCTTTCAGCTTCTCAGTTTTATAAAATCCATCTGCAGATTTTGGATTTTTGCCATTTCTTTCTACTTTTTATTTCCTGAAAATGTCTTTTTGGAGTTATTTGAATCCACTTTGAGTCATTTCTTTTAATTTGCATTTAAATGAACTTCAGTGGCTGCAGCGAAATCCGCGGTTTGCTGCTGCCAGGTGTACGTACACTGCAGTGACACCCGGAATTCAAACAGCTGCTGCTGCTGGGGCTGCTGCTGCTGCTGCTGCAGCGCTGCAGCTGCTGCTGCTGCTGCAGCTGCTGCGGCTCTCGGTGTTTTACAGCCCAAGAACGCTCATCTTCTTCCCCCGCTGCTGCTGCTGTTGCTGTTGTTGCTGCTGTTGCTGCTGCTGCTGCGTCTCAGGAGCTGCCACCTCGATTGCAACATTTGCTGCTTTTACTCTTCCCTTCATTCAAGGGCGGGCCGGGGTGAGTTTGCTGCTGGGGTGTCTAGGCACCTCGGGTGTACGTACACCTCTGGAGCTTAAAAGACGTGGAAAAAACCACAAAAGCAATTTAAAGGAACCAATTTGTACAATTTTGCATTTTAAATGCAACTATTATGATTATTACTGCCATTTATTGCTTTGCTGCTGCGCAATTTGCTGCTGCAGGCCCTCAACATGAAAGCTGAACTTGTTATTCCCGTTATTCATGTTATGGACAACTTTGTGGGGCCCCTTGCAGACTTGCCCTACACTTTGTCCACTTTAATTGAAGGCCAAATTTCCCTTAGCCGAGTCAAACGCTTCTTCTTCACTTCGCGTCCAGCAGCAGCAGCAGAAGCAGCAGCAGCAGCAGCAGAAGCTGCTGCTGCGGTGGAGGCAGAGCAGCAGCCCCTGCTGAGTCCTCGCCTAAGAGAAAATGGAAGAGAAGAAGAAGATGCAATGAAGGAACAAGAGCTGCTTGATATGGCCCAGCAGCTGCTGCAGTAGGAACTAGGCTTATTTGCTGCTGCTGCTGCTGCTCTTTTTTTGAGATTCCGTTTATTGCCTTTGCTGCTGTAATTATCCCCCTGAAAATATCAGTTGTTACTAGAGTGTGTGTTGTTGTGTGCTGCTGCTGCTGCTGCTGCTGCTGCTACTCTCAGGGCTATACAAGATTCAACGCTGAGGGTCCTTATGGTATCTGCTTCCTTCACTTGGCATCCTGGCCCTGTCTACACTCCCGAGGCCTACCCCGTGAGCCCCCCAGCTGCCTACAGCAGCAGCAGCAGCAGCAGCAGCAGCAACAGCAGGTTGTGTCTGAGCAGCATCAACTTGGAGCTGAAGTGCGGGGAGGTGGTCCTCGTCACGGGCCCCCCCGGCAGCGGGAAGAGCAGCCTAATCCAGGCAGTGCTGCGTCGTTTGGAGCTGCAGCAAACTGGAGGGGCGTTGTACATAGCAGCAGCGCCAGCAGCAGCAGCAGCAGCAGCAGCAGCAGCGCCTGTGGGCTTCGTGCCGCAGGAGCCCTGGCTGTGCGGGGGCACCGTGCGGGAAAACATAACCTTCGGAGAGCCCTTTGAAAGCAGCACTTATGCTGCAGTTGTTGCTGCATGCGAGTTGGGGGCGGACTTCAGCAGCTGGGCTCACGGAGATTTGCGAAAAGTCGACGAGGGGGGCCTCGATTTGAGCGGCGGGCAGCGCGTTCGAATCGGCATCGCTCGAGCTGTCTACTGCTGCAAACTGCACGAGCTGAGGACTCGAAAAAGTCCAGAAAGAACAAAAATAACGCAAAGTGAAGTGCGGCAGCGCGCGGCGGCGCAGCTGGAGTCTGAGGTGTACAGACACCTCGCGGCCGCGGCGGCGCGGCGGCGGCGCGCGCCGCTGCTGCGCACTTTTTTGGAAATGGAACTTAAAGAAAAAAATAAAGTCCAAAATGAAACAGAATTGCAAAAAGAAATGCAAAAAGAGAGCTCCGAACTCGGCTGTTTGCTCTGCTTCGACGAGTGCTTCAACAGCCTCGACTTGGCCGTCGCCGCAAATCTCTTTCAAAATTTGTTCGGCCCAAAAGGCCTTTTAAAAAACTCCGCAGTTTTAATTTGCCTCAACGACAACTCCCTCATAGGCCTCATGCGCCAGCAAACGGCCCACGCAGGCCCCGAGCAGCAGCAGCAGCAGCAGCAGCAGCAGCAGCAGCAGATGCGCTTCACCATTTGCAGACTCGTCAAGGGCGCCATTGCCTGGCGCGGCGGCGTCGCCGAATTCACAGCAGCTCTCGGCGCCCCAGCACCTGCAGCAGCAGCAGCAGCGGGAGCAGCAGCAGCAGCAGCAGCAGCAGCAGCAGCAGCAGCAGAGGAGCCGCTGGGCACGATTGAGAACATTTGGGCGGCACAGGACAGCAGCAACAGCGAGGCGGCGGGTGTACGTACACCCGAGCAGCAAGCAGCAGCAGAGCCCGAAGCTGCTGCAGATCTTTTCGCAGAAATAAAAAGTGAAAGAACTATTCCTCTAACTGAAGAAATTGAAAGTGGAGTAGTTGGGCTGAAGTCTTATTTGTGGTGAGGCAGCAAATGGCATTTAAGGCAGCAGCGGCCCGCAGCGGCAGGAAATAGCCGCAGCAGCAGCAGCAGCAGCAGCAGAAAATGCAGCAGGTGCAGCGCTGCAGCTGCAGCGCCCCTGCTGCAGCAGCTGCGAGCAGTGCTGCAGCAGCAGCAAAAGTGGCCTTAAAGAGAAGCCTAGGGGCTCGTTTTTGGCCTCAAATTTGGGGCTTTTTTGCTGCTGCTTGCTGCCGCTTTTCCCCACTTTGGGGCTTTTGCATGCATGCGTTTTTGCGGAAACTTCGCGCAGGTACTTGAGACAAACTGGAAGAGTTTTGTCCATTTCTTTTTTTCTAATTGTCACTTTCGGAAGCATTTCAGATGTGCTGAGTGACCTCTGGCTCGCGCGCTGGACAACAACGGAGTCCCCAGAAGACTCCGACACAGCAGCAGCAGCAGCAGCAACCAGCAGCAGCAGCAGCAGCAGCAGCCTGCGCGCCGCCCTTGTGCACGAGCGCTTCCTGCTTGTGTTCGTCGGGTGAGTACTCCTACTGCTGGTGGTGCTGCTGCTGCTGCGTAGTTCCGCCTTTGCTGCTGCTATTGGTGCTGTGGCCTGCTGCGCACGCAGCAGCAGCAGCTGCTGCTGCAGCAGCTGTTGCTGCTCTTTTCCCCTCCCTCTCCCTCCCTTAGCAGCAGCAACTGCCCTCCCCCCCTCTCAGGCAGCAGCAGCAGCAGCAGCAGCAGCAGCTACCCGCCCTCCTCTGAGCCGCAGCGCGGGCCTGTGTTTGCTGCTGCAGGCTGTCTTGTTTGAACATGGTTTTTGAACTTTGTGAAAAACTTGTGGGAGTGAAGGGCTCGATGAAAGCAGCTCGAAAAGTGCACGAGCAGCTGTGGTGGGGTGTATGTACAGCGCCGCTGTGGTTCTACGCGCGCAACCCCGTGGGGCGGATTCTGAATCGGTTTGCGAGCGACATTTCAATAATTGATTTTGGAATTTTGCGGAGAATCGGCTTTTCGTGCACAGCTGCAGTGTCTTGCGCGCTTTCGGTGAGGTGTCTGTACACCTGAGCGCGAGAAAAGGAGAAAAAACGGAGTTGATTTCGAATTTATTTAATTTTTTTTCGTTTTCGACTTTTCGCAAACTCGCCGCTGCGCGCTGCGGTGTACGTACAGGTCGCCGTCCTCAGCCTCGCCTGCCGCTGGGTACTTCCCCTCTGGCCTTTGATGATCATTTCTTTTTATTTGATGGTTTTTCGATATTTCCGGAGCTCTTCGCGCGAAATTCAAAGAGCTTCTCTCCTCTCCTTCTCCCCAATCCTCTCAGCCTTCAGCGAGGCCCTTTCTGGCAAAGAAATCATTTCTAATCTCCAAAAACAAAACTTCTTCCAAACTCATTTCTTAACGCATTTGGAACTCTGCCAAAGAACCAAACTCACGCAGTGGGGGTCAGCAAACACACCCACAAACGCCCCACCCAAACGCCTGCTGCTGCTGCTGCTGCTGCTGGTGGGAGTCCCGTCGCAGCCGAACTGCTGCTGCTGCTGCTGCTGTTGCTGTTGGTGGGGGTCTCGTCGCAGCAGCAGCTGCTGCTGCTGCTGGTGGGAGTCCCGTCATAGCAGAAGCTGCTGCTGCTGCTGTTGCTTCTGGGAGTTCCGTCACAGCAGAAGCTGCTGCTGCTGTTGCTGCTGCTGCTTCTCGGAGTTCCGTCACAGCAGAAGCTGCTGCTGTTGCTGCTGCTACTGCACCTGCTGCACCTGCACTCGTAGCTCTTTAGCTGGAAGGCGGCTTTTGGAGCAGCAGCGTGCGCTTTGCATGCAATTGTCTCACCTGTCCTGCTGCTGCTGCTGCTGCTGCTGCTGCTTCTCAGAGTCAACTCCTGGTCCAACATTCGGCTGCAGCTGCTGCTGTTCCCCCTCATCGTTTTAAATGCAACTCTTCCGCGGCTGCTGGAGGCTTCGCCGTTTGCGCAGGGTGTGGGGTCTTCAGGTGTACGTACACCTGAAAACCCCACAAACATCGGACTCGTCGGACTCGCCATTTCTTATTCTCTTTCCATTGCAGGAGCCCTCAGGCGCTTTCTTACTAATGTTACTGCAACCGAAAAGGACATGTGCTCCGTCGAGAGGGTCCAGGTTTGCTGCTGCTGCTGCTGCTGCTGCTGCTGACTCGTCTTTTTTTGCGTTTTCTCGCACGCAGTAACTGTCAGTCAGCCACAATAGCTGCAGCATCAGAACAAGTTCTTAAAGTTCTCCACTTTCTTCTTCTGCAGCTTTTCTTGTCTCTGCATTTGTCCTTCCCAGAGCTACTTGGAAGACACGGCCCCCGAGCCAGCAGCAGCAGTAGCAGCAGCAGCAGTTTCTGCTGCTGTTCTCCCGCAGACCCGCACCGGAGTGCAGTTCATTAATGTGGAAATCCGCTACCGTACATACACCCCAGAAGACGAGGGAGTTCTTAGCGAAATGACCCCAGAAGGGCCCACAGGGGGCCCCCCGGGGGCCCCCCCCGGGGCGCCCGCGGGGGGCCCCCCAGGGGCCCCCCCAGGGGGTCCGAGGGACCTGGAAGCCGACGGCGCAGCAGCAGCAGCAGCAGCAGCTGCTGCTGCTGCTGCTGCGCCTCGGCGGCCAGCGTATCTGCTGAAGCCAAGCATAATGGACTTCTCCGCGGAAGTGAAGACAGGAGAAAGAATTGGAATTGTAGGGAGGACAGGAGCTGGTGGGTGTGTGTGTTGGGGTGTACGAACAGACACCTGAATTATTGCAAAATGTCCGTTTTCGAGGTTTTGAACGGAAAAGAAAGCTTTAAACGCCCGAATGCATGACTTTAACTTTTAAATGCATTAATTTAGTTTTTAACTGCATAAATTTGGCTTTAAAAACCCAAAATTCCACTTTGTAGTTCAGAAGTTCCGCGTTTTGAGCGTTTCAGGCAAATCGACGCTGCTGCAGGCGCTGTTTGGCCTGGTGCCCTGCCACAAAGGCCAGATCTTAATAGATGGAGTTCTTTTGTCTTCTTTGTCTCGAGATTTAATTAAATCCATTATTGGTTATTTGCCTCAAAGGTCCATTATCTTCGAAGGATGGAGAGTCAAAGACGTCCTCGACCCGCGGGTGCGACCCCTGCTTCTCCCCCCAAGTTGCTGCTTCGCTGCACCTCAGCTGCAGCAGCAGCAGCAGCAGCAGCTGCTGCTGCTGCTGCTGCTGCACATTTGTCTGGTGTTTCTGCTTCGGAAGCAATGGCTACTCATCTTTTGTGCTTATTGCATTCTAACAATTTCATTTTCTTCTGCTTCTTCCTGCGAGCTTTTTCTTCTTTTTCATTTTTTATCTTTTTCATTTCGCCTTTGTTTAGGCTCATTAAACCTCTCTTCTTTTATTGGTGTTGGTCTTGACTCCCTTTTAAATTCCTTTTTGAATTCTTTTAAAATTTTTTTTGCTCTTTGCTGCAGCTGCTTTTGCTTCGTTTCTTTTCTTCTGCAGCACGTACACTCGGAAGCCACTCTCTGGAAAGCTCTGCGAGCTGTTGGCCTCGAAGAATTAATTTCTTCTCTTCCGGGAGGCTTGCAGCTGGACACAGTAGTTGCTGCGGACACAGCAGCAGCAGGCTTCGGCAGCAGCAGCAGCAGCAGCAGCAGCAGCAGCAGCAGGTGCACGCTCTCGGCCCGCCAGCTGCGCTACTTGGCTCTGGCCCGCCTCATCGCAGACGAAGACAAACTGCGAGTGGTGCTCATTGACGAGCCGCCTGCAGAAGAGCTGTGGGGCGAAGTCATCGGCAACAACCTGCAGCAGCAGCAGCAGCAGCAGCAGCAGCAGCAGCAGCAGCAGCAGCAGCAGCAGCAGCAGCAGGAGGGGGAGGAGTCTGCCGTTGGGGAGGACGGCGGAGCGCCGCAGGGCGGCGCGCCGGGCGCCCTGCCCGCCGCCTTCCCCCCCCCAGCAGCAGCAGCAGCAGCAGCAGCAGCAGCAGCAGCGGGGCGCGCAACTGGAGAAATTCTTTCGCAGCACTTGCTGCAGTGCTGTGTCTTCGTTGTGGCCCACCACCTCTCGTCCTTGCGGGGCTGCCAGCGGGTGTGGGTGTTGGCTGGGGGCCGCAAGGTGGGGGAGTGCAGTCCTGGGGAAATAGACTCGGAGTTGAAGTTTCGACTTTTCGTAAAAAAGTGCCTCCAAGGCCAAAATTGAATCTTTTTGAAGCTCCCAGCTTTTTATTTCCTACTCTGGCCTTCTGCGCGCTTTAAAATGAGCCAAAAAGACCTTTTCTGCGCAGAGATTTTCACTTTTCGAGTTTTCGACTTGCAAGTTCTGCTGAGCCGCATGCAGTGAACTGCAGCCTTTAGTCCATTTTATTTGCTCAATTCTTTATTACTTGATTTTATTATTTGATTTGATTTTATTTTATTTTATTTATTCATTTAACTCCATATGTTTATTTAACTTTATTTGTTCGATTTTATTATTTAATTTCCGCTCAATTGCGCAGATTTCTAACTTTCTGAATACATTTAAAAGAACATTTCCAAGTTTTGTTTGAAGTGCGAAATTACATCCGAATAAATGCAATTAAAACAAACTGCCCTTTTTATTCCCAGCAAAAGTATTTAAGTAGATAAATAGATATACAAATATATATTTATAAATATATATATGATTATATATATTTAATAAATATATATTAAATATACATCTATATATATATGTATATATCTATACATATATATATATGGTTATAGATAAATGCCTTTTAATGGATTTATAATTATGGATAAATTGTGGCAGTTTGTTCTTGGAATTACTTCGAAAATAGTTTTGGATATTCTGTTGAGCTTTGCCCTCAAGTTGAGAGAAAACTGACTTGTGGCGAAGGCAGCAGCAGCAGCAGCAGCAAGAAGACATAATTTAAAAGTTGAAGTCTTCAAAAGCAGCTCCAAATCCCCAAAATTCTGAGGAGTTTTGTGTGAGTCTTTTGCTGCTTGAGGGGTTTTAGAAGTTTTCCAATTCTGCAAAAATTTGAAAACGAAAAACTTGAAATTCAAATTCGTTTCGACCTCCTGCAGCAGCCACCTTTTTCCGAAGCTGCTGACCCATGCAAGGCAAAAACACTTCTTTAATTGCTTTTAAATGTTAAAAACAAACATTTTAAATTGCGAGAAGACATTTTAAAAGAACCTTCTCGCAAAGTAATATCCTTTCCTCCCCCTGGCTGTCTGTGCAGCGGCGCTGCGGTGTACGTACACCGCAGGCGCTGCGGCTTGGGGGTCAGGACCGGACTAAAGCTGTTCTCTGTCATTTTTGTGTCTCTGGAAAGCACTAAGTTGAAACTAAACTGGAAAATAGAAAACAAAAGCATTACTGCTGCGAATCCGGGAAAAGATAAACATTTTTGTCCTGAGTCAAGAGAGCCTCGAGCTCAGTTTCCCTCAGCAGCAGCGCCAGCGGCGAGGTGTACGTACACCCCGCGGAGCTGCCTATACACCTCAGCGCCGCGCAGGCCGCGATTTCGTCGAAGAAGCCGTCGACGACTGCTGCGTCTTCGGGGTGTACGTACACCCGAGCTGCTGCTGCTGCTGCAGCGCAGTCCAGCTGCAGCTGCTGCGGCTCCCCGGGGTCGCTGTAGACGCAGCAGCGCACAAATTCCAAAGCAGCACGAGCAGCAATTCGAAAGATTCCCATCAAGGCTTTGCTGCGGCTCTGTGCTGCAGCAGCAAACACTCGCTGCTTCCTCGCAAAGAGTCTTTCCATTTCTCTTTCTATGGGCGACCTTCGCCGGCCCAGAGGCCGCTGCAGCCGCCGCTGCGGCTGCAGCAGCAGCGCAGCAGCAGCAGCGCTGCCCCCGGCCCCTTGCGCCCCTGCTGCTGCTGCGCCTGCTGCTGCTGCGCCGCCGCCGCCTGCTGCTGCTGCTGCCGCTGCTGCTGGCCGCTGCGCAGCGTCCTCCAGCAGCAGCTCCAATTCGCTGCTGCAGTGCTGCAGCACTTTCATGAGAGGCAGGAAGCAGCCGGAGGCCCTTTTTGGGGACCTCCATTTTGCTTCTTCATTTGCTGCTCCTAATTGCATGCTTTTGCTGCAGTCTTCAGCGCCACTGCTGCCACTTTTGCTGCCGCTATTATTGCCATTGCTGCTGCAATTGCTGCTGCCACTGCTGCGCAGCAAGTGCTGCGCAGCAAGCAGCGAAACTGTCGCTTCTGCTGCTGCTTGCCCCCGGCTAAACACATAAGCTGTCATGAGGCTTTGCGTTGCTGCTCGCAGCCGCAGGGCCACAGGCAGCACTCGCGGCCTTTCCTGCGCAGCAGCAGCAGCAGCAGCAGCAGCAGCAGCAGGCGCAGCAGCAGCAGCAGGGGCTGCTCTGCTGCTGCTGAGCCAGCCAGCCTTCAAAGAAGGAAATAGCTCAGAACCAATTGCTTCCAACTTCGAAAGTCCAGTTCGCTGCAGACTGCGGCCGATGTGTAGATACACCAGAAGCAGCGCTGGCACCAGCGGGGGCTGCGGTGTACGTACACCTGAAGCTTCAAACGCATGCAAGTCCGCAGAAAGGGCTGCCCGCAGCGTCGCCTCCACCTGAAAACAAAATCAAAATAGTAAATAATAATATAATTTAACATAAATAGATATTTTATAAATAAATAAACTGAAAGGAAGCTGCAGCGGGGCGCGAAGAGCAGCAGCAAGAGAGGTAGCATCGGGGTGTATGTGCAGCAGCGCGGTGTACGTACACCCCAGCAACAGCGCACCTGCGCAGGAAGCCAGTGCTGCTGCGGACTTTTTTCATTTAAAAGAATTTGCTGCTTTTCACTTTCTGAAAAGTCTCGAATAACATCTTCTAGAACTTCAGAATAGCCACTAAAAGCAGCAGGAACATCTTTTGTCACTTTGGCCACGAGGCGGACAAAAAGTTCAAAGAGGCCCCACACCCAGGGCGTGATGTGCTGCTGCACCAGCGCAGCAGCCTCTGCTGCTGCCGCTGCTGCTGCCGCTGCTGCTCCGCCTGCTGCTGCTGCCGGCCGCCAGCTGCTGCTCGCGCCCTGCAGCAGCTGCTGCGCGTCAGTCAGGGCCACGCAGCCCTCAACCACAACAGCTTGTGCTGCTGCATGCTGCTGCGCCAGCAGCAGCTCGAGTTCTGCAGGGGTGAAGTCCGCAGCAGCTGCGGGGGAGGCCTCTCCCTGCTGCTGCTGCTGCTGCTGCTGCCGCCGCTGCTGCTGCTGCAGCGTTGCTGCAGTGGAGTCGTGCAGCTCCTGCGCCACCTTGGCGTAGGCGCGCTTGAAGGCAAGGGCGGTGGCCTTGAGCAGAATGTTTTGCTGCGCTGCTCTTGCTGCTGCTGCTGCTTGCTGCTGCAGCTGCAGCGGCAGCAGCGGCTCCCAGGAGGCCTCGAAAGCGGCAACAACAGCAGCAGTGCCCCTGACGACAGCAGCAGCAGCAGGAACTGTGGAAGCAATCATGGCAGAAAGGGGAGAAAAAGCTGCTTCTACTAATGCAGAAATAAAAGAAATAATAGTTTGATTTGCTTCTGGAGGAATGGGGGGGTTTGCTGCTTCAGCTGTATCGACAGCTGCGCGCACCCGCTGCAGCGCAGCAGCCTCCGTCTTGTCTTTTGCTTCTTCACTTTCTTTTTTTCCTTTTTCTTTTGAAATTGAAATAAACTTGAAAATAAATAACAAGTCCTTCACTGCTGCTGCCACTAGGCCCACGTAGTGTACAGACACCCGGCTGCACGCTGCTTCCAGCGCGAGGTCAGCACTTGCTGCGCTCACTTCCTTGACAACATCGACTTCTGCCGCTGCAGCAGCAGCAGCAGCACCATCTGCTGCTGCTGCAGCAGCCGCAGCAGCACTTTGCGCTTCCCTCGAGAAGCACTGCTGCAGCGCAGCAAAAGCTGCGTGCCGGCGGCCCCGCTGAAACAGCCGCAGCAGCTGCTGCGGCTCCTCCCCGCTGCGCAGCAGCAGCCGCAGCACTTCCGAAGCAGCTTCAGGGTCAAGAGGGGGGCCCCCCGGGGGGCCCCCCGGGGCCCCCCCCTCATTGTGGAGCCTGGGGCCCCCCGGGGCCCCCCCCGGAGCCCCCCCCGGGGCCCCCAAGGCCCCCGTGCCGTCCCCGCTGCCGGGGCCCGCCGCGCCCGCGGGGCCCCCCGGGGGCCCCCAGGGGCCCCCCAAACCGGCCGGGGCCCCCGAGGGGGCCCCCGGGGGGGCCCCCGGGGGGCCCCCCGGGGCCCCTGCTGCTGCGGGGGCGTCGAGCTGCTGCAGCAGCAGCAACTTGGCGCGGGCTGCGAGGGCGTCTGCGTCGGCCTTGAGGAGAGACAGGCGGGGAAGGTGGGAGCAGCAAAGTTGCTGCTGCGCCAAAAAGAGCCTGGAGTGTTCGTACACCCGAAGGGCCCCCAGGGGGTCGGGGGCCCCCAAGAGCTGCCGCAGCAAATGGGGAAGAGTGGCGAGGGTTTGGAGCTGCTGAATGAGCTGCCTAAATGCGACTAAGTCCTCAATGGCTGCAGCACGCTGCTGCAGCGTGGCGACGACTTTGCTGCTGCTGCGCTCCACGTAGCCCACTTTTGCTGCCAGCTGCTGCAGCAGCAACTCCACAGACCCCAGGGCCCCCCGCACCCGCCCCACAGCTTCTGTTGCACTTAAAAACTTGGAGTAGTTTTCGTAAACTAAAGTTTGCATTTCTCGCTCGAGAGTTTTGCTGCCAGCCTCCAGCTCCTGCTGCAGCCGCAGCAGCTGCTGCAGCGAGCAATGCTCCAGAGCAGCAGCAAAAAAGGCCTGCATGTTGAACTCCGCAGACCCCAGGTCCAGCGCTGCTGCCTCCAGCTGCTCCCCCCTCTCTGCTGCTGCTGCTGCTGCTGCTGCTGCCACGCTGCTCGCCACGCTCCCGGGGCCCCCGACGCCGCTCCCGCCTGCAGCAGCAGCAGCAGCTGACTGCTGCAGGTACGGCAGCTCCTGCAGCAGCTGCAGCGCCGTCTTCACCGCGCTCCCCGCGCCCGCCGCTGCTGCTGCTGCTGCGCCCCGCCGCTGCTGCTGCGGCTCCGTCTCGGGGACCCTCTTCGCGCCCTCAGCTCCCGCTGCTGCGGCTGCTGCTGCTCCTGTTGCTGCTGCTGCTGCTGCACCGGGCCGGTCCTCAGCAGCAGACTCCGCCACTTCGGACTCCTCCAATTCGTAATAAAGGTGCAGCATCTGCTCTACGCGGCTGCGGGGGCGGCCCGAGGCGGAAGCTGCTGCTGGGGAGGCCCCCGGCGCCGCGGACTCCGTCGGGGGGCTGTTGGGGGCCCCCCGAGCTGCGCTGGAGGCCATGATGAGGCCCTTTGAAGAAGCTTTGAAGAATTGAATGGCATTTAGTTTTTTAAACTTGAAAAGGAGAAGAGCTGGAGGGCTTCAGAGGCTCCAGGCTGCAGCGACTCACCCCCCCTGGCCTGGAGTGGCGAGCCGCCCGCCCGCTGCAGCGCAGCAGCAGCTTTGCTGCGGCTTATAAATGAATTTTTAACTTTAATTTAATGCATTAAAGCTTTTAAATGCATTTAGTTGGGGAGCTGTGCATGCGCGGCGCACTAAAGCTGAAGTTTCTCTCTCGGCGCATTCAGCTCCTCCGTGAATAGTCGGTGGCAGCCCCAGTCCGTGATCCCGGAGCCCTGCTCATTAAAAACTCCAAATTGTTTAATTTTTTGGATAATTTTGACTAAATTTGCTCAAAATTTTGACCAAATCCGCCCAAATGTTCTTTCTTACGGGTTAATCGGAGTTGCTGCACGCCCGGAACTCGCTGCGCTGCCGAGCACTCACGGAGGATCTCACCCCACAGCAGCAGCGCCAAATGGAAAGGAGAATTCCATTTTCTGATTTTAAATATTTAAAAATTAGATTTTTTATTTGCTGTCTTTCCAGTTGAAAGGAATATCAACCGAGACTTACCTGCAGTTCGACTCCTCTGTTTCGCCGCAGCTCGTCTCGCAACAGGCGATTTGCACAGCGGCGCTACAGCTTTCTTTTCCATTTAAGAAGCAAATAAATTAAAATTAATCTCAAATATTAATTTATTTTGTTGATCTGGCGGAGTTGAATTGCTGTTTCCACTTGTTTACTCGCCAGACACCGCAGGAGCTCTTCAGTTCAAGTTTTTGCTGCTGCACCCGCTGCACCATTTACTGCTCTTGCAGCAGCAGCAGCAGCAGCAACGCGGAACTGAACTCAGCAATACGACGCAGTGCAAAGGGAAGAGATAGGTCCAACTGTCTTGGAAATTCAACACCCCATAAATAAATAAAAATATCTTCTTTGAATTGCAGTTCATCACACAATCCTGGGTGAAACTTTGTCAGAAATTCCAGATCAAGTTACGCAGCAGCTTCAGCTGTTCTTGCTGCTGCGGAGTCGCTTTTGCTGCTGCAGCAAATGCAAAGTAGAAGCAAGAAAGGCAGGAAGCAAATGGGAATAAATAAGCGCAAAAAGACTTCAAGTGGTGAAGAGCTTGCTGCAGCACTCTTCGTTTGCAAGTGTCTTTACACTAGGAATTAAAAAAGGGATTTATTCTTTTATTTCAATTTAAAGGAATAATTTACTTCTTTAAATTAAAGTAAAAGAAGTACTTTACTTGTTTGTGGGTCTTCACTCCTGGCGAGCTTAAAAGAAGTGAAGCTGAAATGATTGCATGCATATGGAAAGTTCAGACTTTAATGCAGACAGAAAGAATTCAATTTGCATGCATGGGAGCCTAAAACCCTAAACCCTAAACCCTAGACTTTGTCTCCAAATGAAAAACTTCAATTTGCATGCGCGAGAGCCTAAAACCCTAAACCCTAAACCCTGAACACTAAGCTTTGGCCGAAAACCAAAGAATTCAAGTTGCACGCATGAGAGCCTACAGCTCTAAAACATAAACCCTAAACCCTAAACCCTAAACCCTACACCCTAAACTTTGGGCGACGCAGAACGGATTCAACTTGCATGCATGAGTGCATTCCCCTGTGCTTGTCTAAGAGGACACCTGGGCACATCAGATTAGAAACTAAACACTTTCAAAACCCTTTAAAAGAATTATTTTAAATAATAAAATTCTTTTAATTATTTATTTTGACTTATTTGGCCCCAAGAAGTTATGCTGTTCAAATTTGAAATTATATTTCCCGCTGCAGGACACAGCGGAAAGCAGTTTCCTGCAGGCGGGCCAGAGCATGCAAGAAAGCAAAAAGATTCTTTTTTTAATTAATTCATTTAATTAATTCATTTTAATTAATACTAATTAATTATTCATAATAATTAAAATGAATTTATTATTATTCACAAGTCCATTTCAAGAAATGAGCTGCAGACCCACCCATCGTGGCTGTTTAGTCTAGGGGTATGATTCTCGCTTCGGGTGCGAGAGGTCCCGGGTTCGAATCCCGGAACAGCCCGTTTTGTGCTCTTTGCTCCAGTTTTGATCCACTGTGACTATTTTCGCAGCTTTTCACTGTTTTAAAGGATTTAAAATGAAAAATATTCGGAAAATTGGCTGCAATTCCCGCAGAAAATGGTGCAGTTTGAGGTGCTGCTGGGCGTGCAGCATCCACTGGACCACTGGGTGGAATACGGGGCCAGGATGCGAATTTTTTGCAGGGATTTCGCCGCTGAATTATTTAAAACATTTTATGTTTTGAAATTATTAGAAGGCAAATCGGAAAGGGCATTTTCGAAGGCATGCAGCCTCAGAAGTAGTCCGAGAAGGCAGCAGCGGAGAAGCAGTGATCGCCGCCGACTGGGGCTGCCGGGGCTGGTGGGGATTTTCAATTAAGACAACAGGATTTCAGAAAGTTTACGTTTTAAAAACTCTTCTGCTTTTTTAGATTTAATTTTTCGCGCGAATTCCACTTGTGGCTGTGGGTAAGCTTGCGTCGCGGTGGATGTACACCGGAGGGCGCTCGCGCTGCAGCAGCAGGAGTGGTTGGAAGTCACCTCAGTAGATCTCCGGAACTAAGAAACCTTCCGTCCCAGCCGAAGGCCAGTAGATTTAACTTATTCCTTTTGTTATTTCTGACTCATAAGGAGAGCTTTCGCGTCTCGTTTGTTGCCCTCCGTCGCAGCCAAACACAGCAGGATCCGCTTCTGCAAGTTTCCGTTTCCCCGCGCGTTACGCCACCATGGGCATTGCTGAGGGCGACAGCAGCGCTGCAGGCGGGCAGAGCCCCACTGTGGCGCTGCGTCCGGCCTCTTCGCGGGCGGAGAGCAGCAGCAGTAGCAGCAGCAGCAGCGGGGCGGGCAAGCCGACGCAGCAGCAGCGGGTGTGCCAGCTGCTGCTCGAGCGCCACGGCAGCCGCGTCGTGCAGCTGCTGCTGCACAGCGAAGATGGCAAAAAGCTGCTGCGGGCGTTTTTGGCTTTTGCCCTTCGCCCTGCAGAACAAGGCGGGGGAAACTTCTTGCTGCGGCTCGCAGAGAAGGAGCCGCTGCTGCTGATGCCCGTGCTGCTGCGCAAGTCCAGTGAGCTAGCAGCAGCAGCAGCAGCAGCAGCAGCAGCAGTCCGGGTGTAGGTACACCGGACGTGCTGCAGCAGCAGGCGAGGGCGCTCAGATGAGATTACAATATTTATTTTTGCATTTTAAAAGGAGAAAGTGAACGGATTTGAACAAATATTACATTTCTTTTTATTAATGGATCTTTGCATGCAAATAAGTGCAATTATTCTTTTTGCTGCTGCTGTTCTCAGGCGATCCAGAAGTTGCAAAAGGCCTCGCAGCTTGCTTCCTCAAGGGCCTCTCTTCTGCTGCTGCTGCTGAAGTGCTGCCAGTTGCTGCAGCATTTGCTGAAGCTGTTTTGGAAATGGTCAAAGAGGAAACAGAAGGAGCAGCAAAAGAAGCCCCTGACGCTGCTGCTACTGCTGCTGCTGCTGCTGATCCTGCTGCTGCTGCTGCTGGCGATAAGCGCGCCGACGGGGAGGGCCAGGACGAGGTGGGTGCTGCTGCTGCGCTGCTGCTGCGCTGCCGTGCTGCTGCTGCGCTGCTGCCGCAGTTTCTTTTGTTTTATTTATTTCTGCACTTATTCAAAGTAAATTAAATTCTGTTGCATTTAATGTATATCCATTTATTTGTTTAAATCCATTTAGGACTTCTTTGAATAAATTAAATCCTCATTATCAATTTCATTTAATTCGACTTTGAAAAAAGGCAGATTAATACTTCATTTAGCTTCTTGAGTTATTCTATCTGCTACTTCTATTGATTTCTTTAAATATTTTTAATTTTAAAAGTCTTTTTTTTAATTTTTAATTTATTTTATTTGAGTTTATTTCCGACTTTAAATTAGGTGGCCTTTGGGCTTTTGGCTTTTGCTTTAAACTTGGCATTTAGAAACTTCAAGAAAAGCGCTGAAGCAACAGCACAGCTGCGTCGTGCTGCAGCAGCAGCAGCAGCAGCAGCTGCAGCAGCAGACTGGGCAGCTGGGCAGACGCAGCAGGAGTGTGGGTGTGTAGTGAATTTTATTTGAAATTTATTTTTCAATTTGCTGCTCAGAGTTTGCTGAGGCGGCCTTCGCGGGTGCAGGAGCTGATACGGGAGCAGCAGCGCCGCTGCAAGCAGCAGCAGCAGCAGGAGCAGCAGCAGCAGCTGCTGCGCCACCGCAGCAGCGCGGCCGACTTGGCAGCAGCTGCGCAGGGCCCCAGAGCCCTTCAAGAGAAGCTCATAATCGAGGCCATCATATTTGCTGCCAGCGAAAGCGCAACAGCAGCAACAGCAACAACAGCAGCAGCAGCAGCAGCAGCAGCAGAGGCGCAGAAACTCTGCGAACAGCTCGTTGAATTCGCTCCAGCAGTTCTCACTCGAGTTATTCAAATTGAAGTCTCCAGGACTCAAGCAGAGCAAGCAGCAGGGGCGCAGGCTGCGCAGTCTACGGGGGAAGACACCCAGCAAAGCAGCAGCAGCAGCAGCAGCAGCAGCGGCGGCGGCGGCGGCGCCAATAACAACTAGGGCAGCAGCAGCAACAAGAGCAGCAACAGGAGAAGAGTCTGCGACAGAAGGAGCAGCAGCAGCAGCAGCAGCAGGGCAGCAGCAGGGAGTGGGGCTGTCTGTGAGGCCGGCAGAAAGCTGAAAAGCTGCCGCGTGTGCGCAGTGTTGTTTGTCTTGCTGCAGCAGCACCTGGAATCAGATCTTTGTCTTGTTTATTTAGAGTTTTTTATTAATAAATAAATAATAAAAATGAATCCATCTGAGATTGTTCAAGAGCTTGCTGGTGCTTCACCGGTTCGGGCCTCCGGCTCCTCCCAGAGCCCGGAAAGAAAGGGAAATGGATCTTATATGCATTTCCCGATTTCGTCTGTTCAGCAGCAGCAGCAAGAGTTTAGAGACACCCAAATTGTTGCAAATGCACAAAAGAGAATTCCAAAAAGGTTTTTGCACTCTAAATGGACGGGAAATGAGCAAAGTGTTGCTTGAAACTGCTGCATTCGAGAACAGAGAGGAGGAAAGGGGCTTTTTAGATGACCTGCAACTTTCTTTTCCTCTTTTTCTTTTTCTTCCATTAATATGTTCTGCTGTTTCACTTGGAGTGAGCTGCAGCGCTGCAGTTGCAGAAAAACTTCAAATGGAAAACCAAATTCAACGAATTTGAACGAAGGCAAAACGCGGGGTTTCTGGTCGATCTTGAATTCAAGTTCGAGCCACTCTTGGTGCAAATACAGAAACTCAGTTCAATAAGTATTTGAAAACAGCTTTTAAAGAAATATCATAACTTCTAGAGAGCTACTGGAGAGCAATGGAGTCTTAGCTCAGCATGCATGGAAAGTATTCAAGAAAAGATGAATTGCTAAAACACAATATAGCGAGATGAAGCGCAGCAGCATTAATTTATGCGGTGATGATACTCTTCCCGAGATTTATTTTGTTGATTTGCATCTTTTCAGCAAGAGAAGTCCTGACTGCTGAGAACTTCGTGCAAGAATGAGTACTAGAACAAAATCTGGCTTCTTTGCCTTTGTTTCTGTGGCCCTCGCTGAGTAAAAGATTACATTCAAAAACAAATTCCAAAGTCTTTTAAATTCCGAAGTCTTTTCAAGGATTTGTGCTGCTGCAGCGGCGCAGGCCTCTGGTTTCATTCAGGTTTGGCTGCAGCAAAAGCTGAACGAGCTCTGCTGCAAGTCATCTGAGCTGATCTCTTGAAAGGGAAGATCTTTTGTTCCAATTAAAGGCCAAAAGGACTAATGGCTTTTTATATTTGCTTCCTGTCTTCAACAGAGGCATTATTCTGCTTCTTCTGCTCTCCACTGCACACCGCCTCCACTAGCTGCTGCTTCTGCAGCAGCTGAAAGAACTTCTATTAGCAGCAAATCCTTTCAAACTTCTGGGGCCCCTGCGGGTTTCCTCGACGATTTGGGTCTATTTAGCAGCTGCAGGACTTGGATTCGCTGAAACTCTTAAGTTCGACTCTGTCTTGCGTGTCGCCTACAGAGCTTTCGGAGTTGTTCAAGAGAGTTTACTGCCCTAAACATGCCAATCTATTTCCACAAAAAGCAAATATTTATAAACAGCGCTACAATAGAGGCTTTAGTCAGGGCTAGAGAGGCAGGAAGCTCTATTTCCCACCTTTCCTATATGGCCCCCTGCTAAAGGTTTAGAGGAGTGCTAAGGAGTCTGAAAGGCCTTTCTTTGCGAAACATGCTGTTAGGGAATAATGAATTAGTTCGGAAGAAGGGTCTATGTGGATATAATTGAATAAATTAGTGCAGATGTGCCTGCCCGCACATGCACACGCGAGTAGCTGGCGTCTGCTGCCCCTCGTTTTGCTTCTATTTGCACGCACAGCATTTCAAAAAGAACAAACACTAACTGGCCTTCGTGTCCCGGCCTATTTTCCAGGTTTTTTCGCGAAGTTGTGCTGCAGCAGTCTTGCTTCCGCTGGCAGATGCAAGCCGCGAGAAGCAGAAAGTGCTGCTGCGGGCAGCGCAGTGTCTTTCCCGTATCTGGAGGCTATTGAATTGGCTTTTCTAATTCATCACAAACTTGGAAAGCTACGCCTTTCGTTTGTGCGCGCCCAGCAGCCTATTTGCCAGAGGCCAGTGGATCTGCAACGCAACTTGCCTGCCACCTGGCCGATTAAGCCCATAAACGGGAGTATCTCTTTCCCTTTCTTTAGCAAAGTATAAATGGAATTGTTGCGGGGAAAAAATTCGAAGAAAAGGAGCAAATAAAGGGCGTGAAACGCAGTGTCGAACGGCGCAGCCGGCTTTCCACATCGGGAGTGTGCGGCGCCGGCTGTTCTGTACTTCCCCAAGGCACCACTTTTCCTGACCTTCTACGAAGTAAAATAAATTCCTTCCGAATAAACTGGGGCTTTCGGGGGCTTCTCTGGAGGCTTCTGTTTGCGGAATCCGCGAAAGCTCTGCACGCGACCGCGCGGCTGTCGCCAGCGGCCCACGGGGAGCAAAGATGGGAAGCCTCGACCATATCTTGCATGCTGGTGACTGGCGATCAAGTTCTCTTTTAAATTTCTTCAATTTAATCCGCGAATTCTGTTCTTGGAGGCGCCGCGGAGGGCTGGACTGCCGCGGATTTCAGCTGTTGCAGCTTACCACGGAAAGCTGAACAAGCCCGCTGCAGCTGCGTTTCGGGCCCCGTGCATTCGACTGGCCGGTTTCCGAGTTTGTTTTGCATTTATTTCTTCGCCGCAAATGCCAAAAGAGGGGAATTAAATCCGCTGATCCCGCAGGTTGCATGTTGAATATGCTGGCTGCGCGCAGGAGCCGAGCCTTGCTGCGCGGTTGCTGCGAAGCCGTCCGGATGCTGCAGCTCTCCGCAGCCCCCTGCTGGCTTTCCGATGTTGGAGACTGAAGATCTCTTCAAAAAGAAATGGACTTCTTCAAAAGGGGGCCCCCGGGGGCCCCCAGCAGCGCCTGCGGCCGCTCCGCTTCCGCCGGCGCCTTCCGCCCATCCCAGCCGCTGCTGCGCAGCTCCAGCTCTCCCCTGGAGCGCCTTGAGTCGCTGCAGCAGCCAGAGAGCTTTTGCTGCGCCGATCAAGCAGCAGCGGCAGCAGGAGCAGCAGCAGCAGCGGCGGCAACGCCCCTCTTCTACTCCCTCGAGGCCTCTCCCGCGGCTAGCTGGGAAGCTCAGCCTGCTGCTGCTGCTGCTGCTGCTGCTGCACATTTGCCTTCGCCTCTAGACAGCTACATTCTGCACCCGGTGGCCTCGAGCCCTGCGGACTTCAGTTCGGAGAGGCCCGGCAGCAGCTCCCCTGCTGCTGCTGCTGCTGCTGCTGCAACAGCGAGGGGCCAGTCAGCGCCTGAGACCTGCTGCGCTGCAGAGGCGTCCGGCAGCAAACTGCAAGTCGCTGCCCCCTTCAGCGACATCCAGCAGCAGCGGCAGCAGCAGCAGCAAAGTGGCCCTGTGCTTGTCCGCTGCACTTCAGGGCCCATTAGCCACTCAAGAAGCCCCTCAGCAGAACGTTTGTCTCTCTACCGCGACTCAGCAGCCGCTGCAGCAGATGCTGCAGCAACTGCAGCAGCAGCTGCAGCAGCAGCTGGTGCTGCAGCAGATGCTGCTTCGGGCTACGCCCACCAAGAAGCAGCGCAGCACCTGGGCTTTTGGGGGCCTAAACAGGATTTATCCGCAGCTATTCATGCCCATCATTCGCTGCAGCAGCAGCAGCAGCTGCTGCAGCAGCAGCAGCAGCTGCTGCAGCAGCAGCAGCAGCTGCTGCAGCAGCAGCAGCAGAAGCAGCAGCAAGAGGCGTCCCCTTCTCTAGCCTGTCGCATGCGGCTTGAAGCCAGCCGGCCGCCTCGCGCCTTTCAGCGGTCCGCTTGGGGCTCTTTGTCCCGCCCAGAGTCCGCAGCAGAGGGTTTTGCTGCTGCTGCTGCTGCTGCTGCTGGGGGCGGCAGCAGCAGCAGCAGCAGAAGCAGCAGCAACTCCTGTCGCAGCGTTCGCGCGGCGCACCTGTCGCTGCCCACAATGCCCCCCGTCCCCCCCCCAGAGGGGCCCCCGGGGGGGCCCCCCTGGGGGCCCCCGGGGGGCCCCCCAGGGGCCCCCGTGGGGCCTCGAGTGACCTCAAGAGTTGGTCTAAAGTGCCGGCAGCAGCTAAGCAGTTTGCTGCGCTCTGTGTCTTCCCCAGCTTTGGCCTTCAGTGGGCCTTCTCGGGCAGAGAAGGGCTGGCGAGGGGGAGGTGCTTCTGTGGCTTTTGCGGGCAAAGAAGCAGCAGCAGCAGCAGCAGCAGCAGCAGCGGCAGCAGGGCGGGGGGAGGGGGAGGGAGCAGTGGGTGGCCGCTGCGCGCCTGCGGCCGACTTCTCGGGCACCGCCGCTGCAGCTGCTGCTGCGGACGCCGCTGCAGCTGCTGCTGCGGACGCTGGTGCAGCGACCTTCAGCAGCAGCAGCAGCCGCAGCAGCGGGAGCCTGCTGCAGCAGACGGGCTCTGGGCGCTGCCGGGCGTGGGGTGTACGTGCAGCTGACACTTCTTCTTGGCATTCTTTTAATTCTTCTTCTCCAGTTTTTAACTTCAGCAGAATTTCAAGAAACTCTTTCCAGCCGGGGGGCCCCCCGCAGCAGCAGCAGCAGCAAGGGGGTGCCCCCAGCTTCAGTTCTCTGCCGCTGAGCAGCAGCAGGCGCTACTCCTCAGACGTCGACTCCGCAGCAGACACAGCAGCAGCAGCAACAGCAGCAGCAGCAGCGCCTGCAGCAGCGGCTGCTGCGCAGCAGCAAGACAGCTCCCGAAACGCAGAAGGGCCTGCTGCAGCAGCAGCGGCAGGCGGCAGCAGCAGGTCTCTTCCCGCTGCAGTTGACAAGGGCGCCAACGAGCTCTTCCGCAGGCCAGCAGCAGCAGCAGCAGCAGCAGCAGCGGCAGCGGAGCCGGCAGCAGCAGCCTCGGGCGACACAGCAGCAGCAGCAGCAGCAGCAGCAGGGGGAGTTGAAATGGAAGGATTCGTGCAGGGAGTCCAGAGCTGCCTCTCTCGACTAATTAAAAACTTCCCTCCAGGTTATGAACTTCATAATGGATATGGGGCCTTTTCAGTACCCTCTTATTGGCTAGCTGAGGGCCCCTGGGGGCCCCCCCCGCTGCTGGGGGCCCCCGCAGCAAGCAGCAGCACCAGCGCCCCCGGCAGCTGGAGAGACACTGCAGCAGCAGCACGCAGCAGCAGCAGCAGCAGCAGCAGCCAGCAAGCAGAGCCCGCCGGCAAGCCGGCAGGGCCAGATGCCGACCTTCCTGCTGCTGCTGCTGCTGCTGGGACGGCGGCGTCTGCTGCTGCGTCGTCTGTTGCTGCTGCGGGCTGCAGCAGGGGAGCAGCAGCAGCAGCAGCAGCAGCACAAAGCCAGGAGATGGGCCTGGAGATTGTGTTTGCTCTAGATGTTGTGCCTTCGGAAACTTCTGCTGCTGCTGCTTCTTGCTTCTACTCTGTGGAAGCAGTTGTTGGCCGTGGGGCCCACGGCGCTGTCTTCCGGGCCAAGCGCTTCACCACCACGCAGCAGCAGCAGCAGCAGCAGCAGCAGCAGCAGGAGTCGGAGTCTGGGCCTTCTGGCTCTGCCTCTGGCGCTGCAGCAGCAGCTGCTGCAGCGGGCGCCGCGCCCCCAGCCGTCGCATCGCCGCCCTCCCCCTCCGCCGCGGGGGAGAGCAGCAGCAGCAGCAGCAGCAGCAGCAGCAGCGAGGCGGAGGAAGTGGAAGTGGAGGAAGACGAAGTGGCGCTGAAGATAATAGACCTGGACGGGGCGCTGCGGACGCAGTGTACAGACACCGGAGGGCGGGGCCGGTACCTGCAGCAAGTGCTCGCGGAAGCAAAGCTGCTGCAGCAGCTGCAGCACGAAAACCTGCTCAAGTGCCACGAGGCCTTCCAGTGGCCTCCTTGCTTCTTCGTAATTGTCACGGAGTTCCTTCCGGGGGGTTCTCTGAGGGACCTTTACAAGTCTGCGGGGCCCCTCCCGGAGCCGGTCATCGCGGGGGTTCTCAAGTCCGCTGCTGCTGCTGCTGCTGCTGCTGCTGCTGCGGGATGCGCTGCAGCAGATGCTGCTGCTGGGGAGGGGCGGGGGCTGCTGCGCGCTGTGCTGCTGCTGCTTCTGCACCTGCAGCGGCTTTCAGTGGGCCTGCTGCTGCTGCAGTGCTTGCTGCTGCTGCTGCTGCTGCTGCTGCTGAGTGGGCGCGGTGGGTGCCAGGGGATTTGCTTTTTGGAGAATTTGAAGACTTTGATGATCCAAAGTTCGTTTGTGCTGCTGCTGCTGCAGAGATGTGGTGGCAGCTCTTGCGTATTTGCATTCCACGGAATTCGACGAAGACGGAAGGTGCAGCAAGCAGGTGTACATACACCGCGACGTGAAGGCCGCCAACATTTTGCTGACGGAGTCTGGCACTGCAAAGTTGATCGATTTTGGCATTTCCAACGTCGGAGGTGATTTTATTTTCAAATTTAATTCATTTTTGTCTTTTAAAATCCTTCTAAGCACTTAAAATCGGCCAAATCCGCTTCCAAGCCGCTGCTGCTGCTACTGCAGCTGCTGCTGCAGCCGCGGCAGCAGCTGCTGCACTGGCAGATTTCGTTGACACTGCGCCTTTTGAGTTTTGATTTATCTCAAAGTTGCATTTATATTTTAAACCCAAATATAAAAAACAAACTGTCATTTAATTAATTGTTTTCATTTAAACTTTTAATTTGCATTTTTTCCTTATTTCCTGAAAGGCATTTTCGCTGCGGCATTTGGCAAATTGAATTTTCAGAGATGCAAAAATAATTAATTTTTCATAAGTCCTTTTAACTCTAAAAGAGTTTCTTGTATTTCTCCTTTGTGCCTTTAAGAGCTGCAAAAAATCCTCTTTTGAGCTGCAGAACATCCCTTTTCCCGGTGCTGCTGCTGCTGCTGCTGCTGCTGCTGCTGCTGCTTTTGCTGCTCCTGGCCAGAATGGGACTCCGAATTCGCGGGCACTCCGCAGTGGATGGCCCCGGAAGTGGCAGCTATATTTTTTCGCCGAAGTTTCCGACAATTGGGTTCAAAAGAAAAAAACTCCCAAGAGGAAATGGGGGCCCCCGGGGGCCCCCATGGGGGGGCCCCTGGGGGCCCCTCTGGGGCCCCCGGGGGCCCCTATGGGCCCCCCGTGGACATTTGGTCTCTGGGCATTACTGCCTACGAACTCGCCATGGGCTGTTTGCCGTGGCCCAGCAAAATGAAACTGGAAAAGGTACTTTAAAAGAAATTGAAAAAGAGTTTTTGCTAACTTTTAAAAGTTGTTTTGAAAAATTGAAAAAGAGTTCTTGCTGCCTTTTCCGGTGTACGTACACCTCAGCGGGCCTCGGGACTGTACAGCCACTGCCCCTTTGCCGCTCCTTTCAGTTGCCCCACTTGCGTCCCGTAATTCCTCTTTCCACTGCTGCTGCTGCTGCTGCTGTTGCTGTTGCTGCTGCTGCTGCTGCTGCTGCTGCAGCTGATGCACATGATCGCCTACGGCCCGGCTCCGCGCATAAACTTGAATGAAGGATTTGAAAAGTCCTTTTGTTATTTTGTGGAAAAGTGTTTGCGAAAAAACGCCAAAGAGAGGTGGGTGTCGCGTGGCTGCGTTCAGGTGTCTGTACACCCCAGCGCTTCACACTGTTCGCGTGTTCTGCTCCGTTTGCCTTATTATTTTATTTTGTTTATTTATTTATTTTATTTTTAAATTCAATGTAATTATATTTGAATTCATGATCTCTTTTTAGGGGAACTGCTGCTGAGCTGCTGAAGCACGACTTTCTGACAAGTGAGTTTTGCTTCCGGTGTCTGAACACTTCAAATTTCCAAATTTGAATTTGTTTTTGAATTAATTTTTGAATTTATTTAAAATTCTTTTTCAATTTTGAACTTTATTTTCAACTTGATTTTAAATTAGCTTTTTTGATCTGTTTTGACCAGAGGTTTTCCGAAATTTGGATTTTTCGCGTTTTCCGCTTATACCTTATTTCGATGTTTTTGACTCAATTTTTGGATTTACCATTTCAAACTTTTCCCAAATAAACCATTCCTGACAGGTCCTTTAAACGTCCTTTTAAAGTCCTATAAAGGGCCTTTAAAAGTCCTTTAAAAGCTCTTTAAAAGTCCGTTTTTTGCTGCATTAAACCACTTTTAAAGTCTGCATGCAACTCTTTTTGCTGCAGAGTTCGGCTCCAGCAAACGCCCCCAGTCGCATGCAGAGCTGCGGGAAGCTGTAGAGGCTTTTAACGGCAAGCGGCAGCGTGAGCTTTTATTTTTATTCATTTTATTTTTTTATTTGTTTTTATATTTTCTTTCATTTCTTTTTCTTCTTTTTCTTTTCCGTTGGCTGCCTCTTCTTCTGCTGCTCCTTTTGGGCCTTTTGGGCTCGCGCCAACAGTTTTACTTCTGCAGCAACGCTCCCTCTGCTGCTGTTCTTGCTGCTGCTGCTGCTGCCGCTGCTGCTGCTGCCGCTGCTGCTGCTGCTGCTGCAGCTTGTGACGCTGGTTCTGGGGCCCAAAGGCTGCGCTTTAGGAGCTCCACGGCCATTTGCTGCTGCTGCTCGTTGCTGCTGCTGTTCCTTTTGCTGCTAAGGGCCCCGCGCCCGCGCGCCACTGCTGCTGCGCTGCTGCTGCTGCTGCGCTGCTGCTGCAGCTGCGTTGCTGCTGCTGCTTGTTGTGTGTCTGCAGCCTCCGTGCTTTCGACAGTAGTGAAGTACTTCAACAGCTGGGGCAAAAGAGGGGCCAGCAGCAGCAGCAGCAGCAGCAGCAGGGCCTCGCGGCGGCGGCTGCCTGCAGGCCGGCTGCAGCACTGGGGCTCTGGGGATCCTGTGGGGGCCCCCCGGGGGGCCCCTTCAGGTCAGCAGCTTTTTAGTTTTTGTCTTTTGCTACTCTTCGGTGCAGCAGCAGCAGCAGCTGCTGCTGCTGCTGGTGCTGCTTTCTTTGCTGCTTTCCAGGGCCTGCTGCTGCTGCTTCTGGTCTTGCTTCTCTGTCTTTGTGATCCTGCCGGAGACACGCTGCAGCGTATCTGCAGCCTCGCTGCTGCGGCTGCTGCTGCTCAGTCTGCTGCTGCTACTGGCGATGCTGCTTAGTCTGCTACTGCTACTGCTGCTGCTACTGGGTCTGCTGCTGCTACTGCTGCTGCTCCTCAGGCTGCTGCTGTTGCTGCTGCTATTGCTGCTGTTGCTGCCGCTTCTGCTGCTGCTGCTGCTGCTGCTGCTGCTGCTGCTTAGTCTGCTGCTGGTGCTGCTGCTGCTGCTACTCAGTGTGCTGCTACTGCTGCTGCTTCTGCTGCTGCTGAGTCTGCTGTTGCTGTTGCTTCTGCTGCTCACTGTGCTGCTGCTGCTGCTCAGTCTGCTGCAACTGCTCAGTCTGCTGTTGCTGCTGCTGCTGCTCCCTAATCTGCTGCGGGTGCTCCGTCTGCTGCTGCTGCTGCTGCTCACTCTGCTGCTGCTGCTGGTGGTGGTCAGTCTGCTGCTGCTGCTCAGTTTGCTGTTGCTGCTGGTGCCCACTCTGCTGTTGCTGCCGCTGCTCACTCTGCTGCTACTACTGCTCAGTCTGCTGTTGCTGCTACTATTAGTGCTGCTGCTAGTCAGTCTGCTGTTGCTGCTACTATTAGTGCTGCTGCTAGTCAGTCTGCTGTTGCTGCTACTCAGTCTGCTGCTGCTGTTTAGTCTGTCGTTGCTGCTTCTGCTGCTCGAGCTGCTGCTGCTGCTGCCGCTCGGTCTGCTGCTGCTGCTCTGCTGCTGCTACCGCTGCTGCTGCCACGTTCACTGCAGCGGGCTGCCGCCGACGTCTGTATTTCCTTTTCTCTTCTGCTTCTGCGTTCTCTGTCTGTCCACTGTTGATTTAAATTGCTTTTTAATTAAATAAATAAAAAACTAATTTAAGTGCAAGTGCGTCTTTAGTAGACTTTTGGGGTGTATGTACAGCTCGCGGCGGCAGCTTTCAGCACAAGTCCGCGGCCTCTTCCAGCAGTTCATTATTAGCTTGTGCAATTGAGAACATTTCTTCAGCCAGCAGCTCCATGGCGCAGCAGAACGAGCCTCTTGCTGCTGCTGCTGCTGCTGCAGCTGCTGCTGCAGCGCCTGCAGCACCTGCTGCAGCACCTGCTGCAGACGCACCCCAAGCCCACCAAGCGGCGGCACACTTGCACGCGCTCGCAGCCCCTGCGGACGCTCAGCAGGAGCAGCAGCAGCAGCAGCAGCAGCAGGACCAGCAGAAGCAGCAGCAGCCCCAAATTCATCAGGGATGGACTGTCTCGGCCCCGGGCAGTTCCGTAAGTTTTGAAGAGCTCGAATTTGCTGCTGTAGAAGCTGGCATCGCTGCGGCGGACAGAACAGCAGCAGACGAGGGTCTCAGCAGAGCAGCAGCAGCAGCTGCTGCTGCTGCTCCCTCTGCTGCTGCAGCAGGAGCAGCAGCAGCAGAAGCATCTGCAGACACCAAAGAGCAGGAAACGACGGAGTCCCCCAGCCCGCCCAAACCTTCCCGATCTCTTTTCTCTTATTTGTTTTCTGTATTTCAAACAGCTAAGTCTCCGCAGCAGGAAGATGCGCCTGCAGCAGCAGCAGCAGCAGCAGCAGCAGACGGCGCTGGTGCTGCTGCTCCTTCCGCAGCAGCCGACGCAGTTGCTGCTGACGCTGCTGGTGCCGACGCTGGAGCCCCTGCCGCAGCAGCAGCTACTGCTGCGACCGCTGCCGCAGCTCCTGCAGCAGCAGCAGCAACAGCAGCAGCAGCAGCTGCTGCTGCTGCGAGCCTGCCTGGCTCCCTTGCAGCTTCAAGCGACCCCTCGCTCGCCCCATCGGCCAGCGAGCTGAACAGCGAGCGAAAGAAAAGGTCTGCAGTTCTGCAGGCCATGAGGTCCTCGCCTTCCTCGTCAGCAGCAGCAGCAGCAGCAGCAGCAGCAGCGGGGGGGGGCGAGCAGCCCCCGCTGTGGCGGCGGTTTCGCAAAACCCGCGAGCTGAGCCTCAGCAGAAAAATTAGAAATAAAGAAACTCGAATGAGTTTGGCAAAAGGAGCTGACAGGTTTATGGGATTGCTGAAGCGGGTGGGAGTGGTGAGCGATGCTGCTGCTGCTGAAGCAGCAGCAGCAGCAGCAGCAGCAGCAGCGGCAGGGGCGGCCGCGGAGGCGGCGGCCGCGGGCAGCAGCGGCAAAGGCAGGAGCAGCAGCTGCGGCAGCAGCAGAGCTGCCGGGGGCTGCCGCAGCAAAGCAGCAGCAGCAGCAGCAGCAGCAGAAGCTCGCAGCGAGGACTTCTCTCGAGGAATGAGGAGAAACAAATCGCTGGGGAATGGACTGACCAGTGGACCACTGGTCCACTCAAAGCCGGAAGGTCCACTGCAGCAGGCAGCAGCAGCAGCAAGAGCAGCAAGAGCAGCAGCAGCAGCAGCAGACGCTTGCAGCACCTCTTCGAAAGACTCCGCCGCGAAGGCAGCAGCAGAGTCCCTCCCAGCCGCAGCCCCTGGCGGCGAAGAAACACACGCAGCAGCAGCAGCAGCAGCAACAGCAGCAGCAGCAGCAGCAGCAGCAGCAACGGGGCTGGGCGGGCCCATAAAGTTTTTCGACATGCTGGAGAGCCCGACTGTACAGACAGCTCGGCTGCCCTCCAGCACTTCCAGCACCCCACACTGCAGCAGCTCGGAAGAGAATTTAAAAATTAGAAACAAAGTTGCTGCTGCTGGCGACACAACTCCAGAAGACACGGACTCCGAGGGAGCTGCTGCTGCTGCTGCTGCTGCTGCAGCAGCAGCAGCAGCAAGGTACCCCGAGGGCAGCTTCCCCTCGCTGCAGAGGGCGGGGAAAGAAGACACGGGAATGCTGAGGTGTATGGACAGCTCGGCTGCAGCAACGGGCTCTGCTGCAGCGTCGCCGCGAGAAGCGCAGCAGCAGCAGCAGCAGCAGCAGCAGCAGCAGGCCGCAGCAGCAGCAGCTGACGGTGCGTCTGCAGACCCGGCTAGCGCCGCGTTCCAGGAGGAGGCAGCTAAGCAGCAGCAAAAAGAAAAAGACGCAGCAGCAGCAGCAGCAAATGCTGCTGAGGCGGAGCAGCAGAAAAGTTGGCTGGGGGGCCCTCAGGTGTACAGACGGCTGCTGGACGGCATAGCGCAACTCGCAGAGCAAGCGGGCATTCGCCGGCAGCAGCAGCAGCAGCAGCAGGCCAGCAGCAGCAGCAAGGAAGAAGCAGCAACGAACTCCGCCGAGGCTCCCGGCGGGGCAGATCCGGCTGCAGCACAACAGCAGCAGGAAGCCGGAAGCCGCAGCAGCAGGGGGCCCCACGAAGCCCCGCAGCTGCAGCAAGACAGCAACAGCAGCAGCAGCAGCAGCAGCAGCACTCAGCTTTCTGGAGAGCCTCTGCAGCTTGTGGGGCCCCAGGACAGCCGCCAACCCTTTGGAGACCCCAGGGGCTTTTCCAGCCCCGCAGGGGCCCCCTATGGGGCCCCCTACGGGGCCCCTTATGGGGCCCCCTACGGGTCCCCTTACGGGGCCCCTTATGGGGCCCCTGCGAAGGCCCCTGAAGGCTGGGAGCCCCCCGGGGGGCCCCAGCCTTCAGCGGGGGCCCCCGAGACCCCTGGGGGGGCCCCTGGGGCCCCCGGGGCCCCCAGCAGGGGCCCTTCTTCTCAGAGTAGCTGGTTGTGGAATTTGCTGTCTCTTGAACAAAGCAAAAGTTCAAAGGGAGGGGCCCGGGACCCCAGCGTCATAGCTGCGAGCTACTTATCTGAGGGGGGCCCCCCCGGGAGGCCCCCCGGGGGGGCCCCCCTGGGGGCCCCCGGGGGGCCCCCCGAGGGCGTGTGGGTGGGGGAGTTTGGGCGAGGAGCTGCGAGGGGAGAGGAAGTGCATTTGCTGCAGAGTCGAGGCCCCGAAGGCCCGGAAATGATTTCTTTTTTGGTGACAGAAACAGAACCAGAGCCTGAGACCTTTCGGGAGGCCCAGAGGAGAAAATTCGGCAGAGACCACAAGTCCGCGGAGGCCCTCTACTTGCCCTTCCCCCCCTACTCCCCCTCCGCCTCCCAGGGGCCCCCAGGGGGCCCCCCGGGGCCCCCAGGGGGTCCCCCGGGGCCCCCGGGGGGCCCCCAGGGGCCCCTGGGGGCCCCCGAGGCCCTGGGGCCCCAGGGGCCTCCAGGGTACTACTGGCAGCCCTATGGCCATTCCTGCGGGGACCTGTACGCAGCCAGTGGGCGGCCGCGGGGGAACCGCCAGGAAGCTGCTGCAGAAGCTGCTGCTGCTGCTGCTGCTGCTGCTGCTGCTGCTGCAGCAGGCACTTGCGACCGCATGCACTTCACCTCGTATGCTGAGGACTTGGAGGAAGAAAAGCAAAGACAAAGAAGTGCTTCTCTCCACTATCACCCCCCAGCAGACCAGAAAATTGTTTATTCTGCAGCAAAGCTGCAGCAGCTGCAGCACCTGCAGCACCTGCAGCAGATGCAGCACCTGCAGCAGCTGCAGCAGCTGCAGCAGGGGCCCCCCGGCCAAATGCATGCACTGCCGCACGGGGTGTCTGTACACTGCAGCGAGCCCCCCCTCGTGGCAGCGCCTTCTGTGTTCTACGGGGGCCCCCAGGGGGCCCCTCAAGGGCCCCCTCAAGGGGCCCCCCAGGGGGCCCCCCTAGGAGCTGTGGGGCCCCAGGGGCCCCCAGGGGGCCCCCCCGCGTGGGCACTGCCGCAGGGGGCCCCCCCCGCGTACCCACAAATGTTTGCTGCTGGCAGCAGAGGCTTTGCGGCCTACGTGCCCAACGCGTTTTCCGGGCAGCCAGCAGCAGCAGCAGCAGCAGCAGCAGCAGCAGCAGCAGCAGCAGCTGTCCCGCCCGACTTTCGCTCTTTCGCTTTAAACCCCCGCAGACAACAGCCCCACGGCCAGCCGTGAGGCCCCGCATGCAGAAATGCATGCGTTTTTATTTGCTGACTTTCTTTGCTTTTTTGTGTCTGCAGCAAACTTCTCTGCATGCGCTTCGAGCTGCTGCGGGGCCTTTTGCCTCAGCAGCGCTGCTGCAAGTGCTGCAGCAGTGCAGCAGCAGCTCCTCGTAAAGAACGCAGCTGCAGCAGATATAGTCAGCAGCAGCTCTTTAGAATACTGTGACTAACGGACTCTCTGCCGGCAGCTTTCCCTAGCAGCAGCAGCAGCAGCAGCAGCAGCAGCAGCAAAGTGGTGCTGATGCAGCAGCAACAGCAGCAGCAGCAGCAAGGCGCTGCTGAGGCAGCTATAGCCGAACTGCGGTGCGCCTATTGCCTCTGTGCTGCTGCTGTTTGCTGCTGCAGCAGCAGAAAGCAGCACTTGCTTCTAGTGCTTTGGAAGAATATTTAAATAAATAAAATAATAAAATAAAATGAAATAAAATAATAAAATAATTATTTTTATTTGTTTTAGTTCTGCAAAAGGTCAGGCAGAAGGTCCATTGGTCCATGACCAGTGGCAGCCCCCAGCTGCGCCTTCCCTTCCAGCGCATGCATCTGTGCACGCGTCTGCACTGGGGGCTTCTGCTGCTGCTGCTGCTGCTGCTGCTGCTGCTGTGGGGCTGCTGCTGCTGCTGATGCTCCCCAATACAGCAGCTAAGAGCCTCTCCGTCGTCTTTCTAACTGCTGCTGCTGCAGTTGTTTCTGCTGCAGCAGCAGCAGGAACTAGGGGAAAAAAGGGGCGGGGAGGGCTCTGGCCGCGAGCTGCTGCTGCTGCTGCTGCTGCTGCTGCTGCAGCTTCGCTGCGGAAGGCCTGCGGGCCATTTTGAGGTGTACGTTCACCGCAGACGAGCCCCGCAGGCTCCTCAGAGCCCCTCAAAGTCTGCAGCAGCAGCAAAGCAGCTGCCCGGGAAGAAGCAGCAGCAGCAGGGTCTGCAGCAGCTGCTGCAGCAGCGCTGAGCACCTGAAGAGGAATAACAAATTAAAACAAATGAGAGAAATCAGAAAGAGAAATAAATAAATGAAAAAGACTCTTAAACTTTTCTTTAAAATTGGGGATTGCTTCTCACCTCTTTGCTGCTAAGAAATGCTGTGTTAAACCAAATTGGACTTAATTTGAAGAGCTGCAGCAGCAGAAGTCCAAAAAGTGGGAAAGGAAGTAATAAGGAAGTAATAAGGAAGTAATAAGGAAAGAGCAGCAGCGGCACTTACGATGGCTGCAAACAACGCGCGGGGTCCTCTGCTGAGACACACTGCCGCTGCTGCTGCTGCTGCTGCTGCTGCTGCTGGTGTCTGCTGCTTGGGAGCAGGGGTAATGTACTTGTTGCAGAGAGGCAGCAGCGAAAAAGTGGTCGACAGTAAACAGCAGCGCAGCAAAGGGGCAATGGAGCCGCAAGTAGCCAGCGAGCAAATTGCCAGAATTGCTGCATCTGCGTGGCTGTCTTTGTTGCACTAAAGAAAAGGAGTTAAAAAATAAAAACTAAAAATAAAATGATTTAAAATCTCCCGTCAAAACCGTCGCTTACGGCCAATGAGCTGTCGATACACCCCGCCAGCAGCTGCGCCACCTCCGCGTCCCGGAGGCTGCCAATCTGCAAAAGAGAACACAAACAAATAAATAAATATATAAATAAATAAATAAATAAATAAATAAATAATAATTGATTAATTAATTGATTGATTCGCACCTGGTACGACAGCGTGGTGGACAGCAGCAAAGAAGCAGCAGCGCGGACAGTTTCCTCTGCGTGGCTCATCAACGCCAAGTACGCATTTGCATTTATTTGTTTTTTGTTTTTTAAATTATTTTTATCTTCATTTAAATGCTCGCTGAGAGGATTCAAAGCCAGCAACAGCAGCGGCTCGGGAATTGCGTCTGTCTGTTCCTGCAGCAGCAGCAGCAATAAGAACAATATTGAATTTCAGTCTCCTGTTGCTTTGTGCAGCAGCTGCAGCAGCAGCAGCAGCAGCAGCGGCAGCAGCGGCAGCAGCAGCAGCAGCAGCGGGAGCAGCAGCAGCAGCGGCAGCTGCAGCAGCAGCTCACGCTCACCTCAACCTGCAGCAGCAGCGAAATGGCACACAGAGCCAACGCAGGCAAATCTGCTGCTGCAGCCGCTGCTGCAGCAGATTTGCCCTCTGTGGGGCCCCCCAGGCTTTTCCTCAGCAGCTTCAGGAGATTCCCAGAGCAGCGCAGAGAGTGGAGAGCTGAAAACGAAAAGATTAAATGCTGCATGCGCTCCCCCATGCATGCGCATGCATTCATGCATGCATGCATGCATGCATGCATGCATGCGCTGCTAGTTGCTGCTGCAGCAGTACCTCTTGCTTCTGCTGCGTCTACGCAGACGAAGAGGAACTGCAGCAGCACGGCGAGGAAGTCCGCAGCGAGGGGCTGTTGGAAAAATAAGAAAATGAATTTCTCGAAAACAAAAATAAGCAAATTTAAAATAAACAAGAGGAAAGAACAAATTAATTAAAGTTAAAAATAAAAGACAAAAGAAAAATTAATTTAAATTAAAAACCAAAAACAAGACTCACTGCAGCAGCAGCAGCAGCAGCAGCAGCAACAATGCCCGCTAAGTGGTGCAGCCGAATTGAAATCCGCAGCGCAGTTCCTTCCCTCAAGGGCTCGGGGCTCATTAAGTAAAGAGAAAGGGCCTGCGCATTATTCAATTGGAATTAATAATTAAAAATAAATAAATAAATAAAATAAAATAAAAATAAATAAATATAAATAAAAATAAACGTGGGGCTGCATGCAGCCCCAAACGGGGAGCGCCTCCTAATTTGTCCTACCTGGGCAGCCAGAGTCGCGTTAGCTGCTGCTGCTGCTGCTGCTGCTGCCGCTGCTGCTGCTGGTGCTGCTGCTGCTGCTGCAGCAGGGGTAGAAAGCTCAAGCCCTGCTGCCACGCAGCGCCCCAGGAGCTGCAGCAAAGCCTCGGAGCGGCAGCAAAAGTTAAAAGAAGACCCTTCGAGGACTTTTGAAAGAATCCAACTGATGGAAGTTGGCTGCCAGATTGTGCTGCTGGCCTCTGCAGCAAAGACTTGGTTCAGGAGCGCCTGCAGACAGGGGCAGCAAAGGTGACCACTGGTCCACCGCAGCAGCGCCAGTGGACCACTGGACTCACTGGGAACTTGCTGCAGCCCTCGTGCGCAAACAAAGGCAGCAAATGGTCTGCAGACAGCAGCAGGTCGAAGTGGACCATTTGCGAAAGGCTGCTGCTGAGCCCCGGGGGGCTTTTGCCTTGCGCTGCGCATGCATCAGCAGCAGCAAAGAAGCAGTTTAGCGTCTTTTGGCGCGAAAATGCGCAGCAAAAGCAGCAATTAAGCAGAGCAAATGCAGCAAAACCCAAGGGCCTCCCCACCTGCCTCATTTGCTGCTGAAACGCGCCGCTGCTCCACCCCCGCCACTCACAAAAACTTGTGCTGCTGCACACCCGCGAAAACTGCTGCAGCGCCGCGTCTCTGTGTCTCGAGAAGCTGCTGCTTCTCAAGACGACTCCCAGCAGCAGCAAAGCGGGGCGCGGGTGCAGCAGCTGAGAACAAAGAGAAGGGAGCATAAGAAGCAAAGTTGAGGAGTCGAGTGGAAAGTAGTGGCAATTAAATGAAATAAAAAGACAAAAGAAAAACAGAATCGGCACTGACAAATGACAGAGCACAGGGCGTACGGGGGAAGCCGCGGGGAGGTCTTTGAACAACTTATGGATGCACGCCGCTGCTCTGTTTTGTTGCAAAATGGCATTTGGGGTTTTAAAATGATTTATTTTAATTAAACTTACGCCTTTACAGCCGGAGGAGAGTCTTCAAGGCTAGAGCTGAAAGCGGCGATGGAAGATCGGCCGCGGATTCTGCATCGGATTCAACTCACGGGCACGACAGGAACAGGAAAGCAGCAGCAACGAAGCAGCTGTTGTCCGTCTGGAGACAAAAACCCCTTCTTGAGGACAGCTCGTGGTCAGAGGAATACAAATATGCAAAATTACGAGATTGAAGTCCACTGAATGGAGCCCTTCGGAGCGCAGCAGGCTTCCTGAGAGCGCCGCCAATTCCGAAATTCCCGCGCAGACGTCGCAGTCGAGAGCTTCTCCTTCTTCTTGAACTCCCCCGCTCAAAACCAATTTAATTAAATAAACTGCAAAAGATAATTCGGCAGCTGTTGCAGGAGGCGAAGTGGCGGTGTCAGTTTCGGTTGCGAGGCCCAGCGAGAGGCTCAGCATGTTTCTGTTTCTGCACATCACAGAAGCACGAAAGAGAGGCGGAACGAAACTCCACTTGCCCGATCATGTTTTTTTGAGCTGCGAATAATTTTAAAAATAGTAAATTTAACTTTTGGAGGGATGATCACTCACTTGCAGCATTTATAAACTGGTTGGCTTCTTCCGAAATTCTGTCGGAGGCTCTTGGGGATGCGCTGGGTCCAAAAGCTGCACGGAAAACGCCGTTGATGAACTCCGCTTGTTTGCAGCCAGCAGCAGGGCATGCATGCTGAAGAAGAGCGAAATAAAAGTGCAATGAAATGATCTTTTCGGGAATTCCGACGGACTTTCCAGCTGAAGTAGAACACGAAACTCATCTTCATTCCCAAGGCAACGTATTCTCGAATCGACTGGCCGTCTTGTGCGCTTGTTCGCACTTGAGTGAAACCACTTTGAACTTCCACGAGAGTTAAGAGCATTTGGGCGAGGCTGTTGAAGGCTGCGGCGCGGTCTGCAGGTGACCAGTGGACCTCTGTGAGTCGCAGGCCGAGCACGAGCTGCTGCAGGTCGCGGAATCTGAAGCAATTTGCGTTTTATTCCTTTTAATTCCTCGAAATGGAGAAACATTTCCCACATTTGCAGCCAAGAACTGTGAAAAGTCTTCCCAGCTCTGCACCACCTCGCAGCCGCGTTTCTGCACGCTGCAGTTTCTGAACTGAGTCCACCAGCTGCTTCCTGCTGCACCCAGCTTACCCCGGAAAGTGTTTTCGGCCAGAAGAAAGCAGCACAAAACTTGTTCTTTATTTATTCCCGAGTTCAGCTGGAGAGAACAACGGCTTCCCTCTTCAAGTGTCTTTCGGATTTCCGTCAGCAGCAGCGGCGCTTCGGGAACACGGCTGCTGCTGCTGCTGCTGCTGCTATTGCTGCTCTGGCGGCAGAGGCTCGCAGCGCACAGGCCAGTGACTGCCGCGAGCTTCTTTTCGTCTGCTTCCCACTCCTGAAGCAGTTTGCTGCACTGGTTGCTGCTTTGCTGCAGCAGCAAGACTCACTGGTTTCGACTTCAGCAGCGAGAGCGCCGCGTGCAGCAGCCACAGCTGGTCTTGCTGCTTCCGGGCAATGCAGAGGAAGCTGCTGAAGGCTGCGAAGCACTGCAGCAGCAGCAGCAGCAGTCTGCAGCAAGTGGCAGCTTACCTGTGTCGAAGTGGTGCTGCTGAAAAGAGCAGCAGCAGAAGATGTGCGTCTGCAGGCACTGGACCGCCGCGTGGGCCACTGGTCTGTTGTTTCGGACAGTCTCCAGAAGCCAATCAACAATGCAGACATCTTCAATGAACAAAAGTTTCAGATTTTCCGAAAGAGGACTTAAGATCTGCTGCAGCAGCTGCAGCGCAGCTTCCTGCACTGTTGCTGGAGCTGCTGCGGAGGCAAATACGGCCTGAAACGTTTGCCCCAGCTGCAGCAGCAGCAGCGAGTTGTGCTGCGCCTGCTGCAGCAGCTCGCAGCAGCTGAAACACCCAGACACAGCCTCCAGCAGCAGCGGCAGAGCTGCTGCAGTGGGCGGCAGCAGCCGCAGCGCCCTGGCCACCTTGGGCAGGCAGCTGGAAGCAACTGCTGCTGCAGCAGATTCTTCTGCTGCTCGCAGCACTGCACAGAAGCTCCCAAGAATAACATTTGCTGCTGCATCCCCAGCCTTCACTGCAGCAGCCAATCCATCCGTCAAGTGCCCCCACAGCTCTGGATCCTGCGCAGCAGCAGCAGCAGCAGCAGCAGCAGCAGCAGCATCAGTTGAATGGAAAGTTGCACCAAATTTGCAAATCTGTTTACCTGCAGCGCCTGGGGGACGGCGGTGGAGTCCCGGGCTATGAGCTTCTCCAGCAGCAGCAGCAGCAGCAACTTGGGCGGATCTGCAAACTGCAGCAGCCACTTGTGCAGCTTTGCTGCTAGACAAGTTTCGCTGTATTGCTGCTCTTCGGGGCTGTAGTTGAGGGCTGCTGCATCTACAGCCAAGGCGGCGCTGCAGTAGTAAATAAATGAATTAAAAATAAAAACAAAGATATTTATTTTAGAAAATGAACTGCCTACTTCATTGCGGCCTCAGGCTCTGTGCAGCCAGAGGACTCATCCATGTACACCTCGTTTGCCAGCAGCTCCAACTTCGAATTTCGAAAAATAATTCGAAGTAATATTTCGAAATAATAAAACTAAGACCTGCGTGCGTGGACTGCAGCAAGGACTCACAACAGAATCCAGAAATGTCGTTGAGTGCAGCAGGTAATGGCCAATCCGCAACGCCGCAGTCTGCGGCAGCTGCTGCAGCACCACCCACACCTCTTGCACAAATCTGAACTTCGTCACCGAAGGAATCTGCTGCTGCAGCGCCAAAGCGACGCAGTCGAAGCAAATCTGCTGGCCGTTGAAAGCCTCAGTAGCCCAAGGGTGATGTTGGCTGTGTTCTTCCAGCTTTCTGTAAACGCGAAGCGTCTGCGGAACTCGCTCGCAGTCGCCTCCAACCATTTTGACTAGTGATTTAATTTAATATTTGAAGTCGAAGAAAGCAGCACGCAAAACTTAGCGGCGAGAAGATGGTGTGAGAGTGAAGGCGTTTCAGCTTTCTTGAACGGTTCCGCCGAGCTGCCTATACACCCGAACCTACTCAGCACCGCATCACTGTAGCGCTTCTGTTCAGAGGGAATCTTCTGCTATTTCTGTGAATTGTGGGTCCGCGTGTCTCTGAGTCTACAGTTATTATCCTAATAAGCTTATTTTATCCTGCAGGAGTGTTGAAGCTGTCAGGAAACTGGGAAACGGACTTCCCGCGCGCTGCTACTGCAGCTGTTTCTGCACGGAAAGCAGCAAGAGCTAGGCGAGCGGGCAGCTACGAACTGCGCAGTGTGGAAGCTCTGTCAAATATTGGGAGTATAAAATAATTCGTAACAAGCCACCCTGTTTTTTTCGTCTCGCTTCCGGTGGAAACACAAGGAAAACTAGTTGGCGTGACAATGAACAATTGAAGCTAGGCTTGCACGTAGACAGTGCATGCGTGCATTCATTTGTCTCCGTTATTAATTTGCATTAACGCATTCAGTTGACCTTTGAGTGTATGTACAGCTTTGTTGCGCCCTTACAAACTCTCCCAGCCGCTATGTCGCCCGCCTGCTGCGCAGCCAGACGGCCGCCGGCTCCAGCAGCTGCAGCAGCAGCAGCAGCAGCAGCGGCAGCAGCTCCCGCTGCTGCAGAGGGCTCACCAAGAAGTGAAAGGGTCTAGAGTCCCCGTTATGGGGGGAGGCTGTTCTGTGGATTCGGGATAATTGTCGAAGTTCGAAGTGTCATCAAGTCCCTGAAAAAAAACAAATTATTTCTTTTCTTTTTCTGTTTCAAGTAACTACAAATGCACCGAAATAAAGCAATTAAAACAAAACAAAGAAGATTAAACTATTTTAAAAGCTGCTCACTGCATGCGCTTCAATCCCACTACACCACAAACCCCAGCTGCCACAACAGCCACCACCACATGCAGCAGCAGCAACAGCAACAACAGCAGCAGCAGCAGCAGCAACACCATCGTCATCGCCGCGCCACCCCGACCAGCACCGACTGCCCAACAGCAGCAGCAGCAGCACCACCACCACCAACAGCAGCAGCACCACAAGCAGCAGCAGCACCACCTACAGCAGCAGCAGCAGCAGCGCCCCCGTGCCACCACCACCTACAGCAGCAGCAGCAGCAGCAGCAGCGCCCCCGTGCCACCACCACCTACAGCAGCAGCAGCAGCAGCAGGAGCGCCCCCGCGCCACCACCACCTACCGAAGCAGCAGCAGCAGCAGCAGCAGCAGCAGCAGCAGCGGGCTGACCTTGAAGGCGGGCTTGTAGGGGGGCGGGAGCTGCTTGTGGATGAGTGCGTTCCAGTCGAAAGCAGCAAACCACTTGTGTTCTTTTATATCTGCAACTCCGTTTTTTAAGTTTCCGTAACGCTTCGCCAAGTCCGGAGTCAGCAAACGCTTCACCAGCATCTTCGCGTTCCTGCAGCAAAACCACCCACCCCCTGCTGCTGCTGCTGCAGCAGCGGCTAGAGAGCTGCTGCTGCTGCTGCAGCTGCTAGAGAGCTGCTGCTGCTGCTGCTGCAGCGGCTAAGAGCTGCTGCTGCTGCTGCTGCAGCGGCTAAGAGCTGCTGCTGCAGGGGATAGGTGCCTGCTGCTGCAGCGGATAGGTGCCTGCTGCTGCAGCGGCTGGCTAGCTGCTGCTGCTGCGGCTACCTAGTTGGAAGAACGGATAGCTAGCTGCTGCTGCAGCGGCTAGCTAGCCGCTGCTGCAGCTAGCTAGCTAGCGAGCGTTGGGGGCCCCCCGCTACGCGGGGTGTGAAGCACCAAGTGGCGCTGCTGCCCACGCCCCGCGCCGCAAGCACAAACCCTAAACCCCAAACCCTAAACCCTAAACCCTACTTGTCGAAGGACTTGGGGAACATAATTCTCCCCCCCAAAATCTTTTGGTAAACCCCCATGGGCTCGTCGTCGAAGAAAGGCGGATAGCCAACAATCATTTCGTAAATCAAAATGCCCATCGTCCACCAGTCCACGGGCTTTCCGTGGCCTAACGAGCAGCAACACGAAGCAACACACTCCTGCTGCTGCTGCTGCTGCTGATGCTGCTGCTGCTGCTGGTGCTGCTGGTGCGTGGCGTGTGCGTTGGCGCCGCCAGTGCTGCGGCGGCTGCTCGTGTGGGGTCTGCTGCTGCTGCTGCCGCTGCTGCTGCTGCTGCTGCTGCTGTTGCTGGTCTGCAGCTCAGGCCACTGAAGCGCAAAGTGTTTTAGTTTTTCTTGCCTTTGTTCAGCAGCACTTCGGGCGCGATGTACTCGGGAGTGCCGCAGAGGGTGTAGGTGCGGTGCTCTATCACTTTGGCAAAGCCGAAGTCCGTCAACTTCAAATATCCCTCGGAGTCCACCAGCAAGTTCTCTGGCTTTAAATCACTGAAATAAACAGCAGCAAAAATGCAATTATGGCGCAAACGGCTTTTAAAAGAGCACCTAAGTGCGGGCAAACGCGCATGCACAGGAATCTGCATTCAGGATGCACGCAGTGCAATTCAGCCACGCATTTTCCCGCAAAACTCGCGGTGTGCGAGGCAAATAGGCCTTAGTTAATATATAATTAATATTATGCAAAATATTTGCAGCAAATTGATCCAAAAATGCACTTGTTCGCTGCTTGATCACTGTAGATCACTCGGACCACTTCGGGCTACTTTGTGCTAACTCGAAACACTGGCTCGCCAGCCACTTCGGAAATAGTTTGAGTGTTTTCAAATTGATACTTGTTTTATTAATTAAATTAAATAATAAACAAACTAAAACGGACGGTTAAAGGCCAAATGAACTGAAGAAATCCAGCGCTTTACTTTCAATTCACAAAACATGAATATTTCCTGCAGATGCAGCAAACATGCATGCATCTGTAGAAGCCCTTTTGCCTATTTTTGGCCGCTTTGTCTTTTTAATTATCCCATTTAGCTTTAGAAGCAACAAGTAGCTTTTATTCTCACCGGTAGATGATATTTCTGCCGTGCAAGTACTCAAATATGGTGGTCACTTGCGCCGCGTAGAACTTGGAGGCGTCGTTTTCGAATCTTCTGTTTTTCCGCAAAACTGTGAAGAACTCCCCGCCTATAACATATTCCATTACAATGTAGAGGTAGTGGTCGTCTTTGAAGGTGCCTAGCATGTTCACCTGAGGGCAAACACTGCAGCGAAGCAGCAGCTAACACCCAACGCCCGAGCCTTTTCAAGGAAATCAGCCCACAAAAGACCAATAAACACTCTATTCTTTGCACTGGATTTACTATGTAAGATTCTCTGGCAATTTTAAAAGAAATTCAGCACAAAAGTACTTCAAAATAAATGCAAAATGTAAGAAGAGGAAATGAAAGTCGCCGAGAAATGCTCCGTTGTGCTGAACAGCCACAGACTCTTTTGGAGGCAGTACGTCTGCCAAATAAAAATAAATAAATACGAAAAGATTTAATTATTAAAGTATATTTCATGAAGAACAAATTTAATAAACAGCAAATAAAAGAAGCGCAGAAACGCAAGACCAACGGAATCTTGCAATGCAACTTGAATGCGGCACCGTCTTTCTCAACCACAATTGCGAAACCAGAGTCTAAAGAGACTCACTTGATTCAAAAACACAATTAAATGGATTAATTTAATAGATACTATATTAATTTAATAAATATTATTCATTTCCTTCAAAAGAATAGTCCCAGTGCAACATGAATTCCCATAAATGAGAAACTGCTGCACGTTGATCTGCAGCAAATAACAATTTGTTTGCCCAAAAGCTGCAACTGAGCCAAATAAATAAAAGAAATTAACTATCAAAAATAAAAACTTTAAATATTACAAAAAGAATAAAGTTTACAGAAGTGAAAACACGCCAACAGATGAGTGGATGCACTCAAGTAGATATGCAAGATATCTGCGAAGTGCGGCTGCTGCAGCGACGCAGCAGCAGCTGCTGCAGCAGCAGCGCCACAAAGTGAGGCCACAGCAGCAGCAAACCCCTTGCGAGCAGCAGCGCCACGCGCCGCAGCAGCAGCAGCAGCAGCAGAACCAGGAAGAGCCCCGCGTCAGCAGCAGCAGCGCAACGACCGCGACGAGCACCGCCACCCCACCAACACCAGAAGCAGCAGCAGCGGCAGCAGCAGCAGCAGCGGCAGCAGCAGCAGCAGCAGGAGCTTACAGTGAAGGGGTGGTTGATGAGTTGGAGAATTCTTTTTTCCGACAAAATGTGATCAACTTGCTTCTGCCTTATAACAGCAAACTTCTTCAGCCGCTTTATAGCCACGGGCGGAGATGTGGGGTCATCTTTGCGGCGCGCGAGAAACACGCGGCCAAAAGACCCTAATAATAAACCCCAAACCCTAAACCCTTAACCCTAAATCCTAAACCCTAAACCCCAAACCCTAAACCCTAAACCCTAAACCCCAAACCCTAAGCTAAAGCCTAAACTCCAAACCTGAGACCCCAAACCCTGAACCCTACACCCCAAGCCCCAAGCCCCAAACCCCAAACCCTAAACCCTAAACCCTAAACCCTAAACCCTAAACCCTCACCGGTGCCGAGGGTGTTGGCGAAGACGAAGTTGGAGGCTGTGCATTTGCTGGGGGGAATTCGAATTTGGCGCTGCGAGGATTCAGCAGCAGCATCTTTTTGAGAAGGAAGAAGTTTTCGAAAAATGTCCATTGTGGATTAATGGAAATAAAAATGAGAAGTTGCTGCAGCAGGTTCAACAAACCCTTTTGTGAAGTGCGCAAACAGCAGCAGCAGGCGCTGCAGCAAACGAGCGGGCTGCGCCTCAGGTGTACGTACACCCCAGCGCCACGGCAAGTGCGGAGACGAACTCTGCGTCAGTTGAGCCGCCCTGAGGAGTCAAAACAGAACAACAAAACTCAATTAAAACCAAAACTGAAAAGCAAATCAAAAGAAATACAATTCCCCGAAAAATGCAAACAAAAGACCCCAAAAAACCCCTAAAGGAGCCCCTGCGGCAGCAGCTGCAGCGGCAGCTGCAGCAACAATACCGCAACAGCAGCAGCTGCCTCACTGCCCAGCAGCAGCTGGTGAGGCGCCGGGCGCTCTACAGCCTCGCGCCAGGCACTGGGCAAGCAGCAGCAGCAGCAGCAGCAGCAGCAGCAGCAGCAGCAGCAGCAAGGACCTGGGCCACGCCCTAGCAGCAGCAGCAGCACGGGAGCACTAGAGAAGTCAGGAGCAGCAGCTCCCACTTTCACTAAGTCTTAAATGCACAACTGAAGACCTCAAATGCTTGTGGGCAGCAGCAGCAGCAGCAGCAGCAGCCGCCGCCAATGCATGCATGCACGAGGTGTACGTACACCTGGCGGCAGGCCGCCGAGGCCGCGCTTTGCGGTGTCTGTACACCCCAGGGCCCCCGCAGGACACACACGCATGCAAAAGCTACTAGGGCCTTCCTCGCTGCTGCAGGAAGAGCTGCTGCTTGCTCAAGATTCTACTTAGGAGGCCCTGCTGCTGCTGCTGCTGCTGCTGCTGGGCTGCCGAGGGCTGCTGCTGCTGCTGCGTCCCAGGGGAGCCTCACTCGGAATGGTTGCTCGCAGCAGCTGCTGTTGCTGCTGCTGCTGCAGTTCCAGCGCTGCAGCAGCGCCCCCGCCGCTTTAAGGCCACAATTGCATGCATGCGGAAGCAAAATAAATAGAGGGTAGGGGCAAAGGGGAGCGAAAAGGGCAGATGAAGCTGGCAGCTAGTGCTGCTGCTGCTGCTGCTGCTTACCCATTGGCTGACCAGCTGCAGTGCTGCGGACGCGGTGCTGCTGCTCCGGGCAGTAGGGCCTTCTTCAGCTCCAATTGCAAAACTTAGCAAAGTTTTCCATCCGAAACAAATAAAGAAAAAGCGAGAAAGGCAGCAAAGGCGAAAATCCCCGCGAGGGGAAGCTGAATGTATGCAGGGCTGCGACGGGTACGATTGGCTCGGGCTGCTGCTGCGGTCGTTTCTGGCGCGGCTATTTGCGGCTCATTTGCGTTTATTTTTCTTTTTATTTATTTGAAATACTTTTATTTATATAAAACTCGCGAAATTGGCGCATTCGCGCCAACTTTCCGCGCCAACAACGGGGTGTCACTACACCTGCGCCTCCGCCCCAGTGGTCTGGCTCGGACCAGTGCACTCCCCAGCGCCTTCGCCGATCCACTCGTTTTTAAATAATTAAATTAATTTAATTTCTGCAAATATTAAATGAATACAAAATCTGGAGGCGCTGCGGCCAGCCGGACGCAGCAAGCAGCAGCAACTTGTGTGTTCGGGGGGCTCTCTCCTTCTCCCCGCGAGCCGCTGCCATTAAAATGCAACTTTTCCCACTTCGCCAGCTAGCTAGCGGCCAATTATTCTTTTTTTGGCCAATTCTTTCTTTTATTTTTTAAAAGGAGCCGAAGAAGCCTCCGATTAGCGCAGCCCCAGCCTGGCCTCTCTATGCAGCCAAATCCAGAAAAAAATGCGTCTTTTTTTGACCCATAACATTTAAATTTTATTCACTGGGCCACACACAACTGACGCAAACACTTTTTATTTCTAATGGACTCATTTTAGCTCATTTTATTCTTCTTAAAGCCCCGGCCACTCACTATATATATAGTAGGCTGTCTTAGTGTGAAGGGATTTGCTGCAGTTGCTGCATCTGTCGCTGCTGCTTCGGCTCTGCTGCTGCTGCGCTGCTGCTGCTGCTGCCTTAAACACGCCGCGGCGTTGCTGCTGCTGCAGCTTCAGTGCAGCGCCTGCTGTTTCTTCTTCTGACTCCTTCAGTTGCTTCGAATTCTTAAAAAGGCTTATTTAAAAAGTTTGTTTTTAATTCATTAAAAACAACTCAAGAGTCAAATCTTTGAAAGAAAAAATGGCAATTAAAATATTCTTTTGTTTGGCCATTAAATACTTCCAACTGTACATGCAGCTGCTGCATGCACTTAAATGGGGAATATCTTTCTAATAATAGAAGTAATAATAATAATAATAATAATAATGATAAATAAATAATGGTAATGATAATAATACTAATAAATGGTAATAATAATAGTAACAATAAGTGCGTAATAAAATATTTAAAATTGCGCTTTTGTTTTTATAAATGCAACTCGCAAGCCCCTGTCTATACAGCGCAGCAAGAAATGCACTTTTGCTGCACAAGGGCAGTACATACACAAGCCAAGGCAGTGTACATATATAAATAAATATATATATATATATACAATATATATATAAATCTATATATAATATATGTATATTGTATATATATTTATATAAATATATATATATTATATGTATATATATATATATATGCAGAAGCAGCAGCAACTGCCTTTCCTGGGGCGCTGGCATGCAGCGCAGCAGAAGGCCAGTTGGGGCTTTCTGCGTTTTAAAACTTCGGAATTATTTGCAATTGCGAATTAAAATTATAAAATATCTTTAAAGCTTTCATTGTTTTGCAATTGTGTTGGTTTTGGCTAAGAGAAAATGCTGCATGCAACACTCGAGGCTTTGTCTGCGGCCTCGGTTTGGGGGAAAGGCATCTGCAGCGGGACTAATTGCATCCCTGGCATTTAAATTGTGAGAACTTCGCATTTAATTGTCTATTTATTTATTATTTAATTTATTTGTTAATTTATTTGTCAATTCATTACAATTTAGCGGCCCGCTTGATGAACGGGTCCACAATGCCCGGCAAGATGGGCCGTACGTACACCGCAAGGTATGAGTAAAGTGGAAACATTGCCTTCCGCGCCCGCTTGTCTGCTGCCTTGAGGATCTAAAAACGGAAAAACGAAACAAAAAAGAATTAAAAATATCTTTTTTAATAAATAGTTGCCACCTGCTTTGCAAAAAAAAGAAGAGAAGTGGAAAAGAGAAAACGCCGCATTTGAATCCCAGAGTTCCACTTGCTGCTAGTCGAAACGGAGGAACTTCTGCATATTCATGTATCTACACAGACACTGAAAAATAGAAAAGTATAATTATAATTGTTTTTAAAAATAAATTACCCTTCTGCATTCATAAATACTTTTACAGAATCACCAGCATGCAAATTCACAAAGATGAATAGTCAGAAACAGACTGCGTTCCAGATATTCATAGTAGCTGCTGGTGCTTTTATTTCTTTGAATTTGCACAAGTGCATGCAATTAATTCAGCTAATTAGTTTAATATTCTTAATTTATTATTTCTTTAATCAATTATATCAAAAATAAAAAATAAGATTAATTTTCAAATTCGGAAACTCACATAGTCCACGCAGACGTCAACGGGCATTCGGCTGTCCGCCTCTTCTTTCATTTCATCTGTTTCTTTTTTGTCCATTTTATTTGCTGCTTGTGCGTCTTCGCCTTCTGTTTCTTTCAATGAATTGCTGCTTCTTTTGTCGCTGCTGCTGCTGCTGCTGCTGTTGCTGCTGCTGGGTTTTGCTTCATTGTTGTCGCCGTCTGCAGCAGAGCCGCTGTTAGTCTGCAGCTGCCGCAGCTGCTTTTCGGCCTCTGCAAAGGCCTGCGGATAAATTGAAAATTAAAAATTCAAAAGAAGACAAATTAAAAAGAAATAAGACACACAAACTTCGAAACTTTCTAATAAATGTATTAATAATAAATAGCCAGCTATTATTATTATTCATTAAATCATAAATAGATAATTATTTTTAAAAGCAGAAGATGAAACTGCTGCGCAAGGCAAGCGAAACGAAAGCTGCTCGCGGCAAATGGAATGCACAGTGGATTCAGATCCGCTTCATCTGCAGATAAACAATTATAAATATATAATAAATATATAATAAACATATAATAAACATATAATGAATATATAATAAATATATATTTCAATTAAATTAAATAAAAAAGAACAAAAGTTATTGTCGCCGCTGCTGCTGCGCAGAGAAAGCCAGTGCAAGTGCTGCTGCGCGTTTTTCTGAAGCTTCTGCTGCGTCTCTTTGTGGATCTTTTGAAGATATTTATTTGAAATAAATAAGTAATTATTTAATATTAATTAAATTAAATAAACTAAATAGTTTTAAGCTTCTAAAACAACTTAATTCCCGTGATCGGCCCACATTCCCATCCCTCATGCCCGTCTTCACAGACGGCGGGCAGCAGATGGTCACGTCCACCTGGTCGCCGCACTCCATTCTGAGCGCCTCAAAGAAGCCTGAAAAGACAAAAAAGTCAATTTTGAAGAATTAAATTCAAACTCGAACATAAATAAATTAAACTTGAACATTCCCGCTTCATTAAGCTTCAAAAGTAGCTCTTAACCGGCGCAAAAGGCGGCGGATCGGCGCAGCAAATCCTCAAAACTGCAGCAGCTGCTCGCCTGTCACTGCGAACTTGCTCGAACAGTACGCGCTCCGAAGCGGGAGGCCAATTTCGCCACTGAGAGAAGAAATTACAACAATTTGGCCCCGAGTCCGTTTCAAATGGGCCAGCGCGTACTTAGTGCAATAAACTGCAGAATATAAACGCAAATGCGGAAAGAAAATGGAAAAAAAACGAAGAGTTTCCGCGAAGATACGCAGAAACGCGTGCAGGCCGCTGCAGCAGCAGACCGCAGCTTTTGCTGCATTTAATTCCCTTTTTTGGTTGTATTTTCTTCAGAATAGACAATTAAATGAAACCAACCGTAGCCGAAGAAGTTCACGTCCAAAAGGCGCCTGAAAATCTCCATATCGGCAAATTCTGAAAAGGGGAAGTGCGCACTGACGCCTGAAACAGCACAATTCGCAGCAGCAGCAGCAGCAGCAGCAAAAGCGGCATTTTTGCAAATTCATGATTCAAATTAAATCCAAAAGAAACACCGACGGCTTCTAGATCAATTCAACTTCCATTTCCGCTTCTGCAGTGAAGGGCGCAAGCCATACATGAATTCTGAAGTGAAGCCAACGAGTTAAGGGCCGCTGGAGCCACAGCAAGAGGGCCACCGGACTTTTTGAATTCAAATTAATAAGTAAAAATGATTATTTTTTTTGAAACAGAATTAACGCCAAGATCACAAGCATAAGCCGCAGTTTCAATTGGACTTGGTCTGTTTCTGCAATATTTTGCCTCCACGACAACGCAAAAAGGAGAAAGAAAGGAACTTGAAGAAAAACAAAATAAAGTTTTATTCATTTCAAGTACCTGCGTTCAAAACCAAGACATCGAGGCGGCCGAATTCCCTCACAGCCTCGCTGATGAGGTGAGCACAAGCCTGCAAATGAAGCAGAAAGAGTTTGAAATGGAAGTATATATCTTTATGCATGTTTCCAACAATTAAAAAACAAAAAAGTGGAATAATTTGCGCCATTTTGGCGCAAAAGTCGCGAGAAAACCCGCGAGTTGCAGTTTGTTGAACAGAACCTGCGCGGGAGGGAATCTGGGAGGAAAGCAGCAGCAAAAGCAAGGTTTGGGGGCTATTTTTCGTGGCCAGTTCGTTAAAAGTAAAACTAATTCATTTTAAAACACTCATTTGGCGTTTACCGCCTCTTTCGTCACGTCCGTGGGCACCGCCAAACACCCCCCAGCCCCCGCAGCCAGGCATTCAGCTTTTGCTGCCTGCAGCGCCTTTTCCCCCCGCGCGGCCAGCACCAGAGAACAGCCTCTCCGTGCGTACCGCAGCGCCAGCTCCTGCAGCAAACAGCGCACAAACAGCAGCAGCAGCAGCAGCAGCAGCAGCAGCAGTTGGGGTTGTTCTCGGGGCTGCAGCAAACTTGAAAAGCTGCTTTCCCGAGCACTGCTGCTGCAGACGCAGGCCCTTCACTGCCTGCGGCGCGTGCTAGCTCCCACACCAGCAGCAGCAGCAGCAGCAGCAGCAGCAAAGCTTCACCTTTCCTATTCCCTTGGTGGCTCCGGTGATCAGCACCACGGAGTGGGGGATGTACTTGTCGCTCCTCAGAGCCAGGAGGGCCGGAGAGTTTCCCATGGGGCTGGAGAAGGCGAAGTTGGCTCTGGGGCGGCTGCGTGGCTGCAGCGTGACCCGAGTTCAAGTCGATGGCCACAGCAAGACAGAGCCGAAAGCGGGAGTTTCGCGGCTCGCCGCGCAGCCAGAAGCCCCAACTCCTGGAAATTAAAGGAAATTGAAAAGATTTGACGAGATGAGGAGAAGATCGCGTGAAAAATGGAGAAGAAACCGCAGAGAAATGCGGCGGAGTGTTTGCGCGGTTGGCAGCGGCGCTCTGGACGGCGCGCCCGGATTTCGCATTGAAGGAAATGAAATCGGAAATTATAAACTGCTAATTCAACTAATAAATGCATTTTATTTGCGCTTTCCTTTTCAAATTTCGCAAACCGCCAGCCACCACCGCCGCAGCCTCCGCCGGAGCCTCAGCCACACCACGCGTCCTCGAGTGAGTGCCGCCCGCCATTGCTGCCAACAGCAACTGCTGCTGTCTGTCGATTTTGCAAAACAAAACTTCAAAATTAATTTCCTTTTCAGTTCAATAATCTCAACTGCGTCTTTTCGCTTTCTCCCGACGGGCCACACCTGCATTCGTGCTGCTCCGCCGGCGCCGCCATGGCGCGCCTCGCAGCTCTGGCCCAACTATTGAACATTTGGCCCCATAAATGTATTATAGGATCTTCAAAACAAATTGTTTATATTATCTCAAGAACAAATGCCATTTTTAAGGCTTTTTTAGCCACTTTATTCCGCACATGCGCCGCTGCTGCGGCGCTCTCGCCGTCCCACTGTAACTCGGGGTGTACGTACACTCCACGCATTTGCTGCAAACTCCTCTCAAGCTCAGAAGCTGCAAAAGCTCCCATTTATTATTTTTTGGACTTTTTGGATTTCTGCGTGGCTAGCTGCTGCTCGCTTTCACCCCTCCTTTCAATAAATTACATCTTTTAATTCAATTTTAAAATATATTTTAATATATTTTGTTCAAATTTGCCGCACTAAATTTGCACTTTATTTCCATCTGCAGCAATTCATAAAGGCAAAGTCTGCTTTCTTAGAATTGCAGTAATTTTAAGTTTTGAATTTAATTTCTGAAGTCCTTTTTGCAAGTTTAATTCCACCACAAAACATTTATTTTGCAAAATATTTATTTTTCAAAATATTTATTTCGCAAGATATTTATTTTGCAGAATATTTGTTTTGCAAAATATTCGTTTGAGGAGAAATGGAAATAATATTAAAATGAAAATAATGTTAAAATGCAAGTATGGTTTCTTTAAAGACAATCTGAATTGTCTATCTCTTAGAGCAAATATAAATGCAGCTGTTTTTGTGGGTCTTTGTTTTGCTGCAGTTGAAAAGCAGCAAAATATTAATAATATTAATTTCCACCTTTTGTCTTTTTATTAAAAGGAGAAGCAAATAAACAGAGGAATAGGAACAAAAGAGAAGAAATAAACAAATGAATTAAAACAAAAAAAGCAAAAGAGTAAAGAGAAATAAAAGAGAAAAGGAAGCAAATGAACGAAAAAAGAAGAATAAAAAATAAAACAACGAAATTCACGTACAGCATTTTATCTGGCCTTTGTAGACGAGATAATTGAGAAATATAAAATAAAACTTTTTTGCAGAGTAAATATTTGTGACAAAAGACGTAACGCAGGCTGTACCTGCGCATGCATTCAGTACACCGGAGCAGCGCACACGTGAGAGTAGAATGCAACGGATTCATGAAAAAGAGTTTAAAATCGAAAAACAATACAACTAATTCATGAAAATTAGTTTAATATTGAAAACGAATGCCATAAATTCATTAAAATGAGTTTAAAACAAAAATGAGTGCAACTACTTCGTGGAAATGAGTTCATGCAATTTGCGCAATCTTTTGAATTGGCCTTTTTGCCAGCATGCGCGTGCGTATTTGCACACACACTTACTTTGCTCATTTATATTTGTTTATGTTTATACTTATATATATCATATTTAATATGTATTATTTGTGTTTGTATTTTTAAGTATATTATTTGAACAAGTTGTTGCATAAAAGGTTCTTCTCTGTGGCTGGCCTTCATCTACTTGTGTTTATTTCTTTCTGAGAGCTCATGGCGCCTTGTCAGTTGTTAAAGAGCTGACGGAGCTCTCAGCCAAAGCCCAAATCCCAAACCCTAAACCCTAGCAACTAAACGGTAAACGCTAAGCCCTAAGCCCTAAGCCCTAAGCCCTAAACTAGGGTGTATAGTTTTTGAAAAAGAGGGAAAAGGAACGGAACAAAGCTTAAAGTTTGTCGGGCACATGAAGGCCCTGGAGATGCATGGGGCTTTGGGGCGGCTCCGAAGAATAAATAAAGTGACCCCAAATGAAGTTGACTTTGCCACATTTGCCAGTTGAGGTGTACGTACAGCGCAGGCCGGTGCTGCATGCGCGCAGGCCCGCGCACACCTCGAAGCCCGTGAACCCCTAAATACATAAATAAGTGGAGTTCAGAACAAGAGCAAGAAGACCGCATGCGCGTTTGGCGAAAGCGAATCCAATTTAATTCCTTTTTCGACAAATCTCCCCACTGTACACACACCACTCCCTGCACTTCCCACGCTGCACTAAATATCCAAAGCCCCTTGCTAAGCAACCCCCGGGGCCGCAGAAGGCCCCCGCCCGGGCACCCGTCGGGCCTTCCGGGCCCCAAAGATCCGGGGCCCCGGGGGCCCCCGGGGCCCCGGCCGCGGCGCTGCGGAGAGTCACTGCTCGTAGACGGGGCCGGCGGCGGGGGGCCCCTGGGGGCCGCAGCAGCCCGGGCTCGGCTCGCGGTACTCCCGCTCGAGGTCGCGGGCCTTCTGCTGCAGCGCGGGAAGCTGCTGCGCGGCGGGGCAGTAGGCGTGGGCCTGCTGCAGTGTCTGTACATCGGGCGTGCCGGGGGGGTCCATGGGCACGCCGGGCTGCGGCGGCAGCGGCGGAAACAGCATTTGGAAGTTCCCGTGGCTGCGGAAGCCGGAGTAGGCCATGACTCCCTGGCGCGTCAAGATGTCGGGTTCCGCGACGAAGCCCGCGAAGTTGACCTGCCCCACCTCGGGGGGGCAGGTCACCATGAGGGGCGGCATGTAGCGCATGCGCGGGTCTCCGTCGGGCGCGGCGCTGCGCTGGAGGGGCCCCGGGGGCCCCCCGGGGGCCCCCGGGGGGCCCCCCGCGCCCGCGGGCGCGGGCGCGGGGCAGAAGGGCGAGAGCGGGCTGAGGGGCGGCGCGTTGGGCGGCCGGCCCCACCTGAAGCCCTCGAGGAGCTCGACGGCGGCGCTGCCGCTGCTGCCGCCGCCGGGGGAGAGGAGGGTGGCCGCGGGGTTGCGCTGCTGCTGCTGCTGCTGCTGCTGCTGCTGCTGCTGCAGCAGGTGGGGGTGCTGGGCGACGCGGACGTCGATCTTGGCCTCGTAGGGCAGGCTGATGGCGCCGCAGCTGCTGAGGGGCAGCGGCCCGAGCTGGAAGGGCAGCGGCGCGTCGGCAGCCACAGCAGCAGGCAGCGCGCCGGCGAGGATCGGCGGCAGCGCAGCAGCAGCAGCAGCAGCAGCAGCGGGGGGCTGGTAAGGCACCTCGATGACCTTCTCCACGTAGCGCGGCACGTAGTAAGGCACCTCCACAGTCTTGACCTTGGGCACCTGGCGCACCACCGTCTGCGGGACCTCGACGAGGGCCTCCCTGACCACTGGTCGGATGGTCTGGACCACCCGCTCCACCAGCTGCACCTTGGGCCGCGGCACGATCTTGGGCGGGTACAGACACGGCACTTCCACAGGCACTTCCACGTACTTGACCCCCTGCGGCACCTCAATGACCTTCTCCTCGACGACGGGTTTGTAGACCTCGCGAGGCACTTCTTTGAGCACTTCCGTGACCTTCGGAACAATCTTTTTGACTTTCAGACTCCGCGCCACTTCTGCGAACTTGTGCGCGTAGTGCACGTGCGGCACTTCGATGGTTCTTTCTTGCACTTCTTTCTTCGCGATGTAAATCTCCCGCTCCTCCACGATTGGCCGCGCGACGAACTTCTCGGGGATGCGTCTGCGGATCTCCGCGGGCAGCGGCATCGGCCCCAGCGCGGTCATCACCTGCGGCGGCGCCCTGCTGCTGCTGCTGCTGCTGCTGCTGCTGCTGCTGCTGCTGCTGCAGGGCACCGTGCTGTGCAGCGGCGCCGGCGCGGGGGGGACGCCCGCGGGCCCGGGCCCGCCGCTCGGGAACGAGCCCTCGCGCGGCTCCCTCGCGGCCTCCTCCTGCTCCTGCTGCTCCTGCTGCTCCTGCTGCTCCTGCTGCTGCTGCCGCTGCTGCTGCTGCTGCTGCTGCTGGAAGGCGGCTTCGGGGAACTCGAAGCCGGAGAAGTCCGCGGAACGCGACGGGTGCGGAAGCGGCTGGACGAGGACGTCCACCCCCTCGCCAGGGGCGGTCACATCCTCCTTCTTGTTCATTTTCTGGCCTGCACGCAGCAGCAGCAGCAGCAGCAGCAGCAGCAGCAGCAGGCGCGTGGGGCGCCTCCGTCGCCCGCCCCAGGGCCACGCACAGACAAGCAGCAGCCACACGCGCCCGCAGCAGCAACGCAGCCACCCACAGCCGCGACACCGAACACCAGCGCACCACCCCCAGACCACCAGCAACACAGCCGCAGCTCCAGACCACAGCAGCACGAACGGAAGCAGCACAGCCAGCAGCGAGGACAAAGAACGCAACAAAACTGCCTCCCGAAGAAAAACGAACAGCAGCAAGTGCCGAAACGCAGCAGCAACAGAGGCGCAGCCGCGCGAGCCGCCCGCGCGTCGGCCGCGGCGAGTCGCTGGCCCGACACCCGAGAAACTCCGAGTTCAAACGCGAAAATAATGCAAAATACTCTTTGTTTTCCTTGAAACAAAAATAAATGAAGCAAAAGCACAGGAAATGAAGGCGACGGAGCGGCGGCGGAGCGCTGCCGATGCACGCAGGAATGCAGAGGTGGCTATACACCCGAAACCCACTTGATCCCGCAAAGCTAAAGCCCGAAGAGAAGCTGCACCTCTTGGAAAAGCTCTGCTGTTTAACAGACAAAAAGGAGAAAAAGAAAAGGCACGACTTTGTAACACTTTGGAATTTATGGAGCAGCAGCAATTGCTGCAGCATCGAGCCGTCGTGAACTGCTGGCACCAGCAGCCGGCCTCGAGCTCGCGCCGCTGGGGGGCTGGCCACCGGCTCAAATCCCCGAATTTAGTCCCGCCTTCGCCTTTTAAATATAATTTTCAACAAACCTTTGCATAAATATTACTTTTGACCGCCACAACATTTTGCTTTCCGCAGCTTTCCCCCAGGTTCCCGCCGCCAACTCGAAACAGCCACGGGCACGCAGCGCCGCGCCCCGGCCAGCCACGCCCTCTCCGCGCTGCAACGCACCTTTATTCCACGAGAAATTAATTTAAAATGAAGTAAAATTAAAAAACATCGAGCTTTCCACTTTTAATCCGCTCTATGTACACCCGACGCCCCGCGTCCTGCCCAGCCGTAACAGCTAGTTGGCTCCGCTCGCCGATCGCCGCAGCGCCTCCCGCCCCGCCTTTCAAAGCAGCTTCAAAACTCCAACACTTTTTCATTATTTAAAGCTCTCAGAGTTCATTCTGGCGCTCCTAGAAGCCCCTCAGGTGCCTAGACACTGCGCCTTGCCTTCCCTTGCCTTGCCGCCGGCCGCCCACAGCACGCGGGGTGTACGTACACCGAAGCCACACCGGTGAAAACCAAATCGCCAGCAGCTCTCCACAAAAAAAACTATTTGCAGACTTTCAGCCACTTACAACTCCGCGTCCAAGGCGCCCGCAGTTGGCGGCGAGGGCAAAACAGCTCCTAGGGTTTAGGGTTTACCTGGTTTTAGGGTTTACTCGAGGGCCCCTGGAGCCACACGGTGGCCCCTAGACCTTGCAAACCCTAGTCAAAAAGAATGAGCAGCAGCTAGAGTTCAGTATTAACTACTTTTTGTCTGCCAGAGGCTTCCCTCCCTGCCTCCGTTCACAACCAAACTTTAGGGTTTAGGGTTTGGGGTTTTGCTGCAGTTGCAGGGGCCCCTCAGCAGCTCGGGGGGCCTCGGGGGGCCCCTGGGGCCCCGCAGCAGATTTCTTCGGGGCCACCAAATTTGGGGTGTACGTACACCCCAGCTCAACCCCACAAAAGCCCGCAGCTGCTTTCGACGGCCCAGCCCACACAGAGCAGCAATGGGGGCCCCCAGACCCTTGCAACATTAGGGGCCCCCGGGGGCCCCCAGACCCTTGCAACATTAGGGGCCGGGGGCCCCCAGACCCTTGCAACTTTAGGGGCCCCCGGGGGCCCCCAGTCCCTTGCAATATTAGGGGCGCCCGGGGGCACCCCGCCCCTTTCCACATTAGGGGCCCCCGGGGCCCCCAGTCACCTGGCACAACAGGGGCCCCCGGGGGCCCCTGTTTTGCAGGGGCCCCCTGGGGCCCCCAGTCCCTTGGCACAACAGGGGCCCCCGGGGCCCTTTGGTGTTGGGGGCCCCCAAATTCACTTTAAGCTCCCTGTGGGGCAGCAGCCCCTAAAGGACCTTTTGTGGGGTCTTGGCAGCCAAGAACAGAAGAGTGGGCCCCCTGGTACTTGGGGACCCCCTTCTGTCTCGGGGGCCCCTTCACTCTGGGCCTTTGGAGGCCCCCTCTAGCCTTGGGGGCCCCTGAGGGCCCCTGGAGGCCCCTGGGGGAACCTGGAGGCACCTAGGTGGCCCCTAGGGCCCCCTGGGGGACACCTAGGGGCCCCTGAGGGCCCCTAGGGGCCCCCTAACGAGCCTCTAAGGGCCCCCTAGGAGGCTTCTAGAGGTTTAGGGGGCCCCTGGGGGCCCCCTGGAGGCCCCCTGGGGGCCCCCTGGGGGACCCCTGGGGGCCCCCTGGGGGCCTCCTGGGGGCCCCCTAGACCTCTAGGGGCCCCCTAGGGGGCCTTCAGGTGCTTGAGACAAACTGAAAGAAGCTGCGGTGTTGCTGCAGCCAGTACTTCATGTTTTGACAAGTCCAGCTGCAGCGAGAAGAAAAAATAATAATTAAAAAAGAAAACTTGAGCAGCAAATAGATAGTCTAGTAGCCCTTTACTTGGCATGTGAGGCTGCTGCGGCTGCTGCTGCTGCAGGTGCGGTTGCTGCTGCTGCACATGCGGTTGCTGTTGCTGCAGGTGCTGCTGCAGGTGCTGCTGCTGCTGCTGCTGCTACTGCTGTTGCTGCAGGTGCTGCTGCTGCTCACGGGCTGGTTGCCTCGCAGGTCGCTGCAGACGGCGCCGGCTTCTTCCAAGATAAGACAGCCAGCAGCAAGATCCTGCGCAAGGCAGAGGCAGCAACAAGGGTTTAGGGTTTAGGGTTTAGGATTTGAGGCTTAGGGTTTCGCGCCGCAGCATTTTGGCGCCTCTGAGGCTTTGAGGGGCAGCTCCCACTTAACTTCGAGTGTACGTACATCTGGAGTTGCTGCTGCTGCAGCTGAAGCCTTCAGCGTGGCCTCTTGAGCCTCTCGCAAGCCCCAAACCCTAAACCCTAAATCCTAAACCCTTGAGCCCTAAACCCTCGACTTACCCATTCCTTAGGTCCAAAGGTGACTAAGCAGTCCAGCCGGCCCGCAGCTGCAGCAAAGCAGCAGGCAGCACACAAGAAGCTGTCAGCAGCAGCAGCCGTACAAGCAGCAGCAACAGCAGCAGCAAAAGCAGCAGCAACACCAGCAGCTAGCTGAAGAGAAAGCAGCTCTGGAGAAAGCGAATAGCCCCGGCGTAGCAAAGTGCAGAAGGAACAACAACCCTAAATCCTAAATCCTAAACCCTAAACCCTAAACCCTAAACCCTAAACCCTAAACCCTCAGCTTACCGAGATAACACAGCTCCATTGCTGTGCTGCCAATGTGTCGAATGTCTAAACAGTTGAGTGTCAAGTAGCCCACGTTACTCAATACGCATTCTGCAGCAGCAGCAGCAACAGCAGCAGCAGAGGCAGCAGCAGGGCAAGCACAGCAGCAGCAGCAGCAGCAGCAAAAGCAGCAGCAGCAAAACAAGCACAGCAGCAGGAAGTTTGACGCACGCACTAATAAGGCCACTTCTAACTGCAGATCCAACTAAAAGGTCAACAGCTAAACTCAGGAAGAAAGGGCCCCCTGGGGCCCCTTTTGGGGACCCCCTGGGGCCCCTCTTGGGGGCCCCCTGGGGGCCCTTTTGAGGGTCCTCTGAAAGAGCCACTGGGGGGCCCCCAGCCACTGGGGGGCCCCCCTGTTGGGGGCCCCTGGAGGAAACCCCTGGGGGGCCCCCTGAATAATGGGACCCCCTGATAACAACACATGATGAGGCTCTCTAGCGGGGCCCTTTTAAAGTAAACCCCCTTAGGGGGCCCCCCAAAGGAAGCCCCCTTGGGGGGCCCTTGAGGGGGCCCCCCTTGGGGGGCCCCCCTTAGGGGGCCCCTTGGGGGGCCCCTGGGGGGCCATTGAGGGGGGCCCCCTGGGTTTGTGAGGTGAAGCTCACCTTGAAATCTTTTGAGGTAGGCCCGACGCGTTTCGTCTGTTGTTACTTCTAGCTGCATGCAGAGCAGCACAAAAAGCGAGGCCCTGCGCCCAGCAGCAGCAGCAGCAGCAGCAGCAGCAGCAGCGGCAAAAGCAATAGCAGCAGTAGGCGGGGGCTCGACGCAGCACCGCTGCCGCTGAAGCAACAGCTGCAGCAGCAGCGAGAAACAGCGCAGCAACAAGCAGCAGCAGCAGCAGCAGCAGCAGCAGCAGCAGAGACGCACCTGCCGCAGCGTGGAGACGCCGAAGGAGACACACGCGAGAGCCGCTCCAATGTCTGTACACCCCGAGCTCTTTACGGGCACTCCGTTAAGGTGGGCCCCTTTGCCTCGCTCTGCGCTGAACATTTCCTTCTGCAGCAGCAGCAGCAGCAGCAGCAGCAACAGCATTAGGGGCCCACCCAGCCGGCCAAACCACACTCTAAACGGACCCCTGCGAACCCTCAAGACCCACGCAGAACACGAGGGACCCCGGGGCCCCCTGGGGCCCCGGGGGGCCCCCTGGGGGCCCCTGGGAATTAATTGGGGGCCCACAGGGGCCCTTGAGGGGCCCCACAGGGGCCCCTTAGGGGCCCCACAGGGGCCCCTGAGGGGCCCCACAGGGGCCCCTGAGGGGTGGGGGCCCCACAGGAGCCCCTGAGGGGCCCCCCTGTTGACTCACAGTTAAGGGAGAATAAACAACTCCGAGAAGGACTTTTTTATTTCGGGAGAAGGCGATTGAGACTGTACATACACCCGAGAGGAGCAGCAAGAAGCGAAGCGCAAGCTGCAGCAGCAAGTGCAGGCACGCGCCCACAGCAGCAGCAGCAGCAGCTGCTGCTGCAGCAGCAAAAACGCCAGCACAGGAAGCTTACCACAAGTGAAGGGAAAGCCATGCACGAAGTTCGTTGTCCCGTCAATCTGCAGCAGCAGCAGCAGCAGCAGGGGCAGCAGCAACAGCAGAATCCTTTGAGAAACCCAAAACTCCCGCTGGGAGCGCAGCACACGAACGAGGGCAGCCAGAGCCACAGCAGCACCAGCAGCAGAAGGGGCAGCAGCGACGGCAGCAGCAGCAGTAGCAGCAGCAGCAGCAACAGGAGCAGCAGCAGCAATAGAAGCAACAACAACGGGAGCAGTAGCAGCAGCTGCAGCAGCAGCAGCTGCAGCAGCAGCAGCTGTAGCACCGACAGGGTCAATAATCCATGTGGGCTCGTCCGTCAGCTTCTGGTTTGGAGCAACCGATTCTGCAGCAGCAGCAGCAGCAATACGAGAGAGAGCAGCAGCAGCAGCAGCAGCATGGGGAGCTGCAGTCGCTGCAGCAATGGCGGCAGAACACAAATGAGCAGCAGCAGCAGCAGCAGCAGCAGCAGCAGCAGCAGCAGCAGAGGAAGCAGCAGCAGCAGCAGCAAAAAATGCAACGGCACCGCATCAGCAGCGACAAGCCAGCAGCAGCAGAGAGCAGCAGCAATGATAGCTAATCTTCCACAACAGCAGAAGCAACAACAGGAGCAACATCAGCAACAGCAGCAGCAGCAACAGCAGCAGCAGCAGCAGCGGTGCTGCTAACCTTCACAGAAAAAGGAATGGCTGGGGAATCTTTCCCTTATCTTTTCTTTAAGCGCCTCTTCCACTCGCGTGTCATATTCTGTAACAAGATCTGCTGCTGAGCTCTTTGTCCTGGCGCAGCTGCTGCCGCTGCTGCTGCTGCTGCTGCTGCTGTTGCGACATCCGCAGCCGAAGCCCTCCATAATCAGGGGCTCCACATCTCGGGCAAGTTGCTGCACAAACTCGAGGCGAACTTCTGTTTCAGACATGGCTTCTACAGCTGCAGCAGCAGCAGCAGCAGAAGCAACACCGCATCACCAGCAGCAGCACACAGCAACAGCAGCAGCACGCGGCGGCAGCGGCAGCACACTGCAGCAGCAGCAGCAGCACACGGTAGCAGGTGCAGCAGCAGCAGCAAGACGCATGACGTGGGCAAGGCTGAGGGGGATGGCGCAGCAGCAGCAGCTCAGAGGCCCGTTGCTGCTGCTGCTGCCGATGGCTAGCGGCTGCGCTTTGGCTGCTGCTGCGCACTCACGTCGATATTCCAATCAAATAAAAGAACAAATTGAGAAATAATTTAAATTAATTTAATTCTAAAAGAAACAAAGACAAAAACTTCCCGTGTGCAGCAGCTGCTGGCCACCAGCCGGGAAGCCAGAAGCTGCTGGGGGCCCCATGGGGGCCCCTTGGGGGCCCCAGGGGCCCCGGGGGCCCCATAAATGAGGCCCCATTTAAGACCCCCTTTCTTTAGATTTATTTTTGTGTTATATTTTCAATTTCATTTTAAAAATTGAAATTGAAAATACAATTTTAGGTGAAGGCACACTCCGTTGGCTGCTGCAGCAGCAGCAGCAGGAGCAGCAGCAGGAGCTGTCGGTGCTGCCTTCCTGTTGCAGCTGCCTGCTGTTGCTGCTGCTCCAGACAGCAGTCAAGCGTGCCAAGCTCTTTAGAGCTTCGGAGGCGACGGAGCGCTGCTGCTGCTGCTGCTGCTCTTGCTGTTGCTGCTGCTGCTGTTGCTGCTGCTGAGGCAATCCGCGTGCTCGCGTCGGAGCAGAACCGCCACCAGAGCGGAGGGCAGCAGCTGCTGCAGCAAGCCCAGCAGCAGCTGCTGCAGCAAGCCCAGCAGCAGCTGCCGCAGCAGACCCAGCAGCAGCTGCTGCAGCAAACCTAGCAGCAGCTGCTGCAGCAAACCCAGCAGCAGCTGTTGCAGCAAACCCAGCAGCAACAGGAAACTTCCAGGCTCAGATGGCCTCGCTGCTGGGGGCCTGGGGGCCCACAACCAGTGGCTGTGCAACTGCAGTGCTGTATAGAGCAGCAGCAGCAGCAGCAACAGGAGCAGCAGCAGGATCTGCTGCAAGTGCAGCAGCACGCGTACAGGCGCTGCAGCAGGCACACTTGCTGCAGCAGCAACGGGGCCTCAAGTTTGTCCACCCCCGCAACTGGATACTGCGGTGGAAGCTCAGGCCAGGGGACAAGGTGCTGCTGCTGCTGCTGCTACTGCTGCTTCTGCTGCTGCTGCTGCTGCTGTATCTAATTCTGTGTGTCTGATTCTGGGAGTGCCGTTGCTGCTGCTGCGTTTGACTTCGAGGGTGTCCCGCCTCTGCTGCCGTTGCTGCTGCTTGTGCTGCTGCTGCGTTTGACGCTGTTTCTGTTGCTGCGGCTGCTGTGGCTGCTGTAGCTGCTGCTGTGTCTGCCTTCTGGGATGCCACTGCTGCCATTGCTGCTGTTGCTGCTGCTGCTGCTAGGTGCGCAGCTCCAGCAGCAGTATTTGTTGCTGCAGTAGCTGCTGCAGCACGAGCTGGTGGGGTGGGAGCGTTGCCGACTGAAAGCAGCAGGAACTGTCGCTGAGCTGTGCTGCTGCTGCTGCTGCTGCTGCTGCTGCTGCTGCAGGTAATGATAATAAGCGGGAAGTGGCGGTCAACAGTTGGCCGCATTTTGCAAATCGACAAAATGCGAAACGCAATTGCCGTGGAAGGCGCCAAGGAGGTCAAAACAAATTGCTGCTGCTGCTGCTGCTGCTGCTTCTTCTGCTGCTGCTGCTGCTTGTGCTCCTGCTGCTGCTGCAGCTGCTGCTGCGGACAGGAGCAATTAGCAGAAAAAGCATATTGTTTGATTTCTTTCAATTCCATTCCATCTTAGTACTCCTTGACAAACCAAAAAAACACTTTATTTCATCTTTTAACTTTATTTCACCTTTTTATTTTTAATTTTATTTCATCTTTTATCTATTTCGTCTCGATTTTTATTTTTATTTCATATTTTTAATTTTGTTTCGTCTGTTTAGTTTTAATTTCACTTCATCTTTTTGGTTTTATTTCATCTTTTTCCTTATTTCGTCATTTTATTTATTCCATCTTCTTTATTCATTTCATCTTTTCAATTTAATTTTATTTCATTTTTTAATTTTATTTCATCTTTTTATTTATTTCATCTCTTTTATTAATTTCATCCTTTTATTATTTCATCTCTTCTATTAGTTTCATCTTTTTATTTATTTCATCTTTTTATTTATTTCATCTTTTTAATTTTATTTTATCTTTTTATTCATTTCATCTCTTTTATTAACTTATCTTTTTAATTTTATTTCATCTTTTTATTCATTTCAGAGATTCATAAAAGACGCAGAAGGCAATCAAGTGAAGGTCGCTGGCCTTTTGCATGTTTCCAACGCGATGCTTATCGACCCCGTCACAGAGTAAGCAGCAAACCATTTCATTTCCGGGGCCCCTGGGGGCCACCGGGGGCCCCCAGGGGCCCCCGGGGATCCCCAGGGGGCCCCTTGGGGCCCCTGGGGGATCCTGGGGTCTTTTGGGGCCCCCCAAAGGGCCCCCATGGGGACTCTGGGGTCTCTTGGGGGCCCCGAAAGGGCCCCCATAGGGGCCCTGGGGGCTCTTGGGGGCCCACAAAGGGCCCCCATGGGGGCTCCGGGGGCTTTCGGGGCCCCCCAAAGGGCCCCCATGGGGGCCCTAAGAGGCAGTGGAGGCCCTGGAGGCTCCTGGGGGCCCCCAAGGGGGCCCCATGGGGGCCCTTGGGGGCTCAGGAGGCTCTTGGGGGCCCGCAGGGGCCCCTAACGGTTCTGTAGTGGCCCTGGAGGCTTTCGGGGGCCCCTAGGGGCCCTTGAGGGCCCTCAAAAGGCCTCTCGGGGCCTCTCGGGGCCTCTTGGGGGGCCCCAAGGGGGGCCCCCCAAGAGGTCCCGAGAGGCCCAAAAAGGAATTTCACGGGGACCCCCAAAGGGCCCCCAAAGGGCCCCCAAATGACAAGGAGCGGCGGGAAAGCTGGCGCTGGTGGGGTGTATGTACTCTCTGCTGCTGCTGCTGCTGCTGCTGCAGGATCCCGACACGGCTGGCGCTTCGGAGAGACGAAAGGGGCGCACCGGGTAAAGAAGCAAACACTGGCTGGCACCGCTGCTGCTGCTACTGCCGCAACTGCTGCTGCTGCTCCGCTTTTCGTTGCTGCGGCGGCGTTTGGTCCTGTTCTGCCTTTCCATCTTCCTTTCTGTTTTCATCTTTCTCTTGTTCTCTTCGCTGTTTAGTTTCGTGCTGCTGCCGCACATATAAGTGCAGGAAAAATGAGAAAAAAGGAAATAAAAGTATTCATTTTTGTTTGAAATTGAAAGAAGTGCTGCTGCTCGCCTGCGAGTTTGCTGCAGTCCGCGTCGCCCGCCGCAGCGGTGTCATAGTGCCCTGGCCCGACAGCTCTGTTGCATGCAACGACAGCAGCAGAGGCTCAGTGGAGTATCTCCGCAGCAAGCAGCAGCAGCAGCAGCAGCAGCAGAAGCAGCAGCAGCGGGACATGGACACGGCCCTTCCTGGACCCAAGGACACGCCCAAGGAAAAAGCGCTCGAAAGAACTTACGACTACGCTAAGGTTAGCCGAGCAGCAGCAACAGCGCAACAGCAGCAACAGCAGCAACAGCAGCAACAGCAGCAGCAACAGCAGCAGCAGCAGCAATGCAGCAGCAGCAACTGCGTCGAACTGTGTGCCGGTTTCGCAGGAAGTGGCAACGATGGATGCCATCCGATTTATGATGGCGAAGTACAACAGAGACTTCTGCTGAGACAAAAGAAGCTGCAGTAGGAGCAGCAGCAGCAGCAGCAGATACTGCTGCTGCTGCTGCTGCAATGGCTGATGCAGCCCCGTTCTTTGGATCTGCAGAAACGGGCAGGAAGAACTCTGCGCCGTTCCACAGCAGCACAGGGAGTGCAGTTGTGAACTCTGCTGCTGCAGCAGCAAGAGCAGCAGCAGCAGCAGCTTCTGCTACAACTGCTTTCACTTCAAAGCCCATCTGTTTTCCCGTGCTGCTGCTGCGTCTCTTCAGACGCCGTCGCGAACGTACATTGCGTCCATTGGGCCCTGCCCAGTGGAACCGAAGCTACAACTGCTGCTGCGGCTGCTGCTGCTGCTTTTTGTTGTTGTTGTTGTTGCTGCTGCTGCTGCTGCTTTAGAATGTGGCGTTGCCGCTGTCCCCGTAATTGCCTACAAGAAGGGGGGCCCCTTTGCTGTAGCGGTCGGCAGCACTTTGACTGCCTGAGGAGACAGAGGCAGCAGGGAGGCGCTGGGGTATACATACACTTGGTGCAGCAGCAAACTGCAGCAGTAGCAGCGGCAGCAGCCGCTGCTGCTGCCGTTGTGGAGAGCCACAAGCATGTACGCAGTCTGTAGATGCAGCTGCTGCTGCAACTGCTGCAGCAGAACAAGCGCAGCGCTTACCCCCAGCTTCTCCCTCGTCTGTCGCTGCTGCTGCACTGCTGCTGCTGCTGCTGCTGCCGCGGTTGCCATCAGTGACCGAGGATACTTCCTTTGCCACTTGCAGCAGCAGAGCTTTTGCTGCTGCTGCCTCTAGTGTTGCTTCGGGTGTGCTGCCCTCCGGCACGGAGCTGCTGCAGGGGGCGCAGTCAGGAGCGGCAGACACTTGGCGGTGCAGCAGCAGCTGCTGCTGCTGCCCTGCTGCACTGACGCTGCTGCAAGAGGAACAAACTGCTGCTGCTGCTTCTGCGGGGGCCCCGTCGGGGAACGCCAGACGCAGAGCCAGCACGTCATGCATGTAAGACAACTCGTCCCGCAGCGTATCTTCTCTGCAGCGGCAGCAACAGCAGCAGCAACACAGGCATTAGTAGCAGCAGCAGCAGCAGCAGCAGCTCTAAAACGAGACAACAGATAGAGATGCAGAAGCAACAGCCCGCATGGTTACTTAGAGTTCTCTTGCAGTGAGCGCCCCCTGGGGCCCAAGCAGCACCAGAGGCAGCAACAAAAGCAGCAACAGCAAGAGCAGCAGCAGCAGCAGCAGCACCTGTACTGCAGCCTGATGTCGCTGACGTTAGACTGGCGCATGCAGTTTCCCCTCTTCCCCGGCAGCCGAAACTTCGGGCCTAGCCAGTGTGCCTTGTACTCGTCTTCAAAGCCGCTGCAGCAGCAGCAGCAGTAACAGCAGCAGCAACAGCGAAAGGCTCGCCAGCAGCAGCTCAGTGTAGGGAAAGCAGGGGCATCAAGACCAGTAGCAGCAAAAGCAGCAGGTGCAGGCAGCACGGAGCTGCCCCAACAGCAGCAATAGCGGCAAAAACAACAAGAGCTGCAGCAGCAACGGAGTCAGCACCAGCAGTTGCTGCTGCTGCTCTTGCTACAGCAGCAGCTGACCTCTGCAGCACCGAATTGCGGGCCAGCTCGCACAGGTCAACCGGCGTGAGCTTCCAGTAGTGCTGCAGCAAGCAGCAGCAAACAGCACCGGCAGTTCATGCAGCAGCAGCAGTAGCAGAAGCCACTAGTGAACCAGCGACAGCAACGCCATCACGGGGAAGCAGCAGCAGCAGCAGCAGCACCTAACTCCACCGAGGTCCCGCACTGCAGCACCAGTGGAAACGAGCACGTGCAGCAGCAGCAGCAACAGCAGCAGCAGCAGCAGCAGTACCGCAGCAAGAGAGTACTCCTCCAGTAAAGGCTCGTCAGTGAAGTGAAACATCAGGGGGTCATCAGTAGATAGAGAAACATTAAGTCCAATCTTGAAGAATAAATACAAAGGATTTTTTGCTGCAGCAGCAGCAGCAGCAGCAGCAGCAGCAGCAATGTCAGCAGCACAGCAGCAACAGCAGTGGCTGGCAAATGCATCGGATTTATTTGTGTCCTCCCAACCTCCGTATCTCCAAACGAAAACAGCAGCAGCAGCAGAAGCCACAGCAACAAGAGAAGCACCTCTATCAGCGCCAGCAGGAGCAACACCAACAGCAACAGCAACAGCAGCAGCAACACCAGCAGCAGCAGCAGCAGCACCAGCAGCAACACCACCAGCAGAGCACCAGCAGCACCAGCAGCAACAACAGCAGCAGCAGCAGCAGCAGCAGCAGCTGGCGCGCACCAACTTCGAGGAAAAGGGCGTTGTTAGAGAGGGGGGACATGGCAATTCCAATTTGCTGCAGGTAGAAGAGGTACTGCAGCACGGGGCTCTTCTTCAGCAAAATCCCATGATTAACTCCTCGGGCCAAAAGAAACATTGTCGCCAAATGCGAAACACTTCCAGCTTCCCCGCAGTGCGGCCTGGGCTGCACCACTCGCACTTGGCCTTTCCTCGTTTTCCCGTTCACGGGGGCCCCCGGGGGCCCCTGGGGGCCCTAGGGGAGCCCCCTGGGGGCCCCCGGGGGGCCCCCAGGGGGCTCCTTCGGGGACCCACGGGGCCCCGGGACAGGTTTTGCTGCTGCGCAGCAGCAGCGCGCTGAAACGGGCACTTGACTAAGCTAGAAGCAGGCCCAGCAGCTAGCCAGACTCCGCGTCTAAACCCTAAACCCTAAACCCTAAACCGTAAACCCTGAGTCTCGCTCGCGTTCTCCAGACTTGCTGCCGCAAGCCCTAGACCCTAACCCGCAGACCCTGGTGCTTGACGGCGCTCTACACGCTAGACCGCGGGGCCACGCCTTCCACCCAACCCTAAACGCTAAACCCCAAGCGCTAAACCCCAAACCCCAAACCCTAAACCCTAAACCCTAGGGACGCACCTGAACTCGAGGGGGCGAATGCCCTGGAGGTAGAGGAGCCTGTTGAGGGCCCGGATGTTCGCATGCATGTAAAAGCCCCAATAAGAATAAGGGGGATTGTCTGCAGAGACCCAGAGCTCGGGGGGCGGCAGCTCCCCCCCCTCCATCGTGTACTTCGACACGTGCGACTCGTCGTCCACAGAGTCCCACCCCACCACCTGCGCCCCACAAACGCATGCATGCATGCGTTTGTGGGCATGCATGCATGCATGCATGCATGCATGCATGCATGCATGCATGCATGCATTTGAAGTTGTGGGGGCTTCCGGCTGCTTGGGAGTGCAAGCATGCGTGCGTGACGTCGCTGCATGCATGATAGCTTCAGGCGTGCATAAAAACACTAGTGCATGCAGCTGCATGCGTGCATGCATGCATGCATGCCTTCATGCAGCTGCATGCAGTGGAGGGCGCGGCAAACAGAAGCAGCAGAGCAGCAGCTGGAAGAAGAGCGCAGAGGCAGCAGCTGAGTTGGGGGGCGGTAGAAATTTTCCCGCTGCTGCCCGGATTACCTGCTGCAGCAGCTGGAAGATCTTGGGGTGTTTGCTGGGGCTGCATGCAGCCTCAAAAAGAGGCCCGAAAATGTTTTCCAGCATATCTCCGAAACTCTTGACTTGGCCGCGCATGCGGTAGATGTAATACAAGCTGCAGCGCAAGTCAGGCTGCAGCAGCGCCGCCTGCTGCCAAGAAGGAAGCAGCAGCAGCAGCAGCAGCAGGGCGGCCCAAGGCCAAAAAGCCAGCAGAGCGCTGCCCCTAGACTAAGCAGCAGCAGCAGCAGCAGCAAAAGCAGGAAGAGCAGACCGAGCAGCAGCAGCAGCAGCAGCAGCAGAGCAGCAGCAGCAACAGCAGCAGCAGCAGCAGGGGGCTCACCGAGGCACCTGAATGAGCCAGCGGACGCGGACGGAAACGAGCTGGTTGTCTATGACCCAACTGGCCAGGCGGCTCCACTCGTCTTTGTGGCTGCCGTAAATGGAAAGCCGCCACTCCACTTGCTGGTAGCGCCGCTGCTCCAGGTCTTTGATCACTTCCTTCGTCAGCTCCGCCAGGAAGCGGCCTGCGCCCCGCAGCAGCAGCAGCAGCAGCAGCAGCAGCAGCAGCACTTCCTGCGAAAAGGCTATGATTGCCTTTTCGTTTCGGGATTGATGGTGAATTGAACACAATTCAAATAGAGCATTTTGAATTTGACATGGAAAGTTCCACTTTGCAACATTTTGCAAAAATGATTCCACTCAGTTTGCAATTCCTGTTTCGGAGTCTGACAAAGGCGCAGGCATTTGGACCCTTGCAACTATTCCACAAGCTTGTTTTCAACTCCATTTAATGATAAATATTAAAGTTCTTAAAAACATGAAATTAAGTTCATTTGATAATAAGTATTAGAGTTTTAGAAACATGATATTAATATGAGATCAGTGCACAAAGAAAAAAAGTGGACAACGGCGCCGTGAAGAAGTGGAAAGCAACAGAGCACGAGCACTGAGTGCAAAATGAAGAAAGAAAAGAAAGAAGTTCGGGTTTAAAGAACAGAAGCTTGGTTTTGAAGAAAAGAATTTCGGGTTAAAAGAAAAGAAGTTCGGGTTGAAAGAGAAGTTCAGATGTAAAGAAAAGAAGTTGGGTTTAAAGGAAAGAAGTTGGGATGAAAGAAAAGAAGTTGGGTTAGAAGAGAAGAAGTTTGGGTTGAAAGAGAAGTTCGGGTTTAAAGGAAAGGAGATCGGGTTTTAAGAAAAGAAGTTTGGGTTTGAGCAAAGAAGTTGTTTTTAAAGAGAAATTCGTGTTTAAGGAAAGAAGTTTGCGTTTAAGGAGAAGTTCGGGTTTAAAGAAAAGAAGTTCGGTTTAAAGAGAAAATGTTTGGGTTTAAAGTTTGCAGAGAAGAAGTTTGGTTTTAAAGGGAAGAAGTTGGACTCATGTTAAAAAAGAAGCTGGATTTAAAGAGAAGTCCGTGTTTAAGAGAAAAAGCTGGATTTAAAGTTGAGTTTGTGTTGAGAAAAAAAGCTGGATTTAAAGTTAAGATGGCGTTTAAGAAGTGAAGTTCGAGTTTGCTGCTGACCCTTGATGTAGTTGTCGGTCTTGAGAAAGACATCTCTGAGGGCTCGTTGGCCAAAAGGATTATATTTTTGGTTGAAGAGATCAAAACGCTGGAAGCAAGAGCCCAGTGCATGCACTCCCAGCAAGTCCACGGAAGCTGCATAAGCATTTAATCCCATTTTGCAAAACACATCTTCCAGCGTCAGTGCAGCGCCGCCGCTCGTCACGTACACCACTGTCGTCTTCTCTTCATCGTACTTCCGCCTGCCACCGCAGCGCGCTTCCCCCAAACAACCCACATGCAGCAGCAGCAGCAGCAGCAGCAGCGGCAGAGGCAGCAGCGCGGCAGCAGCGGCAACGGCGTGCGCAGCATCTGCATCAGCGGCAAGGCAACGGCAGCTGCAGCAGGCGCACGAGCAGCATCCTCAGCACCTCCAGCAGCGTCCGCAGCAGCAGCAGCAGCAGCAGCAGCAGAAGCAGCAGCAAGCGTGGGTTTGACCGGATGAAGCTGAGGAGGTGCTTCTGCGTCATGCAGGCGGCGTGGTGGACGTGGGTGTCCACTTTGCGGACATTGTAGAAGTCCCTGTGGTGGTTGTCTTTGGTTTCTTGCAGCTCAGCAGCACTGTTGAACATTGTGTGCAAAATGAACTTCTCCTCCAAGTAGCGCAGCCGCCGGTAGCAAAAAGACTTGCACGCTGACGGGCCAGCAGCAGCGGCGCAGCAAGAAGCAAGCAGCAGCAGCGCAGCGCAGCAAGAAACAAACATCAGCAGCGCGGCGCAGCACGAAGCAAGGAGAAGCAGCGCAGTGCAGCAAGAAACAAGCAGCAGCAGCGCAGCACAGATAAGATGGAATTCATGTATGGGCACGTGGCTGCGGGCGTGGCGGACAGAGGCTTAACAGCGTAAATAAACCAACAAAAAAGAACATAAATGCATAAAATAATATTTTTAATTACATATTACCTCTGCTGCATGAGATCAGGAGCAGCTGCAGGCAAAATGCGAAATTTTATGCAAATTCAGCAGCAGCTTTTGATGCACTGATCTGCCAACTGGTGAAAGCGTTTCCTTGTTTTCTTCTAGTCTCTATTTGTCTTTTTCCCTTTTATTTCTGTTTTATTATTTATTTTGTTCATTTATTTTCTGGTCCTTTCTGCTCTGCAGATTGTGCTGCCACAAGGAGCGCTAGCGGAAGCAGACGACAGGTGGAAGCAGCAGTGTTGGCTACAGCGTGCAGCACAAGCGAATCAAAAGCTTTTCAATTAATAAAATTAATACGTAAATAAATAAATAAATGTGAAAATAAATAAATCAAGGAACTGCCAAGGATCCGGCGAGTAGAATTGATAAAGCCAGACAAAACAGGACCGAAATAAAGGCGAAACTACACGCAGCATCGGCAGCACCGCGGCAGCACCAGCAGCAGCAGCAACAAAAGAAAGAGCAACAGAAGCAGCAGCACAGGCTGCAACAGACGCAGCAGCAAAAGCAGCAGCAGCAGAAGCAGCAGCAGAAGCAACGGGGAGGCCCGCACCTGGGCTTTGGACAGCAGTCATGATTTCTTTGAGGCTGGAGAGGAAATGTTTGACTGAGGGAATGGGGGGCCCCAAAAGAGGGGGGAGAGAGTCTGGGGAGGGGGCCTCTTTGCATGCAGGATCGTAGTAGACCTTAAGTGACAAAAAAGAATTGCAATTGGTTTAATTATATTGTTTTAGTTTTAATTACAAACAGTAATAAATGCTGAATTGCAAAAGGCACACTAGAATCGAAAAGTAAAGAAACTGCAGTCCTTGCTTGTGCGGCCCCAACAGCAACATCTCAGCCAAAACCCTAAACTCTAAACCCTTTAAACCTAAACCCTAAACCCCAACCCGTAAACCCTAAACCCTCAACCCTAAGCCTTAAAGAAGAGGCCCTGTACCTGCCAAGTATATTTTATATACCTATGTATATATAAAATATATATATGTATATTTTATATATGTAGATATATATATATATATGTACATATACAAATAGGAATTACCAGTGCTGATTTACATATACCTGCAAATATTTGCGGGTGTGAATAGACCTGTAGGTACACTTCTATGCGCATGCACACATGTGTATGATCAGATATTGTTGAAGAAATATTTTTATATTTATTTTGTATTTACACAATTCGTATAAAGCAGACAAAAATAAGCTTTTCGTGAATTCAAGTTTGCGTACACCACGAATCAACAGGCACGGGTCAGCGCGAGTTAATGGAAATGCAGGAGAACAAAAAGACGCATAAAATGCGCATTAAAAGAGTTAAAAATATTATTATTAAGTTTGTGTAAGTATCACATAAATAAAGGTGCAAATAGATGCACTTGGTGTGCATGAGTAGTAATACAGAAGTGTGGAACAAGATGCATACATTCGTGTGGATGCTGCAAAAATCTCTATATCCACAAGCGCATGCAAAATGTGTAAAAGGAGATTTAAATATGCAGAAAAATACCAAAAGGAGAAGATAAATCTGCACTGACACGCGATCCGCTGCATACAGCAAGAAAGAAGCAGAAATAGTCTTTAAGGTGGCTGAAACTTTGCAGTGTCCACTTTTAGCGAAATAATATTTTAATTTTAGCATTTTAAAACATAAATTCTTTCATAATTTATCTCCTGCAGTTAATAAACTTTGTTTACATATATGTATTCTACATTTTACAGCAGTAATATCATCTGATTTATAATTCAAAAGCCCTCTTGAATTACAGGAGCCTCCACCAATTTTTGAAAGAATTTATAATCACATTCTATAAAATACAATTAACAAAAAATACATGTATTTAAGTCGACAAACATAATTCCTTTATTCGTTTAAACTCTAAAATAGGGTTTAGAACTTTTGCAGCAAACCAGGAAAGTTGAACTAAAAGGTCAATACAATTAATAGAAGGTGTATTTATTTAAACCACCAAATATAATTCCCCATGCCGTTTAAACTCTAAACTAGGGTTTAGAACCTCTGCAGCAAACCAGCAAAGCTGAGCTGCAATGCCAACACAATTAATAAAAGGTGCATTTATTTGAACCACCAACTAACGCCCCAAGCCGTTTAAACCCTAAACTAGGGTTTAGCGAAGCACCTGGTAAACCCCCTCTTGCATGCGGCAAACAGCACTTATGTCTGGGGGCGGCTGCACAGCGCTGGGCACAAAGAGAGGCTCTGTAGAACCCTCAGAGCCCCGGACGCCCCCGGGGGGCCCCCCGGCGCTGAGGGGGGGCCCCGGGAAGACTGCGGGGGAAGGGCGCGGCGGGAACCTTTCTTGCCACGCGTCCCGCAGAGCCAAGCAGCCGGACAGCACCTGCAGCAGCAGCAGCAGCAGCGGCGGCGGGAGCGGAGGCACAGGGGGCTGCGGGCGAGAGAACGGCGGGAAACGGCAGCAGCAGCGAGGAGATGGTCAGTGGAAGCAGCAGCAGCAGCAAGGGCAGCGGGCACCGCTAGCTGCAGCAGCAGCAGCAGCAACGACCGCAGATGCAGCAGCAGCAGCAGCAACAAAACGCACTTTGCATGCATGGAAGGACTCGTCGCAGCTGCTGCTGGAGACTGGCAGATCCTTACTCGGCTGCATCCTCACATAAGTGGTGCCCCGCAAACTACAGGGGGGCCCCCCGGGGGCCCCCGGGGGGCCCCCATTGCTGCGAGGGGTTGCAGCATCAAAGTCTAGGGGGCTTTTGGGAGAACCTCTTAAGCTGCCAAAGGCAGCAGGAAGCCTCCCGAGGTATGTCACTGCCCCAGCCCTCTCGTGGCTGAGACTCAGCAGCTGCAGCAGCAGCAGCAGCAGCAGCAACAGCAGCAGCAGAAGCAACACAACGGTTTATGCAGGCCGTCGCAGTGTCAGTGTTAGCATGGACAGCAGCTGTATTTCAGGGCAAACAGCAGCAGCAGCAGCAACAGCAGAGGTGCGAACGCGCCAGCAACAGCAACAGCAGCCGCAGCAGCAGCAGCAGCAGCAACAGCAGCAGGCGCACCCGCTTATACATGGAGTCCCAGCTGGCGTCTTCAGGGAGGCTAATATGTATCTTGGGATTTTCACAGGGGCCCCTAAATGCAGCAGCGGGGGCCCCTCCAGGGCCTTGGGGGGCCTGTGTGGGGCCCCCCTTAGAGTGAGCAGCAGCTGCTGCTTCCGCTCTTGCTGCTGCTGCTTCTGCCCTTGCTGCTGCTGCATCCGTCTCTGCATCTGGGGTTTGTGTAATCCGCCACTTCTCTGCTGAGGAGGCCTGGGGGGCCCCCAATGGGGTACTGGGGGAGGGGCCCCCCGGGCTTTTCTCTGTGCTGCAGCGCCCCTGGGTTGGCTGCGGGGGCCCCTCAGCAGCAGCAGCTTTGTGTGTGCTGCTTCCGGCAGTTTGCTGCGCCGGTGTGTCTGTGTTGGCTGCAGGCACGCCGGGGCCCGCACCCCCCGGCTGCTGCTGCTGCTGCTGCTGCTGCTCCATCTCAGGAATGGAAAACGGGATACCCTGGTTTGCGCACTGAGGGGGGTGCTGCAAATGGGAGGGCCTCATGAGGCTCGCAGGCAGCAGGGCCGGCAGCAGCTGCTTCCGGAAGATAGCACCGGCCGCACCGGCAGCAGCAGCAGCAGCGGCAAAAGGGGATCTTTGTGCGGCAAAAGCGTCTATAACACTTAAGAAAAAAGGAAGACAGACGCGCTCAGGTGTCTATACACCTCACGGGCGGCACCCAGCGCTGCCGACCACCCGAAGGCCTGCGCAGCGGTCAGGGCCACGGCTAGCAGCAGAGGCCCCTGGGGAGTCTTAGAGGAAACGTGGCGGCAATAGTCGGTTATAATATGTTATTATGAAATAACAAACATGTAATACTTGCAAAATGTGGAAAAATCGCCCCTAGGAGAGAGTGAAGCCGCTGCAGCAGCAGCAACTGCAGCAGACCACTGGCAACAGCAGCACCAACGGCAGCAGCAGCAGCAGGCCCCTAGTCCAGTGCAGCGGCTTCTTTTTTCTGAAACAAGTGACTCTTCTAGTGTACAATTCACTTTTAAGCTTTTTATTTACATATAAACCATAAAGACAAGCAAAACTAGTAGCAAGAAGGGATGCGGCGGCAGCAGCAGCGGCAGCAGCAATGACAGACGCCCCTGTGGTTCAGGAGCCCCAAAAGGGCCTCCACGGGGCCCCACACAGAGGGGCAGCTCCTGAGCCAATTTAGCCACTTGAAGAATTGATTTTTGTGGTTCTTAGCCATATTTTTGGATTGGCGGAGCAGCAGCAGCAAGAGAGCAGCAGCAGCAGGAGCGCAGCAGCAGCAGGAGAGCAAGGGCAGCAGTTTCACAGGCAGTCGCCACCGATTTTTGTGTCTCCTGCCGGTACATCTTCCAGCCCCAGAAACCCCACAAAGATCAATCTTAGGGTGTAGGTTTAGGGTTTAGGGTTTAGGGTTTACAACGAGCCTGGCCGTCCCGCAATTTCAAACAGCAGCACATGCCGTGTCTGCTCACCGCGAGACGATGTCTGCCACTCCTCCTCCCCTCTCCAGCAGCAGCAACCGCAACCTCGAATGCAGCAGCAGCAGTAACAGCAGCAGCAGCAGCACATGCGTCTGTGGAGTTTGCTGCTGGGCCAAAGGGCCCCCAGGCTGCGGGCCCTTCCTGCAGATGCGCCTGAGCTCCTGCAGCGCAGCAGCAGCAGCCCGCCGACTGCACCTCATGCTGCCAGCTCTGTGGCGGCAGCAGCAACAATTGGCGAAGGACCCACAGCAGCAGCAGCACCAGCAGCAGCAGCAGCAGCAACAGGAACAGCAGCATCAAGAGCAGCAGTTCCAACAGGAAGAGCAGAAGCTGGAAGTGGAAGAGTTTAGAGCCACTGTTCTGGCAGTCGTGAGCCCTACGCACCCCCTTTTCTCCAGTCGTTAGCTCTGCCGTTGCTGCTGTTGCTGCTGTTGCTGCTGCTGCTCTTGCTTCTGAAGAAGCAACCAAGGCTAGGATTCTCGCTATCGTTGCTGCTGCTGCTGTTGCTGCTGCAGTGCGAGCGCCTGGCTGCAGCAAGCGAGAGGGTTCGCAATACGTCCGCCTACAACGAGGCTTTCGCGCTGCTGCGGGCCGTAGCCCCTCCCACGATTTCAGCAGCAGCAGCAGCGCAGCAGCAGCAGCATGAGCAAGAGGAGCAGCAGCAGCAGCAGCAGCAGGAACAGGCAGGTGTTTTAAGCAATCGGCTGCCTTCGCCGCAGAGCAGCAGCAGCAGCTGCGGTGAAGCGGCAGCGCCTCTGCAGGAACTCAGCAGCAGCAGCGACGGCAGCAGCAGCGACAGCAGCAGCAGCGACAGCAACAACAGCAGCAACAGCAGCAGTGGCAATAGATGCAAAGGAGACTGGTGGTTCGGCGTTTCGTTTTTAAGAGAAGTGCCACACGAGCATTGGATTCGCACTAAACAAGAGCAGCAGCAGCAGCAGCAGCTGCTGCTGCAGCTGCAACGATCGCAGCAGCAGCTGCAGCCTCACCAGGTGACTTTTTCATCCTTAAAGCACGTTGCCTTTTCCGTTGCTGCTGCTGCTGCTGTGTCTGTTGTCTTGCTGCTGCTTCTTTTCTGAGTTCTTCTGGGAGATACATCGAGACTTCTTGCTTCTTGCTGCTTTCACGGCCACTGCTGCTGCTGCTGCTGCTACTGCTGCTGTTGGCGCAGCGATTTTCTGCTGCAACAACTTGCCAAAGAGTCATTTCGGTGCTGCGGGGGGCCTCAGCAGCCATGGACCTAGGGGATTATCAGGTGTGTGCTGCTTCTACAGCTGCTGCTGCTGCTGCTGCTGCTGATATTCCTGCTTGCTGGTGCTTTTGCTCTTCATGGGCTCCAGCCTTTGCTGCTGCTGCTGTTGCTGCTTCGCCTACTGCTGCTGCTGCTGCGAGGACTTTTTGCTTCTCACAGGGCGCTGTGCGGCTGCTTGAAGACTTACGGCAATACCCGCTGCCCTTCCGGCAGCTGCCACATGTGAGCAGCGGCAGCAGCAGAAGCAGCAGCAGCAGCAACGGCAGAAGCAGTAGCAGCAGAAGCAGAAGTAGCAGTTGCTGCAGCAGGAGCAACTACGATAGAAACAGCAGTCTCTTTCCTTCCAAAAATTGTGACTAGGCCTTTCTGAACTGCATATGGTGCTTGTGCGGCTGCGTTTTCTGCTGTTGCTGCCTTTCTGCTGGCGCTGCTGCTGCTGCTGCTGCTGCTGTAGAGCCTGTATATGCACTGCGTCGCTTTTCTGCTCGCTGGCCCCGAAGCAACAGCAGCGCCGCTGCAGGCTGGAGAGGCAGCAGCAAACGCAGCAGCAGCAGCAGCAGCAGCGCCGCTTCCCTCAGTATCAGAAGGGGTGCTTCTGGAGGAGTTGCGGAATCTTGGGAGGTCACCTGCTGCTGCAGCCGCTGCAGCGTCCTCTGCTGCTGCTACTGCTCCGGCTGCTGCAGCTGCTGTTGCTCCTGCAGCACGAAAGAAGGGGAAGCCAGCGGCACTTGGTGACCCTGAAGCAGCTGCACTAAGGGGGTGCGACTTCTGCTGCTGCTGCAACCCACCAGTGCCGCTGCTGCTGCTGCAACACACTGCCGCTGCTTTTTGCTTCCTTTGTTCGGGACGAAAGGTGCAGCATGAATCACAAAAGTTGAAGCAAGAAGCTTCAAAAGGTTTATCTTTCTGCTTCTGCTGTTGCTGCTGCTGCGCGTTGTGTCCTGACCTTAGAGCGCTGGCGCTGCGCACTCTGAACTTTGCTGAGGCTGCTTGGTGCTGCGTCGGGGCTCTGCATGCGTTGGCAGCAGCAGATCTGAGGCAGCAGCAGCAGCAGCAGCCCTCAGCGCACTTGCAAGCCTTTCGGGCCAGCAACATCAGCAGCAGCAACAGCAGCGGCAGCAGCAACAGCAGCAGCGACGGCAGCAGCAGACGACGAGTCTTTTCCTCCACAGACTTGGCTATTTATGGATCCATCGCTCTGCTTGCTTCCACTGAGAATGCCCTGCAGGCAGAAGGGGTGATGCTGCTGTTGCTGCTGCTGTTACTGCTGCTACTGCCGCTGTTGCTGATGTTGCTGCTGCTGTTGCTGCTGCTGCTGCTGTTGCTGCTGCTACTTACTGTGTGTCTGGTTTGCGAGGCCCCCGTCTTCCATGTGGCGCTGCTGCATATGCGTCTCGTGGGGTGTATGTACAGCTGCAGCTGCTGCCTTCTCTGCGAACTTTGGGGCTGCATGCGCCGGCGTCGCTGCACCAGCTGCTGCTGGCTGTGGAGAAGTGCGACTTTGCGCAGCAGTCCGAAGGCATTCAGCGCGCGGCAGTAGGCGGCGCTGCTGCTGCTGCTGCATTTGGGAATGTCTTTGCTTCTGCTGCTGCCTCTATGTTTTGTATCTTTGCTGCTGCTGCCTCTCCTCCCCCGCCTCTGTTTGGCTCTGCGGGGCTTTTATCTCTTCCTGCCTGCCTGTACCGTGCCTGCTGCTTAGCACGGCAGCTTCTTGCAGCAGCAGCAGCTGCTGCTGCTGCAGCTGCTGGAGCCGATATCTCCACAGAACTCGAGGAATGCTGAGCCTCTTGTGTACTGTTGCTGCTGCGTTGCGCTGCTTCTGCTGCTTCTGTTGCCGCAGCTTTTTCTAGAGGCGGACTTTGTTCTGCAGCCAGTTGCGTCCCGCGTTGCTGCTGCACTGCAGCAGCAGCTACTGGTGAGGGCCGCAGCAACCTTCTCTGCCATCTCTCTCCGATCTTTGCAAGCGACAACACGCATGGACTCCGGCAGTAAGGATTGCTATCCAGGCTGCTGCTGTTGCTGCTGCTGCTGCTGCTGCTGTCGATTCAGCAGCTGCGGTCGCCGCTGCAGGAGTACCTGCGGCGACTGCCTCTCGCCTCCGGCCAAGTATAAGAGGCGGGCGCATTCTGCTGTCGCTGCTGCTGCTGCTGTTGCTGGTGCTGCTGCTGGTACTACTGTGACTTGACAGTGCTGCAGAAAATCATTGCGGAATGTGCCGAGAGGGGAGAGCTGCCGCTTACGTATGATGAAGAGGCGCAGGTCAGTTACAGCAGTAGCAGCAGCAGCAGCAGCAACACAGCTAACTGCGCAGCAAGAGGCATTTTTGAATGCCTCAGCAGAGACGTTTCATCACAGTAATGCTGCTCACACTAGCTGCTGCTCCTGCTGCTCCTACTGCGGCCGCTGCTGCTCAGGTGCTGCGGCGGAAAGAAATATCCCCCGACGTGTTGCTGCTGCGGTCCCTGCAAGCTGCTGTGAGTCCAATAGTCCAGAACACTACAGGCTTATTGCTGCAGATTCGTAGTCTGTGTAGGCCATTTACGAGCAGCAGCAGCAGCAGCAGCAGCAGCAGCGGCAACAGTCATCAGCTGTTTCATAGGGGCTGCTGCGTTTACGCCTGCTGCTCGCCCTGCTGCTGGCCCTTCAAGGCTCATCAGTGGTCTGTTGCTGTTGCTATTGGTGTTGCGGTTGCTGCAGCAGCAAGATGCCAGTCGCATGTGCCAGCGGGCAGCAGCAGCAGCAGCAGCAGCAATAGCAGCGGCGGCGGCGGCAGCTGCGGCTCGCGAGAAGGACAGCACGCTTACATAAGGGCATCAGCAGCATCAAACGAAAAGAAACAAAAACAAAAAAGATGAAAATGGGCCGAAGCCGCAGCAGCTCAAAACGCTTCAAAGCTGTCGAAGTCCAGCAGCAGCTGCTGCATTTGCAGCTGCTGCTCCTGTTCAATGTCGCGTGGCTGGTGCTGGGGTAGCTGCTGCAGCTGCTGCTGCTGCTGCTGCTGCAGCTGCAGATGGGAAGCAGGAGGTGTTGGATTTTGCCGCTGCCAGCACGCCGCACTGTCGCTTGGCGCACCCGCAGTAGCCGGTGCTGCGGCTGTTGCTGCTGCTGCGGCTGCTGCACTTTGCAGAGGCGAACTGCACCCTGTCGCAGCAGCAGCAGCAGCAGCACAGTCCGCTGATGCGACAGCACTAGTTGTACAGTTTGCTGCTGCTGCTGCTGCCGCAGCAACACCAGCACAGTCCGGGGAAGCAGCAGCCGCCGCAGGAGCGGGGTCTTCGCCGCTGTCAGCAGCAGCAGCAGCAGCAGCAGCGTCAAGCAGCAGCGCGCTCGCGTCTGTGAGAGCCGCAGGCAGACTAAATCTGGGAGAACGAAACTGCTGACAATCTGGATCGTGGCACTTCTGCCAAAAGAGGCCCTGGTGTATCTGCAGCACGAGCAAGATGCCATTGGACTTGTGCTGTCTGTACACCCCAGCAGCGCAAAGGCAGCAACGCAGCAGCAAAACATTCATTTCAAAAGAAGCAACAAGAGACACAAACGCCCTTCGCAGCAGCAGACGCTGCTGCTGCAAGCAGCGGCCAACTCTACGCAGCAAAGTGTTGTGTGCACGTTCGGCTCCGCAGCACTGCTTCTGGTGCCGCTGCTGCTGCAGCAGCAACTTTGCTGTAGCCATGGCTAGGTAATGTAAAGCAGCATACCAGCTGAGGCAGAGCCAAATGAAGAAGCAAAGAGTAGGCGAACACAGCAGCAGGAGCAGCAGCAGCAGCAACGGGCGCAGCTAGCTAGGGCCCAGAGGCACAGTTGCCTGTTAAAGTGAAAAGTAAAAGAAGGTCCAAAAAGGCAAAGCAGCAAACAAAAAGCTGAAAGAAGTACCTTCCCAAGTTCATGCAGTACCGATTGTTTCTTGGGGTTATCGCGAGGGTCTCAGAGGAGGGGTAATAGACGCAGCTGCAGCCGCGTAGCGCCCGCTGCTGCTGTTGCTGCACTTCTTGCTGCTGCATTTCCCGCAGCTGCTGCCCTGCTGCTGCAGCTGCTGCTGCATCCCTCACCTGGTCCCAAAAGGCAACTATGAAGGCAGCAGCGTCGCGCAGCCCTGGGATGTGCGAGGGAAGGCCGGGAACAGACTCACTTTCAAACGAGAAGTGCAACGGGTCAGCTGCTGTTGCTGCTGCTGCTGCTGGCTGCTTCATCTGAATGCCCCCCGGTGCCTCTGCGCTGAAGACGGGCCGCGCGGGCAGCAGCCGCCTCAGCGAGCTGCCGCTGCTGCTGCTTTCTGCAATTTCGTCCCACTGCATTTCCCAAATGCTGCTGCCGCGTTTGCCTTCAGCAGCAGCAGCAGCAGCAGCAGGCGCAATTAAGGGATGATGGAAAAGAGGAATTTCAAGCCCTGGGGGGACGAAGCTGACCAGGCTGCGCAGCAGCTGCAGCTCGAGTATGGGCCCCAACGGGTAGCAGCACTCGCTGCTCACCTGCAGCAGCAGCAGCAGCAGTAGCAGCAGAAGAGGCACCGTGACGCAACTGCTGTTGTGGACGTAGGCCTGACATCTGCAGCACGTTGCAGCAGCACATGGAGCCATGTATCCACAAAGAGACGCACTGTTGCCCGCAGCAGCACTGACAGCAGCAGCAAAAGCAGCAGCAGAGGCAGCAGCAGCAGCAGCAGCAGCAGCAGCAGCAGCAAGTACCGTTAGTGGGGTGTCTTGTCCATACTTAGAAGACCCCAGTAGCCTGAAGCACCTGTTACGAGTGTATACAGCTAAGTCGATGAGGCAGCGCCTTTCGCCTGTTTCTTCTGCTATGGGAAACAGCAGCAGCAAATCATCCAAAGTAGCTGCTGCTGCCGCTCCAGCACAGTCGCAGCGTCTCTCGTTTTGCTGTTCCTGCTGCTGCTGCGGCGGCTGCTGCCCCGTCTGCTGCTCCTCGAGCTCAGTTTGCTCGCACTGAGACGCCAGCCGCTCCTGAGGCTGCTGATGTTCCTGCAGCTGCTGTCCTTGCTGCTGATGCTGCTGCTGCTGCTGTCCTTGCTGCTGCTTTTCGTCCTGCTGCTGTTCCTGCTGCTGCTGCTGCTGTTCCTCCCGCTGCTGTTGTTGCTGGTGCTGTTCCCCCTGCATCTCTCCCTGCTGTTGGTATTCCTGTTGCTGTTGTTCCTGCTGCTGCTGCTGCCGCTGCTGCTGGTGAAGAATGTACATGCGGTTAGAAAGATGCATAACGAAGACCTCCGCAAAGCGTCCAGCCGTCTGGGCGTCAGCCATTAAAGTTGATTGGCTTTCTGCTGCTGCTGCTGCTGTCCCTGCTGCTGCAATTGTTGGTGCTGCTGCTAGCCTTGTCGCTGGCGCTGCAGTTGATGCTGCTGGTGACGATGCTGTAGCTGCTGCTCCTGCCTTTGTTCCTGCTGCTGAGTCTGCTGCGCTGGGCGTTGCTGCTGCAGGTGAGCCATCTCCACCATCCTGCTGTGTCGTTTCTGCTGCTGCTGCTGCTGCTGCCGTTTCATCGGCACCACCGTTCTGAATCACGGTTTCAGCACCCGCTACAGCAGCAGAAGAGGGAACAGCAGCAGCAGCAGCAGCAGCAGCAGCAGCGTCATCTGCGTCCCCTCGCAGAAGCCACATGGCTGGTTGTTGGTTTCTTTTTTCTTGCATTTGTTTGTTTTGCCGAATTGCCTTTACTATTAAATGCTTCGAAAACTTTTTGCTGCTGGTGCCGTCAAGCGAGACGAACTCGCTGGGGTGGCAGCAGATGCTGCAGCTGCTGCACAAGAAACCCCGCAGCTGCAGCAGCAGCTGCTGCCACGTTGCCGCTGCTGCTGCTGCTGACGCCTGTTGCGGATTCAGGTGAAATAAATACTCCAAGTCGAAGTACAGCCAAACGGGCCGCCCGCTTTCCAGCACCTCGTACAGGTTGCACACCCTGCTGCTGCTGTTGCTGCTGCTGCTGTTGCTGCTGCTACCGCTGCTACTGTCGCTGCTGCAGTTGCTGCAGTTGTTGCTGTTCTCGTTGGTAGTGCAAGTGGTTCTGCTCCTGCTGTTGCCGTTGCTGTCGTCGCCATCCTCTGTCAGGCTGCCGCTGCTTTTGACAGGGTGCTCCATAGCAGCAAGCTCAGCAGCAGCAGCAGCAGCGGCAGCAGCACGAATATCAGCAGGATGCGCATGGATGAGAGGCTGCAGCTGTCGGATCCGTTCTGCCTTGCGAGCAGCAGCAGCAGCAGCAGCAAGAAGGGCTCTCAAGGAGCCGCAGCAAAACCGGCGCAGCCCCGTTTCTGCAGTTTCTTCAGCCCACACTGCAACGGCAGCAGCAGGCAGCCGCCGCCGCAGCAGCGCAGCAAATGATGCTGCTTCTGCTTGCTTCTCAAACACCCAGAGAGGCACCAGAGGATTCGCCTTGCGCTGCTTCTGGTGGGTCGGCTGCTGCTGCTGCTGCTCCTGCTGCTGCAGCAGCAGCAGGGATTCAACGCGCCGCCACAAGCGCACTCGCTGTAAGGCAGACACCGAACTGTTGAGAAAACTGCTACTGCTGCTGCTGCTGCTGCTGCTGCTGGCGGGTACTGCTGTTGCTGCTGCACCAAAGACAGAAACTGCAGAACGTTCTGCTGACTTTTGTTTACGGGGAAAAGAGCTCCGGCTGCTGCAGCTATCTTCCTGTGCTTCGCATCCCGTGACACTGCAGCTTGAGCTGCTGCTGCTGCTGCTGCTGCTGCTGCTGCTGCTGCTTGCAGGATGTGCGTAGAAGCGGGAAGGACTTATTGCTGTACTTTTCACATCCTTTTCCGCGGGAGAAAAAGTAACTACGCGCTTTTTCAAAGGCACGGCCTGCTGCTCATGCTGCCGCTGCTGCTCATGCTGCTGCTGCTCATGTTGCTTCTTCTGCTCATGCTGCTGCTGCTGCTCATGCTGCTGCTGCTGCTCATGTTGCTGCTGCTGCTCATGCTGTTGCTGCTGCTCATGCTGCTGCTGCTGCTCATGCTGCTGCTGCGGCTCATGCTGCTGCTGTGGCTCATCCTGCTGCTGCTCTTCTTGCTGTTGCTCCTCCCCCTGCTGCTGCTGCTGGTATTCATGCACATCCATCATGCATTGCTCTCTGCCTTGCATTTGCTGCTGCATTTTTTGCAGGAGTGGCAGCAGGTCGCAGCTAGCCGAATGGCAAAGACAAGTTCAGGTCTACGTAGGATAGCAGCAGCAACAGCAGCCGCAGAAGCAGCAGCAGCTCAAGCAGCTATCTGCAAACGAATTTGCACGGTATCTCGCTTCGCCGCAGGCCCCGTCGTGCCTTACGGCTGTTCTACACAACTTGTGTCGCGGCTTTTGCTGCTGCTGCTGCTGCCGACGGCGCTCCTTGTGCTGGACAGCCTAGGAGGGTCCTTCTGCTGCTGCTACAGCTGCTACAGCATCTGCAGCAACTCTAACAGCAACAAGTAAAACAAAAATAAAAGTAAATCAAGAGAAGTCCGCAGTTTTACCCCTGTGCTGTAAGCGGCCAGCAGCAGCGGGGCCCCAGTCAACACCAACCCCACGTCGGCGCGGCAGCAGCAACGGCTGCTGTTGGAGATGCTGCTGCTGCAACAAATCCTTGGGCTTCTCTTCTATTCAATTTGGAACGAGTTAAATTTTTTGTTGTTATTGTTGAGGCTCATGCGCGCTGGAAGACGGGGTGGATCAGGTGCCTCTCTGCTGCTGCTGCCCGTGCAGAGGCAATCGAGCCCTAACTGCTGCTGCAGCCCTACTGCAGCAGCAGCTGCCACAGCAGCAGCAGCAGCGGTTAGGTAACTGGTACGTTTCTGATTCTGCAGCTGCTGCTAATGTCTCGGGGCTTGCAGTCATCGCGTCTCAGCAAAGGCAGCTATTCGCTGCATCTGCTGCTGCTGCTGCTGCTCGGAGGACAACCCGTTCGTTGTTTTTGCAGCAGCGCCGCAGCGCAAAGTATTTCTTTTCTTTCAACAGCCCCTTCAGGAAGAGCAGCAACTGCTGTAGCAGCTGTTGCTGCCATTTCTTCCCCTTTGTGGGGAGTAGCGCCCATCCTGGGCAGCAGCGACCATAGCAGCAACAGCAGCAACAGCAGCAGCAGCAGCACCAGGCCGGCTGGCAGCATCAGGCCTCACTGGGGGCCTGCAAAGAGAATGTCTGCGCGGTTCCAAGCCTTTTTCACTTCTCGGTGGCTGCGGCCGCTGCGCCAAACTGCTGCTGCCCTTACTGCTGCTGCTGGCAGCAAGAGGACCAGTTTCTCCCTCTCAGCTGCAGGCTGCACCTCAGCAGAGGAGAGCGGCCGCGCAGCAGCAGCAGCAGCTGCCACTGCAGCAGCTGCCACTGCAGCAGCAGCAGCAGGAGGGGTTGACTGCACGGCCGTGCCGTCAGGCAGTCCTGGGGAGGAGGGCTTTGCCGTTCATTTCAAAAAGAAAAATAATTCTTTTTGCTCTCCCTTACATGACATTCCTCTCCTAGTGGGTGTTGGGGACCCCAGAAGTGCTGTATCTTCTGCTGCTGCAGTTGCTGCAGCAGCAGCAGCAGCGGAAGCGGCGGAGGCCGCAGCAGCGGGACCCGCAGCAGCAGCAGCAGCTGCTGCTGCTGCACCCCTCGTGAGATTCGTCTCCGAGATCCCCTGCGGAGACAGCAGCAAATATGAAATTGTCTTGAGAGAGTCCTGGAATCCAATAAGACAAGACAGACACAAAGATGGTGAGGGGCCAGAAGCAGCAAAAGGAGACACAGACTCGGCTGCTGCAGCACCTGCTGCAGCTGCATGGCAGCATCATAGCTGCAGTAGCCAATTTGCTGCTCCTGCTGCAGCCAATCACTTTTTGCTGTTCTGTTTTTCTGCCTTGCAGTTGTTTCCTTTTTGTCTGCTGCTGCTTTGCTGCTGCTGTGTTGTCCTTCTCTTCCGATCTCTTTGTCTGCTGCTGCTGCTGCGCCTTTTCAAGCACGGCAACGCAACAGCAGCAACACAGCAGCAACAAGACAGCAGCAACTCCGCAGCAGCAGCAACTCCGCAACAGCAGCAGCAGCAACACAGCAGCAACGCCGCAGCAGCAACGCAGCAACAGCAGCGCAGCAGCAGCAGCAACAGCAGCAGCAGCAGCAAATCCGAGGAAACTTGTGCTGTGCTGCTCTCAGGCTCCCTCCGCAGCCTCCGCTGGCCAGTGCTGGGCTCTTACGGGGCGCTGCCGCGGACGTGGGAGGGCCCCTGGGGGCCCCCCGCGTTGGGGTTCAGTTGCAGGGAGGGCGACCCCCCGGATTTGACTTCAAAAGAGGCTGTAAACCCTAAAATGGGATTTAAAAATAATAATAATTGTCATTTTTATTCTTCTAATGATGCACGAAACCTCCCCGGAGATGGAGATCCTTTGGATGTCGTGGAGGTGACTGCGCAAAAATATGAAACTGGGCAAATTGTGGAAGCCAAGGTCCGCTCTGAGTTTTAGTTCTTTTTATTATTTGTTTATTTATTTATTTGCTTTTTCTCTTTTTATTTTTGTTCATTATTTGTTTCTTTGTTTTCTTTTTTGTTTACTTGTTTGGTCCTTCACATGTTTCTTTGTTCTCTGTCTGTTTGCTTCTTTGCTGTTTGTTGATTATTATTTGCCTCTTCTTTCTTTGTTTCCTCGTTTATTTCTTTATCGCTTCATTACTTGTTTCTTTAATACTTGTTCCGCTGTTTGCGTATTTATTATTTTGCTTATTTCTTTTGCTTCTTCAGTATTTCTTTGTACCTTTGGTCGTCTCTTTGTTTGCTTCTTTATTCTTCCGTTCAATTCTTTTGGTTCTTTGCCTCTTTGTTCGTTTGTTTTTTTGATGAGTTATTTCTTTCTGTTTCTTTAACTGTCCATTTCTTCTCTTTCTTTATAGTTTTGTTTCTTTCTCCATTTCCGTGTCCTCTTGGTTCTCCTGTCGTGTCTTCGCCATTTCGTTCTTTTCCTTGTTTCCTCATTGATTTGTTTCTCAGTTGCTTTTGGGTTCTCCTCTTTCTTTTTTGGCTTACTGCTTTGTTGTTTTTTTCGTTTCTGTGTTGTTGGTTGACTGTTTTCTTCTTAATCTTTTCGTTTCCTACCGTTGCTTTACTGCTTTTTGCTTTTCAGCGGTTCTTTTCACTCTTTTGTTTATTTGCTTTTTTGTGTTTGTGTCCTTGTTTTGTTTCTCCGTCTTGTTTCCTTTTTGATTTTGTTTGATAGGTTGGTTTCCTTGCTCTCCCTTGCTGCTGTTCACGTTCTTCTCTTTTATTTTTGACTCTTTTTCTATTCTGTTTTTCACAGCAGCAGGCTGGTTAGGGGTCTAGGAGCTTCTTGTTCAGCTTTGGTGCTTTTCTGATTTCTCATTGAGCATTTGCTTGCCCGTCTTTTTATTTCCTTTTTTGGTTGCTTATTTTGAGTTCTTCATGCTGGGACTGGGTAGCAGGTGCTGGTTAGCTAGCTCTAGGGGGGCTAGCTAGCTAGCTAGCTAGCTAGCTAGCTAGCTGAGTGTCTGGGTATCTGGGTAGCTAGCTAGCTAGCTAGTGTGCTAGCTTGCTAGCTAGCTGGGTAGCTAGGCAGCTGCTCAAGTAGGTGCGCACGACTAGGTGTGTAGTTGGCTTTCGGCTGGCTAGCTGCGCGTGGTAAGCTAGCTAGCTAGCTAGCTAGCTAGCTAGCTAGCTAGCTAGCCGCCTAGTCTTCTTTTGTGTTTTAGGTGATAGGGGCTTTGGCCCTGATTGACAGCGGTTGCATGGACTATAAGATCTTGGTTGTTTCCTCTCTTTCTCCTCTTTTTGGGGCCCTCAACTCCCCCCAAGACCTCGAACTGCTGCGCCCTGGCTTTCTTGACTCTTTGAAGTTTTGGTTCAGCAACTACAAACTCAACACCCCGGGAGGCCCCTCAAAGCCCAACACTTTTGACTACGGGGGAGCCCCCCTGGGGTCCCCCCAGGCCTGGCGCATCATCGAGCATGCCCACCAAAGCTACTTGAGACTTCTCGCCAACCCTGAGATAGACCCCACCATCTGGCTCCCACCCCAGCAGCAACCCTAGCAGCATGTGCTTGCATGCGTTTGGATGCACCTGCATGCGCTTGTCTTCACTTAGGTTTGTCTGCATGCATGCATGCACGCATGCACGCATGCATGTGGGTTGGTAGGGAGCCTGGAGGCCACTTCGCCAGCTTGCCAGCTACACATCTAGCAGCGCATGCATGCAAACATTACAAGGCGAACTTTGCTGGGGCTCAGTGCCAGGGCCCCAACTGTGGCTGGGGGGGCTCCACAGCTTTTGCAGAATGGCGCCAGCAACTCACCTACGCTTGTATATATACCCGCATGCGCAGATATGCGAAATGATGCATAAAATGCGAACTTTTATCCATCAAAACGTTATGTTTGTGCTCAATCTGCTGCATTTTGGGCTCGTTTTGCTGCTCGCATGCGCTAAGTGGCTCGCTGGAGCCTTCTGCTGCATGCAATAGAACGGGGAAGGTATGTGAGCTGCGACAACGCTTAGGAGCACCAAAAGCAGATCCAGCGCAGTAGAAGTTAGGGCATAGCAGCAGCAGCAGCAGAAGGGCTAGAGATGGCGGAAGTGGCATTGCTTTTTGTGCTTATGTTGTCTATCTTTTTTTGCTTTTGTCTATTTAGCTGCGGGTTTTCTCCTGCCTCTGCCACACATCAGAAGGGGCAGCTGCCCGTGCTGCCCCCAGCGCACTTGCTTGAAACCCTAAACCCTAGCGTAAACCCTAGCGAATGCTAAACCCTCGGCCGGTTGGTGCACTTGTAGGTTTGTTGCTGCTCTCTCTGCTGCCCATCTCTGTCCTCAGCGTAGCTCGCTACACTGCAGCCCTCTCTCGCTGCTGCTGTTTCTCTTGGCTAGCTGCCTGCAAGTGCAATGGCCAGCTCGCGGCTAGGCGTGGCTGGCTGGTGGCTAGGCGCAGTTAGCTGGTGGCTAGCCGCGGGTTCCTATAGGGGATCTGTGACTCCCGGGGTCTGTTGCTCATGCATTTTTACCCCCGTTTTTCCTTCAAGTCCAAATAGCTTTCTGTTTCCCTCTGCGCCCAGGGGTTCTGTGCAACACACACAGAGACACAGCGCGCGGGGGCCCCAGCCGCCCCAGCGACCCGCAGCAGCTTCCGCCCCTCAACGGAGCTTCAGTGCATCCGCAAGAGCCTCTGCATGCACTGACAAAGCCCCGAGTTGGCAAGAGCAGCTGCTGCTGTTGCGATTCGAGAGGTCCCCCTCCCGGGCCGGGCAGTGACCCTGCAGGTGTGCGGACGGTGGGGCCCTGTGTGTTAGCTGGCGTTTGCGCCAGAGTAAAGTGCTAATCCTGTTGAATTACGAAGTTCATTGAAACAGACAATTGAAATGCAACCTCTGGGGGCCCCTCCGTCGCACTTTGGGGGCCCTCTGGGGCGGTGCCTCTAAAGATGCTCGTAGGCTTCTTTAGAGGGGGCCCCCGTGCATGGAAACGTGCTTAAACTGGGGCCTCCAGCTACGGCCTTTCCGGAGAAAATTAAATGGATAAAAATATCTTCTTTTCTTTGTCTTTTGTGGTTGTTTTAAAACGAGAAACTGTAGAAGAATGGGCGCCTACTGCTGCACGAGACCGCGCCGGGGCCCGCCGCCACTAACCCCATGTCGGGCAGGGGTGTAGAGGGGGGCCCCTCACTGAAGCGCAGGGGAAATAATGCAATCGTTTAGACTTATGTCTCGGTTTGAATGCCGATCCGTTGCTGCTGCTCCTCTTCCTGCTGCTTTTGCTGCTGTCGTGCCGCCGCCGCAGGATTCGCCCAGCGCCGGGTGCGGGCCTTACAGCGCACGACTGCAGTAGCAGCAGCTAGACGCTCACCTTGCTGCTGCAGATCTAGCGCAGCGAAATCTATAAACCCAAAAAATACACCAGATGCAGCGGCACTCCTCGCCTGCGAGCTCTGCCTACCCTATCTGTCGGGCAGAGGCGCGCAGGCTAACGAGCACTGGCAGCAGCCGCAGCAATAGCAGCAGCTGCTGCAGAAACTGCTGCAGCTGCTGCAGCAGCAACACTGATCACGCCAAAGAGGCAGATCACACAGAGATCAGACCTTCCTTCAACAGCATCTACGAAGACCGATAGCCGCAGCGGCAGCAGTAACGGCGGCAGCAGCAAGGCAGCAGCAACAGTGTCCAAAGCAGCAAGAACAGCAGCCGAAACACAAACTGCAATACACTGAAGCGTTCCACTCAAGACACAGCGAAGCCTGCTGCGCCACCTGCAGCAAAAGCCCCGACAGCAACGACGGCCAGAGCCAGCAGCAGCAACTGAGACGACAGCAGCAGCAGCAGCTGCTGCACAAACAAAAGCGCCTTGCCAGCCATGGAGGGCCGTCAGGCCCACAGGGGCGGGATTTCTCCACTCCTCTGTAGCCAGAATCCAACAGGGCGGCGAGCAGCAGCAGCAGCAGCAGCAGCAGCAGCAGCAGCAGCGACAGCAGCAACGGCTGCAACAGCAACCCCAGTGGCGAATTCATCATTAAGTATGGATCATCTACTGGACATTGGTAGCTTGCTGCAAAAGCAACAAATACACTTGCCAGCAGCAGCGTCACTGCTGCCAGTGTCAGCGGCAGCAAAAGTAGCATTAACCGGAAAAGCAGCAGCAGCGGCAGAAGCAGCAGCTGCTGCACCACCACCAAGTTCAAAAGGCACTCAAGCGAAACAGTCCACCCAAAGAGGTGGAGAGTCGCCTTCGTCCCGCAGCGCCAGCAGAACTGCAGCAGCAGCAGCAGCAGCAGCAGCAGCAACTGCACAAGGAGCAACAGAAGAGCTTTACGCGCGGCAGCAGCATCTTCGCCAGCTTTCTTCCGAGGACCAACGGCAGCAAAATGTGCTGAGTGGTTCTTGTCGCCTCTCTGGTCCTAGCGAAACCCCCTTAAGGCAGCAGCAGCAGCAGCAAAAACAACAGCAGCCACAACAAGCACGGCAGCAGAGCTCCGAAATTGCTTCTATCCGCCAACAGCAGCAGCAGCTGCTGCGCCTTCTTTTACTGCTGCTTCCATCAGAGGCAGGGCACCACGGAGAACGCACTGGTCGCGCTGGGGAAGCAACAGCAGCAGCAGCAGCAGCAGCAGCAGCAATAGGCAATGGCAGCAAAGCCAGCTCAGCTGCAGCCAGGCCGGCACTTACACGCCAGTTTCAAGGGCTGACTGCGGCATCCTCACCGCAGGATAACCAGCAGCAGCAGCAGCAGCAGCAGCAGCAACAGCAACAGCAGCAGCAGCAGCAGCAGCAGCAGCAGCAGCGGAGGCAGCAGGAACCACAGCTGCTGCAGGCATTGCTGTCAGGCGCGGGAGCATCTCGAGGAACTGATTTGCTTCTAGCTCTGCAGCAGCGCAGCAGAACAGCAGCAACAACTGCAGCAGCATCGCGGGAAACAACAGAGAGGCGCCTGCAGTCCACGCCTGCTGCTGCTGCTACTCTACCTGCGCCTGCTGCCACAACACCAATTTGCGTGCCCCCTCAGCAGCTGCAGCAACGGCAGTGGCAGCAGCAACCGAAGCAGCAGCAGCAACAGCAAGTACAGCAGCAGCAGCTAAAGAGGGAGCAGTGGAGGGCCACTGCCACAGCCGAGGAGATACTGCGAATGTGCAACATGCTGAACCTGCTACAGCAGCAGCAACAGCAGCAGCAGCAACAGAAACAGAATAAAGAGAGGCACACGCCACGTAGAGATGAGCCGCAGCAGGAAAAGCCGCAGCAGGTGGCCCATCTCCAGCGGCAACAGCAGCAGCAGCAACAACAACAGCAACAGCAGCGACAGCAGCAACAGCAACAGCAAGAACAACAACAGCAGCAGCTGCAAGAAAGACAAAGGCAACAACAGCAGCAGCAGCTACAAGAAAAGCAAAAGCAACAGCAGCAGCAGAAACGAGAACAGAAGCAGCGGCAACAACAGCAGCAGCAGCAACAGCAACAGCAGCAGCAACAACAGCAACAGCAGCAAGCATCTTCTTGGCTATGCAGTGAAGGCGTTTCACCCAGCGATGCAAAGCAGCGAGTGGCGCTGCTGTCTCTTCCGGTTCCCTGCTATGATGAGCAGCAGCAGCAACAGCAGCGGCAGCAGCAGCAAGACACGTATAGCCGGGACAGCACAAGGCCCTTTCATAGGGGTGGCAGCGATACCTTCAGAGACCTTAGTGGGCAAGGTAGCAGCTGCTGCTCTTCTCCCGCTGCCTCGCACTCATTTGCACAGGAGCAGCAGCAGCTGCAGCAGCAAGTGTTGCTGCAGCAGCGCTTTGGCTGGGCTTCTCCAGACGGGGAGACGCCTGGGGAGTCTGCAGAGCAGCCACTGCAGCAGCGGTTGAAAGAGCAGCTCCACAGCTTGATGCAGCAGCAGCAGCAGCAGCAGCGGAGGCAGCAGCAGCACGAGCAGCCGCTCAGCAGCACGCCGTGCAGCAGCAGCTGCTGCTGCTGCTGGGAAGGTGCGTTGTCCGTCCGTCTGTCTTGCCGCGGCTCTCTGCAGCAGGCGCCGGCTGCTGCTGCTGCTGGGTCTGCAGCAGCAGCAGCAGCAGCAGGACGATGCCCACATCGCAGTGAAGGGTCCAACTCGGATATGCAGGGAGCTCAGGAAGCGCAAGAGCAGCAGCAGCAGCAACAGCGGCCATCCCCAGCAGCGCGTTCTCGGGGGCCCCCCAAAAAGCGCCAAGGGGCCTCCAGCGGGCAAAGACACAGCAGCAGGAGGGGCCCCAGCAGCTGCAGCAACTGCGGAGTTCGGCAGACACCCCAGTGGCGATACCTAGAGGGGCAGCCAGTCTGCAACGCCTGTTACATGCGTGCGCGGAAGAAGCCCAGGAGAAACAGCAGTGGCAGCAGCACCAAGCCGCAGCAGCAGCAGCAGCAGCAGCAGCTGCAGCAGCAGCAGCAAAAGGCTGCTGTACTGCACGAGGCACGCCTCATGCTCCTGCAGCAGCCAGTGCAGCTCACTGAGGCGCCGCAGGAGCAACAGGCGCAAGACCACCAGCCGCAACAGCAGCAAGTGCACCAGCAGCAGCAGCAGAACGAGCAGCAGCA